AATTGGCTCTGCTCTGTACGAGAATGAAAAGTCCTCATGTGGATTTGATTTGATTTCTGTCCCTGCACAAAGGTCAGACCACCACCCTCGGATTCCACACACACCATTCAACCACAACCTAAACAGGATTAGAAAGTGTTTTACACCGAAACACAAATGATTCCTATAATCTATTATGCCCTTTCTAACCTCAAGACTTTCTTATTAAATCACGGTAAACAACCATGTAAATCAGGTCAAACATGATATACATAAAATCAACTTCTCAGCAAAATGAATTTCTGCATTTCATTTAAGCTTCTTATTCTTAAGTGCCTGTGGGGGAGGGGAGTAGCTGCCCTCAAAACGCCATATAACATGCAACAGGATTGAAAAGGACGGCCATATGGGTTTACACAGCAAACAGATCTGACAATGGAACTAACAGAATTAAATCAAATTCTCCATATATTAAATATTTAATGGAACTGACTGCATTCGACTATCAGAGCTCTGGTGACTGAATTTCTAGTTGTGCACATGTAGACACACACACACACACACACACACACACACACACACACACACACACACACACATCATTATGTAAGGAAGATTATGGCCCAGCCAAAGCTTTCATCTTTTCCTGAGTGCATGTGCACCAACATACTGTGTGTTGTCATGTGTGCTGAATGTGTACAGCATCATTGATCTATTTGCTGGATTTGTAGCTTTGAGTCAAAGCACCATGATCCTGTGGGACGTTGACAAAGCTTCATATTTCACTTAACATACTACACATGCACACAGTATGCTGTCAACTAGGCATGGGCAATATGGCAAAAGTATAACATCACAATATTTCAGGACACTTTTACAATACATCACGATTTTACTTGCACCAGTAGTGACACATTTAAAAAAACACTGTCAAGAACAATTAATATAATTTCATACACTGCACTGTACTAAATTTAATTAACCAGGACTAATTATGCTTTCTTTGTAATAAAACATGCAGTTGTTACTGACAATATCCACAATATACTGAGAAACACACAGTGATATAATGTGATGTAATGTAGCCGTTCAAAATGCAGGTGATTAGCACATCATACAGAAACACAGCACATCTCGTAAGCTCAAGATTTGTATTATTAGCTGATTTTTGCTTTCAGAACAAAACCTTTTATCTACAAAATGGCAACTACTCAGAAGAAGGAAAAAAAACTTTTTGTCACTTAATGTAAAATGTATTTTTTTATTATTTCTATTGTTCAATTTATCATGGAATTCCTACACAGTGTAAAGGGCAACTAGTGGTACCAAATGATAAAATATGAAAAAAAAATATGAGCAATACACTGTGTCATCATCGACTATTGTTACTGTACAGAACAGGAACATGGGGTCCAAAAAACCGCAAAGGAAACATGAAGGTGGTGAAATTGCAAAAGAAAAGCAAGCATAGTGGCGTTTTTCACTTTCTATTTTTATATCCTCAGAGTGCACTTGACCAACTCTCAGACAGAGGCTAAAAGCACATGTACCATTATTTGAGAGACTGCGAGAAGGGAAGGTGGGCCGTAGCTCTCTATTGTGCTATTAATTGGAGAAAGGTAGATGCTCTTGCTGAAAGACTGTGTGATGAGTCTCTGAATGCCTTAGTAAAGAAATTAAAAAAAATACAGTTATTCCTCCAGCCCTTAATGAACTGGCTATAACCACACAGCACTGCCACAGACATGATGTCTCTCCATAGACATCTAACAGACGTCTGTCGACTAGCCCACCACAATGCTGTGCGAATAATACCAGTATAGTGGGCAGTATACTGGAAATACAGAGGTATAAAATCATAACAAACTGAAGTCTGAGGAATTAAATCAAATTTCTACTGTAACATTATACTAAGCATCATAATTTCATTTCTTCATGGCTCACCACAGAATACAATTATTCTGTAGCACTGAGGATATTTTATTTTAGAAAATAAAAATGTGAAATCATGCGGCCTGTAGTAATTTAAAAAACTTGCTTTGATAACCATGCCTCGACCAAGAGTTCACACACCACCTCTTCAACATTTGTGGAATTTGGGACGTTTACCAATACCAAATACCAAACTCCTTCCTTATCACTCAGTTTTCCACACACATATTTCTTACTATTTCATAATAATTCTGTTTGATGTAGATTAATTCACTTTTAACACCCATTATCAAAATAATCTCAGTTTAGCATAATGTATATGCTCTAATGTGTGGCATTTACTTCCTTCATTGATTTATTTTTATTATAAAACAAATTTAATGCATGTGTCTATTTGTCATGTGATTATTTCTGTGTGGTCATTACCATGTGACATTTTGGCATTGCGCTTATTCGTCTATATGAGAGGTCTTCAAATCCAGACCTTGAATCCAGTTTCCAGTCCTAGATTTTGTAATCACTTCTAAGTATGACACTACATGGCCAATCAGTTGCATTAACATACATTAACAGTTCAGTTAAATCCATGGTGGGAAACTTGATTTGGGGTCTGAATTTGAAGACCTCTGGTCTAGAATATTTAGATTATATTTTATTCTCTGTGTTCTGTCAGGAGTCTTTTTTAAGAATACTGTGCATATAAAATTACCTAATCCTACAAGAAACCAAATAAGAAAACATACTTGTCAAGAATCCTGAGAGAGTTTGGGGCTTTTGCTTTGTAAGCCTTCTTTCAAAGAAATAAAGCAATATTTCAGAACAGTGCTAAGCAATGGCCTGCAAATGTACCTGTTCTGCCTCGCTTTTATTTCCTGCTGTTTCTTTTATTAAGTCCTTTTTTTTATTTCACTTAGTGTTTCACATGTCTCTTCTTATGCCTGGACCACCAGTCTGGTTCCGGACCTTGACCAGATGCATTAACTAAGCCCGGCTGGGCTACATTTAGCACAAAAACAAATCTCTGAAAGTGAGGCATTGTATGAGCACAACATACACACACAGTCCCTCTCACACACAAACACACTCCATTCTAATACTCATATCCTAAAGCATTAGGGAAAGCAGAACAGAGCCCATTATTTCTGCCTCCTCAGACAGTGGGCTGATGGAAAGAGAGGGGGAGGATATGGATTTGGATTTCCATCATAAAGAAAAAGATGACAAAGCAAGGGAGGCTTTCTAGAGTTAAAAAAACTGCAATCAGAGAAAATCAACAACAGAAATACAAAAGAAAGAAAGGGAGGGATGTAGCTGAGTGGCAGGAAATGAATGAGATTTATCATACAGAGAGAACAAAAATATTAAAATCAGGCTAGAGCAGGTGAGTAAGAGAGAAACATGGAACTGAAGAAAGGGAAAGAATAAATGAAGCGAAGAAACAGTGAAGGAGTGTAGTACAACACCTTACAAAGGCCTTTAGATCACTATATTGATTACACACCATTTCCTTTTTTGGATGGCCTTCTCATCCACGGCCTACTTACTCATCCTGCAGTAATCATTAATGTTTTTCTCTGATTTCCAGACACTGGTCATGTGGTCATGCCTGTCGTACTCAACTGACTGGCAGACTGAACCTGAAGGTCGTAGTGAAAGTTATTAGCTTTGCTGTCTGAATGCAGGAGAGGTTGTGAATTTGCACAGCACTTTTTAGAAAAGCTACAATTAAGTAAAGGTTCAGGGTTAGGCTATTATGAGTCATTGCTGTCCAAATAAAATGTCCATTTTTGTCATTTATTACTTTTCTACATAACGTGAAAACCACTGCTTTCACAAATGAACTAACAGAAATGCTACAAAATGTTTTTTCCTTCTCCTGGACCATTTTGGAGATACGAGGTTTTGTTCCTACGGTCATATGTTTGGGCACGCCTGGTTGATTTTGCTAAAAGAAGATAAAGTATCCTCTGCAGAAAACACACTTTTGCACATTTAAAAGCACAATTAATGCATAAAATATGGCCCATGAAAAAGTTAGGGCACACTTTATGTTTTATGTCTTATTTTTTTCCAGTATTTTACAAAATAAATAGAAATTGTGCACTAAAAATTGCTGAAAAATGCCATATTTAAGTTTGTTCCCTGTGAAAAATGTTTGACCAGAGGTGTTCAAACTTTTGCATTCTACTGTATGGAAAATATGCATGATCTACACGCCCTAACAGTGTAGAAAAGCATGTATTCAGATCAAACAGATGTCACATCCATAAGACATAAGATCCATATCCACACATGGACATACACAAAAGTATAGACTAAAACAGGAGCCCCTCCCAACAGGAAAAGGAAACCTCTTTAGCTGATTCTGGACTGTACAAGGCCTTCCACAGACTAACAGAGAGAGTTTAAGGAAATGTAAATGGCCCGGACGCCACTGCCCACACAGTGAATTACACCTCCCTAATGAAGAGTGTCCAAACACTCAGTATGGCTTAACTTTTCACAGTGAGGCTAAGCCTATCAGACTCATTAAACGTATGCAGCCCAGCCTGAGCATCAGACAGAGCTATAAGTGCAGTGGTAGCTCAAATATTACACAGCTCAATCATTTCCTCATTCGTTCACGTGGCACAGAAGACCCTCTGTGATGAAATGAGGCTGTATGTGACTAAAGACTGTGTGTTTGCGGTGTGCATCACTGCCCTGCAGGGCGTGGGCCTTTCCTTATGGGAACTGACTACTGAGCCTGCGCCAGGGAACGAAAGATGTTCACCAAAAAAAAATCAATCTTCCCTCATCTTCATCTTCCTTCCTGCTACATCCGCCACCAACTTAAACCCACTCAAGGACATATCCCAGCAGCAGGCCAGGCAGAGCACAGCAGCTAAAGGAGACCATAATAAACACATACGTTCTTATTGAAAGCCTCTGCAGCAGAAGCACTGCTGACACTTCCATATGGCTGAACGGGCTACAGCAGGCAGCTCGGGGTGGGAGGGGAGGCGTTTTGTGAGCTGATGAGGAATGGAGGGGTGGAGAAGAGGGATGGAGGAATGGAGAGAGAGACAGAGGGATGCTGGCTGTCTTACCTGCAGCCCGGAGGAGAGAGGGAGTGGAAGGTGGAGAGAGAAAACATCTCCGCTCTGTCCGCCATCTTCTTCCACAGAGGACTCTCTAAGCAGCGACTGCAGGGGCGGACTGAGCGCAGCCCATTCACAGACGGTGGGGAGGTAGATAAACACGACCAAGTCTCTCTCTCTCTCTCTCTCTGTCTGTCTGTCTCTCTGTCTCGCTCTCTCTTTCTCTCACTGCAGATGCTTAGTGGCCTCGTCCTCCCTGGATCACGCGCACGCGCTCCGTGCCATCAGATCTGATCCAAAAGCTAGAAGAGAACAGCAGAAGCGGAGAGAGAGCAGCGATGATGAGGAGGACGGTGTGTCTGTGAGGATCACCTCTCTTTTCCTTCGAGTTCTGCCATCCACACGCGCTGACAGAGCAGGCGATGCTCGGCGCAGGCTGAGCTAATGCCAGCGGTTGTGATGGGAGGGAGGGGCAGACGTAACGGTGCTGTCTTCTCCCCCCCCTCTGGTTAACCCACCCGTACTCCGACAAGCCCCGCCCCCTCGCACTGGGATTGGCTAGCAGTGTCGCACGTCCTGCCATGGGATTGGCTGACAGGCGGATCGACAGACTGCTTGGGCTACGAACAGAATTGCCACTACTTAGTTTACTCAGATACATGAACGTAAGCATCGTTATGATGGATTTGAATGAAAAACAAATCTAGTTGTTTGTATATGCAGCAACATTTTAGTCAAATAGGCCACATTTAGTTCCTGACTTTTTGGGTCTCATTTAATAAAGTTCTGTACTGTTTTTCTTTGCTTTTGGCTTTAGCATTTTATTTTAGATCAAAAGTGTCCCCAAAAGAGAAGAACAGCGCCTAACAAACTTGCTGATACTAAGAACTATTTTCATAGCAAAGAGAGTTCTACATACCCAGCCAGCACAAACCTCTGGCCCATGTCAGGCCCAGTTCTGGCTAGCTGGATATGAAATCTGCCCCAGCTCTGGCAGCCGGAATCGAGCCAGAACAATCAAAATTAGCCCATATACCAAAAAGTACTATAAAAGAACCATTTAAAAGTTCATTAAAGAACCATATCAGATTTTCCCTCTTGGAGAATAACCATTTGATCATTTGATGCAAAGAATAATTAATTAATTAATTTTTTTACGTTAATCGGTTCTTTGAGTTGTCATGGTTCTGGAAGCTATAACCTTTGCCTGTACTAAAGAACCTTTGAAGAACCCCTTTTATTAAGAGCGAGTAGCTACTGACGAGTTCTACTGGGGTTCTATAGGGAACTAAGCACTTAAATGTTTTGTTTTTTTACTTGTAAACGAGCCGTTTCATTGCAGCAACGTTTTAGCACATTTTTACTTCAAGGTGGTTTTAGGCTAATCTGCCCATCTCTGACAGACACCTCTGTCCCAGCGCAGAAGGCGGGGCTTGTCTGAATACGGGTGGGGAAAAAATAACAGAACGCCTTTGGAAAGGGCTGACAGATGGGTCTCCGTCCCCACCGCGGATGCGTAAGATGCTGCTGCGTGTGGGCAGAGCGTGAAAAGCACTGCAGTTTCAGAGGAAGATCTCACTGCCAATCAGATCAGTGACGATGTAATAAGATTTGTCATCTCTAAGGTTCAGTCTCAAATGGCCCCCTACTCCCTACACAGCCTAGTGCACTACGTGGGTCAACAAAGCATGGCTTCCACACCCAAATAGTACACTATGTGTTCAGGGGGAGCCATTTGGGATTCAGCCCAAGACATTTATGCTATTATGAATGCAGAAATGCTGATGAAATTCACAGAGCTTGTTGGATTTCTGTAGGTTACAGAAGCCCTGCCGTGGAACTGCTCTTTGTTCCTTAAAAGCTAAAGGCTAAACCTAAATAACTGTCCCTATAATCTCAGATGGGCGCCGTAGAGGAGCTGTTCAGTCTCCGTGGTGCTGAAAGCTCATGGATGGGGAGGTAGAGGAGTGGAGCCCCCTGCTGTGTGGACGGTGATGATGGCGGCGGGAAATATGACGCACTGAGTGAAGAACAAGAGACCAAGGTGTTCCACCAAATGAACTGAAGGTCGTCCGAGGCCACGACATTTCCTGTGTGAGCAACTGTATGTGTGCACGTCCTGTGTGTGTGTGTGTGTGTGTGTGTGTGTGTGTGTGAAGCACCCCCAGGTTGTAGTGTCACCTTGAAGCCTTTGAAATCTCAAAGGCCAAAATAATTATAACTTTTTATAATAACTCCAAATAATTTTCTAGAATCTTCTATAATCTTTGAAAATCTTTCAGTCCACTTGACGTAGAATCCCAGTCACAGATACTTAAACACTAAAAAAATAATTAACAGGTAAATTACAAACATAAATTAAAATATATAAAACAAAAACTAACAAATACACTTACATATTAAAACGCACAATAAAAAAACAAACAAACAAAAGTATTAAACATACAAAATGAAAATCTTTTATTTTCTCTTGTAATGTTTTGTAAAGCACGAAGCACATTGAACTGTTTCTTTGCATGCAAGGTGCTATAAAAATAGAGATTTTTAATTTACAACAATGAGTTTTTATGTTCTATCATATTAATACTAATAATAACAATAATAAAACTGTTATTATTAGTAGTAGTATTAGTATTATTATATTAATTATCAAACATTGAACACTTTGGTGTAAATGACCAGACCCTCTAAAAGTCATGACGTCTCACAATTTTCTATAACATTTCAAACTGAAGATGTAAGTGCTCCTCTACCCGTTCAGTTCCATTTCTAGATGAACTGGAATCAAGAATTAAATAACTGGACTGAATAATTTGATTTTTGTTTTAAAACGCAGTTTCCCACAAAACATTAGCTGCAGCCCCAATAGACCAATCATCAACTTTGGTATTAAGAGGCGGAGCTTCTCCATCTCTCATATCCAATGAATCACCAATATGCTCAGCAGCTCCATCGTGCGCGTGTTGTGATTGGCTGAGCTGAGTGTCTGTTATTTACAGTCAGAATCTGATGACATGACAACGGCTGACGAGCACACAACGCGGAAATGAGTGAAAGGGTTATTTGTGAAAGTGTGCAGTTAAAGGAAATGCCGTAATGGCAGTTTTGGGTGTGTAGATAGTGCTTTGAGAACCTGAGGAACAGCGGCAGAACCGAGGAAAGTGCGACCGTGCGTTGTGAACGGGTTATGCGGCGAGTGATTGGCTCTTCACTGATAATCCGCCACATGCCAGCTCGTCCTGTGTGCCGGGCGGACTTTGCCTCCCTTTTGTTTCCACACTCGTCGACTCTGGACTCGTGTCGCAGTTCCAGAGGAAATCTAGCGAGCGGAGCCTCGTCCCGGTTTTTTGAGAGGACTTTATCCGGGAAAGACGCGATGCAGGCGGGCCACAGGTTTGCTGAAAGTGCTCGGGGGGATGATGGAGCTGTGCATGTTAAGGGCCCTCTGTGTATAGGCGGGGTGGAGAGGGCAGCCCAGGAAGACCTGAAGGAGGAGAGCCTGAGAGTAGCGGCTCTCCGCGGAGCTAACGGGGACGAGGACTCAGAAGCGGAGTCGTACCGTGATGGACGTACCGGGGAGGTGGACCGGGAGACCAAGGCTCGAGCCTTCGCCTGGTGCCGAGACTTCCTGTCCGGTTCGTGGAAGAGCATCTCAGAGGCGGACTTTCAGATCAGCATCGTGAGGTGGGAGCAGAAGGATGGGAGGGAAAACCCTGAAAGATTTAGGGGGTCTGGAGTTACACAGGGGCCTTGGAGCATGCCAGGGATTAAAGATGCTATTTTTAGCTGTTATTATCTTACTTGTGTTTAAAACTTAAGACCATTTATCAACATGCAAAAAACAATAACTGCATCTGGAGACATATAATAGTTAGAATAAAATAGAATAAATAAAGGCATTAATAAATGAGAAAATGCAAAAGTTACCATGTGTGTTTAAGGTGCATGTGCATAATTTCAGCTTTCTTATTATTTTTTTGAAGCACATAATCATCAGTGGTGTGTTTTGTGTGTTGGCAGTGGAGGACTCAGCAATCTGCTCTACAAGTGCAGCTTGCCTGATCACATTAAGCCGGTTGGGGTCGAGCCTTCACGGGTGCTGCTCCGCATCTATGGGGCCATTTTGCAGGTAACTAGGACACTATTCTGCTTAATGTAGAGCTTTGTGACAGAGTGCAGATAAAATCTCATGCTTGTTTGCTGTGTGTGTGTGTGTGTTTGTGTGTAGGGAGTGGACTCATTGGTCTCGGAGAGCGTGATGTTTGCCATTCTAGCAGAGCGAGAGCTGGGACCTCGTCTCTATGGCATCTTCCCAGAGGGCCGTCTGGAGCAGTATCTTCCTGTGAGTCTGCTGTTGCACACAGAACAGGAACAGGGAACACATGCTTCGATGCCTTTAAAGAAGCTATTCATCTCATTAATGTACATAACTCTGTATAACACTATAGGGACTTTAGGCATTGTCAGCTGGAGGGACAGCTATAGCAACAGGAAATAAATGTAACATTGTAGCCACGAAAATCAACGCCACTAAGCAACAACTCTGGCATGACAGAACAAATTGTGCAACAGTAAAACTCACCTGATCTAATGTAAATACAGGTATATTTCATCACACAAGAAAACAGGAAATTAACCCATTTAGACCTCATGTTTTAGCAGCTACAGCAAACTGATGTCTCTACTGTAGCAGAAGCAGGCTACAGTGGCACAAAGCAAAGTGTCAACTTTACATTTGCATGTGCAGAACTCTACAGGTGTTTTCCCAGCTGCCTAAGCCATCCCTACAGCGGTTGCTTAAAGTCCCTAATGTAAACCTAATGTAAAGGAATGATGTGCTTGATGGTAATGTAAAATGTATAAGATGGATTTTCTAGACTAATCCTATCTGAGTATTAACTCCAGTTCATGTCTGTGCTCCAGAGTAAGCGCTTGCACACAGAGCACCTGCAGGATCCAGCCATTTCAGCTGAAATAGCCTGTAAGATAGCACGATTCCACCGTATGGTCATGCCCTTCAATAAGGAGCCTAGATGGCTGTTTGGGACCATCGACAGGTAAAAAGCTTTGCACAAATCAATAAAGTTCCCTTTTTTATCGTGAAAGTAGCTTGCTAAAGTAGCAGGCTTTTAAACACTGCATTCTACAAATAAAACTTTAGACCAGGTTTAGTGATTTTGCCTGTTTATCAAAGCATCAATCATTGGCTTAACTTTTGTTACTTCACTATCTTTAGCATGCTACATGTTTGTAATGGTGCACTGGCCTAGAACAGAATGTGAAATGGCTATTTCTGTCCTTCTACTCTTTAGGTACATGGAACAAATAATGAATATTAAATTTGTACGTGAAGCTCACATCAAGAAGTTCAGAAAGCTGATGAAGTATGACCTTCCTGCTGAACTAGCAAGTCTGAGGTGAGAAAATGAAATGGACCGGATAGGTAACAGCTATTGCATTACTTCCCTAATGAGTTTGAGTGCTTTTCTTTTTTGTGATTGATATTTTCATCGATTTGCAAAACCATTGCTACTGTCTAGTATCCTGACATAAATACCCAGATACCTCTGCCAATTAATATGATTTTTGAGGAATGTATTAGCAGTAATCCAGATTCCAGCCTTACTGAGCCTTCTGGCTTAATAACATTAATTAAAAGACTGAACTGGTTTGAGGTTTAAACAGCATTTTTCTGAGGACATCAGATATTGTGTGTGTGGCACAGTGTGATAGACAGATTATGCCAACTGATCTTATCATCTAGTTTACGTAACACTTTAGTTCAAGGTCTATGAACACGAAAGACCAGGGTTTGTATGTGCGCACACATGCATTCTGCACATGCTCAGCCTTCTCAATCAATCACTTGCATGTACACATGGCTATATAAGCCTTACCCTGAAAGGCAGGATGGCGCTTCTATGTTCAAACAACATATGCCTGAGAGTATCTCTCCTAGCGCCTAGTGTCACCTTGGAACCTTTGCAATCTTTGAATTTCAAAGAATCTTTGATAATTTAGAACAAGTCACTTGTAAAACTCCACTCCTTCTTTCCAAAGATCTTTTTCAATGAGACATGAAAACTCTCTACCTGTGTGGCTTCTCACAGTTTTCTGTAATATTTTGGAACTTCAGAAAATGTAACTGCTTCTTTACCTAGGCTTCTGTTTCAGCATTGTCAGTGTTCTGTTTTTCCACTGTCTTGAGCACTAAGCCAAGCGCAGTGTCATGACAGCCCTGAAAGTGGAGTATTGAAATCTGCTATTACTAAAATGGCAAAAGTACAGGAGGCATAAACTTTCTTTACTTTTAATGTAAGATAAGATAATCGGGAAAATAATAATAATAATAATAATCTTTATTTAATTAGCATTTTCCATGATGGTAGTAGCTCTAAGTGCTTTACAGACAGGTAATAAAGTTTAACAGTAACTGGAAAAAAATGAGTATTCATTAAAAATCATATAAGGCAAAAAATTGGAGATACATGTGTGATAGCAACAATATGAAACATCGTGCTCTCTCTCTCTCTCTCTCTCTCTCTCTCTCTCTCTCTCTCTCTCTCTCTCTCTCTCTAATTTTAGAGCACTGCTGGCAGCAACTCCGTCACCCGTGGTGTTCTGTCACAATGATGTACAGGAAGGTGAGTGTCCCTCTCACATTCGCGAGCGCCAACACACACACACATACTAAATACATGAGTGTTTGCAGTACCATTAACAATATAAGTCAGTGTTTTCAGTAAAATAAATCTCATTTGGTTGCAAATTAATGTATAAAATTATTCTAATATGCTAATCCTATGCATCTTCACAAGTTTCAGATCATTTGTAGGAAACCGAAAATCTGGGAAAGAAAATGTCGGATGTTTCTAGAATGATAAACAGAAAGCAAACAGTAATTGTGCATTAAAATGTACAGGAGTGTGTTCTCTGTAGAGGATGTGAACCTGTTTTCGCTTAAAGAATCAACAAAACATGTCAGTTGACAAACCTTTGTATACTAGACTCTTAAAAAAGATGGTTCTTCAAAGGTTCATTAGTAAAGAAAATGGTTCCATATAGAAACACGAACACTCACTGAATCCTTTGCATGATTAAAGGCTTCTTTGCATGGTGAAATGGTTCCTCAGATTGATGGAGATTGTGCTGTAGAAGGTTCTATATAGCACCAAAAAGGGTTCTTGTATTGTTACAAGCTTGACATCATAACAGTTGAAGACTCCCTTTTGTGTTAAATATGGTTCTATATAGAACCATTTTGAAAGTAGCTCTATATATAACCATATGTAACATATTCTCCATCAATCTGAAGAACCTTTCATGATGCAAAGAACCCTGTGATCATGCAGAGGGTTCTTTGAGTGTTCATGGTTCTATATAGAACCATTTTCTTTACTAAAGAACTCTTAAAGAACCATCGTTTTTACGTGTGTACTATATCCAGCTATTAATTCTGTTTGATTGGGGGACTATGCTTGGAGTTGTATTTAATATCATACATCAGCACCATATGTTCACACAACATATTAGCTCTCATTTATAAAGCAAAGTTATGTTTCATATATGACTGTTTAAGCACTGGGTGTGGTCTCATTCCTTTAGGGAACATCTTGATGTTGGATGGCAGAGATCAGAATTCATCTGATAAGCTGATGCTCATAGACTTTGAGTACAGCAGCTACAATTACAGGTGAAATGGACTAGAGGAGCAAAATATGTGCAATATATTATTAAATTCATTACAACCAGACATACCCTTTAAACATTTGACCTTTTGACTCTAACATTACCTATTTATGATTCATACAGGGGGTTTGACTTTGGGAATCATTTCTGTGAGTGGGTGTATGACTACACTCATGACCAGTGGCCCTTTTTTAAGGCAAACCTGGACAACTACCCAAACAGACAACAGCAGGTGAGTCACTGCCATCATAAACACAGCAAGCTAACAGGCCATCATTTCCAAAAAAATCATTTAATTTGTGTGCTAATCTTTTGAGATTACTCAAAACCACTTTCAGGATTAGGCATTATGCATGTCATTCTAATTCAGCAGTGCATTATGAGTGAAACAGTTCTGCAAAGATGACTCTGGATGATAAACAGATGGGACTCTGCTAGTGAATAACAATTCAACATTAAGGCAACAGCATTACGAATTTATATAATTGCAGATTTGTATGCTAAATATGTAAATAAATTACTTCTGTGAATTTGTCACGTATTGTAGCTGAGTTTTATATTACTGTGAATGATTTGCCAAAGCAATGACGTTTATGTAGTATCCTGTCTTTGAATTATAACGCCATCTAATGGAGTCAAGTGGTATGGCAATCATTAAACCATTCATCTGGTCATTGACCAGGTTTTACATCTGTTAACAACACTTCTGAGAAACATGGAACAGGTTTACAAAGAAATTTGGAAACGTTTTACTGGAACTCTGCTACATAACATGAACACAAGATTCATTAAGGCGCAGATTTATATGCTGTCATGAGTTGTCATGACAGATTTTATTCAGTAATATAAGTGTCATGATACCATTTCTGATCAAGTAAAGTGTTACTGATATCTTTAATGTTGAGCATCTTAGGATGTCTTGACAGTGTACCCTGAGGTGTCTGTCTCAACATTCCTCTGAACATGGCCTTTCTGTTTGACTTTTAGCTGCACTTCATCAGAAGCTACCTGGCAGAAAGTGAAGATACTGTACACAAAGACCAAGCCAAGGTTGAGGAGGAGATGATTACTGAAGCAAACAGGTATGCTATCGATTTTGGCACTGTCTGAACAATCTATAAACAGCCCTGCTGTTCCTTCCACTCTCTTCATGTTTTAAAATGTAATATGTGACATTCAGTCATCTGTTTAAATAGCATTTGCTATAGATGCACTGATTATGGTGATGGTATCTCTCATGCTGTCATACTTATACTCATATTAATGTACACAGGTATGCCCTTGCCTCACATTTCTTGTGGGGTCTGTGGTCGATTATTCAAGCCAGGATCTCCAAGATTGAGTTTGGATACATGGTGAGTTATTTGGAACAAATGAACAAATCATTTCTGTCAAAGAAAACACCACCACCTTGTTAAATAACACCTAAATACATTAAATCAATTTTGTTTAATTTCCCAAGTCAGTGTACAGTCTTTCTGTACGTATTGGATTTGTATATGTGTTGAGGTTTTGGTTGTTTTTGTTTTGTTTTTTTAAGCTCAGCTTTTTGTAAATAGAATTCTGCTTAGAATAAGGGTTCAGTCTTTTGATCTCATGAAAAATTATAATACCAAACCCATTAACCAAATGCTTTCACAGTCAGGAATTCCAGAAACATTCCTCTGTAAATAAAACAAGATTTTAATACAAAACAGCAGAATCCTGAAATTTCTAATGCAGTCAAAACATGCAGAGACGGTTTAATGTGCAAGTCAAGTCAGAGAGAGGGAGTACTTGGCCTCTAAAGGGAACTCCACCCATTTTTCAAAAATTATGTTGTTAGTTATTGGCTGAGATGTGAATCAAGTAATTCAGGGTGATTTGATGTGAAATGTATTATGGATATTGTAGAGAAAGTTACCAAGTAAGACTTTCTTTATGATCATGGTGATAGGAGCAAGGGGTCACAATATCTACAGAACAAATAAAGCAATTTTATTTTCTGTCCCAAATGACCATTAAACCTACATTTATCTTCTGAGTTTTGAAATGTAATGATAAAAAAACTGGTAAATCCAAAAATAAGTTTTCTTTGGCTGCCCTTTTGTCTTGTAAGGCACTACATGTACCTATTGTCCTGAATGTATTTTTAAAAAATAGGTCAATAACAAAGGTATCTCTCAGTGTATTCTTAACCATGTTGTGTACTTGCTTTCTGTGAAGTCACTTTTAGAAGCATTAAAAGCTTTGGACATCTGGTTCCTATCACCACCACTTTGAACAATTCTGATGGAGTTTTTGTAGAATGGCACCACAAACCATGAAATTATTTTTTTTTTCATCATATGAAAAAATCTTTTGAAAATTCAGTGGAATTCCTCTTTATTTGTCCATAAATTTTGAAGCATAAATATCCATATATCGAAGCACATGAAATAGCTAACATAGCTGTGGAGCATATGATCACTGAAACATCCCTCAAAACTAACCTCTCTGTTTGTTTGTCTTCAGGATTATGCCCAGCACAGGTTTGATTCCTACTTCAAGCAGAAAAAACTCTTCAAATGAACCAAGCTTTCCAGAAGGACCATGTGCCTCTCATACCTCTCTGTTTTTTTCCCTTTTTGTCTTTCCTTTCTTACTGAGTCCAGAAAGTGTGTTACAAACATGAGAATGCCACAAACGGTTCCTGTGTTGAATGTGGGTTCAGATGATGTCGTACTGATAATTTAATCTAATCTAAGCATTTCCTATTGAAATGAGTTACTCTTTTACTTGTTTGGAGCACAGGTCTCAGTGTACCACAGCCCTGGAGGTCACTGTAGATATGCCGTGATATAATCTACCTTACACATTTGACCCAAGACTAAGCACTTGTCATCCTATGTGTATGCAAAATCTCTTTAAAATATTTTTGTAATTTACTGTATATTTATTTTAATACTTGTGAGCATAAGTGTTATGTGTGTTAGTATATGTGTTTTTTTAACTATTGTTCTCTGATTGCATCCGTCCAAACTGTCCTTCAGTTCAGTATAAACAGAAGGGTCCATACTAGGTTTTGGAATGTATCTCCCAGTTTTATGCACTGACGTAGGCCGGCTTTTCCTCACTTTCCTCTCTGAGCTTAAGAAGCACACTGCTGTAGTTGTGGACCATGCACACATTTCTTATTTCAGTTAGCATATATTTAACTGGATACATTGGGAAAGAAGCACAGTACTGCAATTGCTTCTTTGTCAAAAATGTTAATTTGCTTCATTTGGCCTTTTTTGCTCTATTTGACTGTTCATGTCCTTTGTAGCATTAAAGACCTATTTAGGATTTTCTGAAACAGAACTGCTGTGGGACTGGCAGTTAACTTCTAGTTGGTTTACTAGCAGTACAGTGAAAACATCCATATGGTACATAGTAGTGGGAGGTTTTACAGTAAAGAAAGTCACAGCCGAAATGGTTGTGGAAATTGACCTTCCTGCTGGACCTCTATAAACAGAGCTGCAGATGGACCGGTGATATTGCTTTTACTCTTGCAGATGTGTGTACCAGATCAAAACATCATGGTTTTGCCTAAAACACACACAGTTGACTGTCTGCACAAGAACATATGGAAGACTGAAGGCATGCAGTATGAGAATGCTTTGTTTACTGTCAACCCTTGTGGAACTTGAATGAATGGTTAATAACATTCATATATTTTTATAGCTCTTCAATACCTTGAATGTAACAGATTGGCCTATCTGCTTGCCTACGTTCATGAATGAAAAGCATATGTTATTGTAGATTGTTAGTGGCTTAGATAGTGTCCAACTTCTTACTCATGATGTTAGCAAGCATTTAAACATTTGATCAAGTTTCTGTTTGTGTGGTATGTGTTTATTTATTGACCATTTTTAATTGCCCAAAGCAGAGCACTCTGTGAAAACCAAATGTGAAAGCCATTGAATAACATGTAACCAAAAATACAAACATGACCCAGATGTCAAAAGATGTTTAGAGGTGTAATTATGAAGATCTCCTCCCTCTCCATATCATGTGCTTGTTTTTAGAGGATTCTTAGAGGGTGTTAGATTGACAAAGGTTTGTGCACATTTTATGATATTTTATGACATTTTTTAAATATGTTAAACTAAAATAGAAAACTAAATAGAAACTGTACACTATCATTTGCAGAATTATGAAATATTTAAGTTTGTTCCCTGAAGAGGATGTGCTAACTTATCTTTGCTTAAAACATCAACAGACCAGGGGTGGTCAGACTTTTGCATACGAATGTATAATATGGTATACTGAGATCAAATTCATATTAGGCGTATTATTCAGCCCTGCTGATACTCTCAATGGGCCTCTTTTTTCACTGACAAAATGTCTGCAGTGCATCCTGTTTTGATCTCTCCCATCATTCAAATGTCATGGATGGTGCAAAGGAACCATACGAGTATCGGGTTAGGTCCAGTTGTTGAAAGGCTTTGTGTCCACTGTCCATTTCAAAATGTTTTGCTTTGCCATGTCTGGATTCAGTTGTTGAGTCTGTTTTACTCTGTGTACTCATGAAACAGCAGCCATTTAATCCTTAATAAAAATAAAAAAAAAGAAACCTAACTTTTTGTATAATTGTCACATTTGTACTCCAACCATTTCACCTTGCAATCCAAGCCATGTGTACCTATGCAATAAAATACAGTAAAGTCAATACACTCCTAAAGATATCTGAACTATGCAGTTCATCAGAATCCAATAACATACTGGCACAGTGGTCTGCAAAATAGAACATAATGAGTATAATCTTTCCTACCATCGTTCAGCATTGCAGCAGTCTAGTGTCTGGTGATCCAGCATGTCTGTGCTGTGTCCTGTTTCATTCCAATGCCATGGGCACTGGACATCCTAAAATAGCTCTGCTCTTCCTGCTTCTGCTCCACAGCAGACAGACTCCATACTGAGCTGTTTGTGCCTAATGGAAAGAAGCCTTCAAAACAAACAGGCCTGCTTTGAGAGACAGACCGGGGGACTGAACTGATCTACTAGCCAGAGACTGAATAAGGTGACCTGGGCTCAGAGTTATAGCAAGGCTTAACATTTACTAGCCTTTGGCCAATGCAATAGAACAGAGAAGTAGTGTGAGTGACCACTTTGAAAAACATTTCAAATTTCAAATTTCAAAGCCACTTTTTGCATTTATCATCCTTTTTATATTTTTTTGTCAATTATATGGACTACAAGCAGTTCATCTAGTGCAACTGTGCTCTGCAGTGAGTCAAGAGGTATGGATGCACTCTGGCAGGCTGTATCAACATTGTTACTCTGTCTAGGCTCATGGGTAAAGTACAGCATAGCCTATATTCAGAAGAGTTTAGGGTTTGAGGGTGGTTTAGCCTGGGTTAAGTGGACTTTGGCCAGGTTTGGAGTGTGGGATCACTCTAATGTTGATTCACTGAGATGTGAGCCTAATGGCAGTCAAACAGAGGCATGGAGAACGGACCAGGAGTCCAGGACCTATCGTTACCATGGTAATGGACCAATGGTTGCTGTGCAGACCAGCACGCACATTTTCTATGTGAGTTCTACATATACACTACAGTGGGCACTATGACGATATTTATCATTATTATGATAAACAACATCACATTATGCTTTTCTGAGAATGTTGTGGATGTCATCAGTACTTAAAGAGCACTGACCAGCTGCACGTTTTACTACAGAGGGAGCATAATTAGTCCAGTTTTACCGGATTTAGTGCAGTGCAGTGTACATTGCATTCATAGTTTTTGAGAGTATTTTTAAATGTGGCTCCATTGGAGCTTTTTGGTCTGTTCCAACGTGTCAAATTTCAGAAAAACTAAATATCCTGTGAAAATCGAGCATCAAGAAAACGTCTTGAAGTATCGTGATCGTGATTGTCATATCACCTACCCCGAATGCAGACACACACCTCTCATACTTATGGTCTACTTCAAAGTTCTCATTCTATAGTAATTATTCTGGGAAGTTCCGTTTATTGGAAATCCAACATTTCTTTTTTTATTGTGTACATCTTTCCTTTACTGAGAGTGTTTTTCATGTTTCTTCCTATGCCAGGTTGACCTAGAAAGGCTAGCAGACTGTAGTGAGTATTTCAGGGCTTTGTCTCACTCCTGCATGAGAGAGACAGAAGAGCATCTAGTGAACTTGGCCCACGTGCCCTCCAGGGTGTTCCACAGCCTCCTGCAGTTCTGCTTTCTAAATAGATTCAGTGTACCAGAGAACCTTATTGAGGAGCACTTGCGGGTGAGCACCTATCTGTTGGTCCCAGGCTTTACTAGTTGCTTGTTGAGGGCCCTCTTAGAGACCCTCACGGAGCACTCCTGCCTGGCTTATCTGCAGTTGGCTGAGGAGCTGTGCAGCGTTGAACTCCAGGAGACTGTGCTGACCTACCTGAGCAAGAACCTTCTGGAGCTTCCCTGTCTGAGCAGAAACATGGAACTCCACCTGCAGCAGGAGCTTCTGCGGATGCGGTCGCGGAGCACACCGCGGCTGTGCTGCCTGAGAAAAGAGAACCTGATCTCACGAGACAACCAGGAAACGAACACTGCGAGGAGGCTTTTCAGACTGGAAGAGGAGGATGGGAAATGGAGTTCTATTACAGAGCTGCCCTTCAGCGCAGATAAGTGGTGCTTCACCACAGCTGTCCTGTTTAATTATCTTTACCTCATTGGGGGCTTTCGGCGCCGCACAAAGAGGGGGTATGAGTTTAAGATGGCATCCTTCCGTTATAATCCACTGACAGATCAATGGGTGTCAACGGCTCCTCTCATAAAGGTATGGAGTTAGTTATGATCAAAAGAGCATTTATTCTATAATATGGGGGTTCTGGTCCTGGAGGCCCAGTGTCCAGCACAGCACAGCAACCCAGAAAGGAAGTCACCAAACTGAGCTGGCCCTCTAGGACCACAACTAACTAGCACTGCCATCATAAAATTGTTAGCTGTACTGGCAGCCAAAAAAAAAATCCTTTTTTAATGATCATCGATAAACATAAAAATGAATGCAAAAATAACAAATACACAACTAAGGGTGATTATCAGTGTTTTGAAGGTCCTCCTCTAGTCTTGATGACCACCTCACACTGCTTTGTTACACTTTCATGATGTTGCGTTTTGTTGTAATCTAAATAATGGCTTACACTCTTAACTGCTAGAATGGTTGGATTTTTCTTCATGCATTTCCAAATGTAGTCCCACAAGAATGTGCTCCTCCCCAAACCACTCCCTCACTTGATGAATGGTACTGCATCATAGATTGTCTTCTTGGAATAGCCTGTCATTTGTGTGGTTTTGCTACTAAAAGTGAATAGGAGGCATACAGTACATGTACAGGTACAGTACTTAATAGTCATTTTAACAGGGAATTAAATAAACAAAAGGTGGTCTCCAACTTTCACACAGTACTGTAGATTCCTTCAAACATATCAATAAACATCAGAGTAAATATAACATGCATTTGTGCTTCCAATACTTTTTGACTACCAGTGTATCTTTCTGTGGACTGAAGCAGTTGTATTTACTCTGTAAGGGCTACATGACCGTTTGTAACCGGCCTCATGACAACTGCATAAACATAACCTTTAGCCCATTTACTGTCATGGTTACAAAATGATGTTTATACTCATGATGCACTGATAACTAGCCTGGAAAACACACAAGCTAATATGGAAGAGTGGTCTGGTGTGTGTGGCTTCTCTCAGCACAGACGCCATTTCAGTGCAGCAGTGTGTGAAGGCCATATCTACGCTGTGGGGGGCTGGTATCTGGACTCCCTGTTGGCCCCCGATTCCACCACAGGAGTGTATACAGCTGTGGAGCGATATGACCCCTGGGCAGACTGCTGGGCTTTCGTCTCTTCTCTTCCTCTAACAGACTTCCAGTTTACTCTTTCCCTCTCTCACGACTCCCCGCTGACCACCAGCCTCGGAACCTGTCTCTATGTGCTGGGGAACATCCAGAGAACAGGGGAGAAACTGGTGCTACGTTATGATACAACCCAAGGTGTGGCAAATGGAGTATTTACTATTGGTCTTTTTGAGTACAGTTCCAGCTAAATGTTGGACACACCTCAATGAATAAAAGTTTGTAGGCACTTGGTGATCCAGCATTTTTTCTGAAATCAAGGCAGTTTCTCCCCCTTTGCTGGAGTAATAGCCTCTACTGTTCTGGGAAAGTTTTCTAATAGGTCAGGGGTGCACAACTCTGGTCCTGGAGGGCCAGTGTTCAGCACAGTTCGGTAGTTTCCCTACTTAAACACACCCACTAAACCTGCCAATTAACAGAGGAGTTGAAGGAGGTGTGTTTGAACAGCAAGATCACCAGACTATGCTGGACACTAGCCCTCCAGGACTGGAATTATGCACCCCTGCACTAGATGTTGAAACATTGCTATGAAGATTTGATTGCTTTCAGCCACAAGAGCATTAGTGAGGTCAGGCACTGCTGATTAGTTCTGGATTACAAACATCACTCCAGCTCATCCCAAAGGTATTGGATGGAGCTCCATCACTCCAGAGAACACAGTTCCACTGCTCCACAGCCCAATGCTGTGGGGCTTTATACTCCTCTATCTGGTCTAGCTGCTTAGCATTGGGCATGGTGACTTTAAGCTCATGTGCAGCTGCTCCAGGGCGTCCAATTCTATTGGCAGTGCTTCTCTATGGAGATTATACAAGCTATGCATGTGCAACTGAACACTTGTGTCAGAAAGGATTGCACCTTGAAGTAGCTGAATTCACTATTAGGTGTGTCTGGATACTTTTGGACAAATATTGTCTGTTTTTTTTCATAATCATAAAGATGTTTTGATATAAATGCTCATGCATAAGTGCTTCAAATTTATTTTAGTAGTGAAGTTTGGTTTGTTTAGTAGTTTAGTCTTGAAGTTTTGACTGGTACCATACTTTACAACACCTCTCTCTCTCTCTCTCTCTTTCATTCACTCTCTCTCTCAGATTGCTGGAGTGAGTTATACCCCACCCTCACCCGTGCCAGTGCTGATATCCCCATCCTCCACTTCCTGGGATCCACTGACAGGTTGATCGTGATCGGTGGAAACAATTTTGAAACTGTGGTGACGTCCTTTTGTGTGGACACTCAGAAGTGGGGTCAGATCAGAAGCATGGAGAAGACGGCTCTGATCGGTCAAGGCACAGTGTTCAACAATGAGGTTTACATATCAGGAAATCAGGAGGACATTATTTTTCGGCTGAACATTCACTCTCTGTCTCTCTCTCTGCTCCCCCCACTCCCCATCTCCACCTGCTATGAGAGCTTTTTTCACCTCTGCTTCTGAATCATGTACTATATTCATTGTCAGCACCTTACAGGGGCAGCATAAGGGTGCATACAGGTATGATGTAATGCATAGGTTGTTTATTAAATATATTCTGAACTTGACCTGACTGGGACACTAAAACATCTGCTGAAAACACATGTTATTTGTAGTAGCACCACCTCACGAGTTCACTATTGTTTCACTGTTACAGTTCTGTGAGAAAACTTAAAATGGTTATCTACCAAATAAAACTTGGCTGCTGAATAAAAAGGTTGTTCTGGTTGTCTTTGGTCCTTGTTTCTACACTCATTGTCAATTTTCAGCTCCACTTACCACATAAACTGCTTTTCCACTGCATGGTACGGCTCGACTCGACTCCACTCGACTCCCTTTTGGTACCAGCTGCTTCGTTTCCGCCGTAGATAAAGTAGCCCCTCAGAGCTGGTCGGCATCTGGTACCAGGTACCAGATTTGCCTAATGTAAAACAAAAGATAAGAGTCGAGTCGAGCCAGAACCATGCAGTGGAAAGTTTAGGCGCACTTTGTAGTTCTACAATTTCAGACTGTAGTCAATCAGTAGTCCATCTGTTTCTCTGCGTACCTGTTTTACCCTGTTCTTCAATGGTCAGAACCCCCACAGGTCCTCCAAAGAGCAGGTGTTATATGGGTGGTGGATCATTCTCAGCACTGCAGTGACATTGACATGGTGGTGGTGTGCTAGTGTGTGTTGTGCTGGTACAGGTGGATCAGACACAGCAGTGCTGCTGGAGTTTTTAAAAACCTCAGTGTCACTGCTGGACTGAGAATAATCCACCAACTAAAGGTTTCCAACCAACAGTGTCCAACAGTGTCCCTGTTCATCAAACTGTGCATCACAAATGAGCCATTGTCCCTGACTTTACCTCTATAAGGTGGACCAACAACATAAGTGTGTCTAATAGAGTGGATAGTAAGTGGACACAGTGTTTAAAACTCCAGCAGCACTGCTGTGTCTGATCCACTTGTACCAGCACAACACACACTAACACACCAACATCACTTCAGTGTCACAGATCCACCACCAAATAATACCTGCTCTGTGTTGGTCCTGGCCATTGAAGAACAGGGTAAAAGGGGGCTAACAAAGTATACAGAGAAACAGATGGACTACAGTCTGTAATTGTAGAACTACAAAGTGCACCTATATGGTAAGTTCAGCTGATAAAAAGGATAAAAGTGTAGATACAAGGAGGTGTGCGTAATGAAATGGCTGGTCGGTGTACAAGCTGTGTGCGTGCAGTCAAATGCTTGTGTCAGCAATGGGTGCACCTTAAAGCTGAATGCACTCATTAGAAAGGTTGTCTGGATGTTTTCGGACATTATTACTACATGAGTACTACAAAATTAATAATGAAATACGTGAATATAGTACAATAATATTGTCATACTACTGGGGCCCTACAAAATTTTCTATAGTTTTCCATAGTAAATGTGTGGACTTCCATATGAAAGTGTAATAGAACTCATAATGCCTGTCAACACTCTTTTCTTCCAACCATTCTCCACAGTCAATTTCCAAGAATGACCACGAGCGTCACAATGGCAACGGACGCCCATTACATGACACGCTCACAAGCCATATTTAGTGCACAACGCAGGAGACATGGGAACTGTTCTAAACATGCACTAAGAAATCATCCAGCGTCTTCCTCCTTTTTTAGCTCTTTGCGGCAAGATTGTTGATATTTGGGCCACTAGACTAGCCTGAGCCAGAGCGGTGTCCAGTTACACACTCACACATACACGCTGAGAGGGAGAGCAAGGAAGAGAGAAACATACAGAAGAAAGGTAGAAGCAGAGAACGTGGGAGAGAAGAGAGTGTGACCTGAGTGTGCATGTAAGACTGATTTCCACCTACAGTTTACTTGAGCAGAGTCGTGTAAAGGGCAGCAGTGTCAGACTGAGCTCCACAGCTGTCTCTGCACAAGGAGTTCCCACTGACCCTGAGTGGAACCTGGAGGTCTCCAGTCATTCTGTTTCACTACATCAGCATACGACCACACTGCTACAAGAACAGGTACAGTAACATTGTTTGTCTTTCTTTAAAATAATAAATATTGTGACCACATATTTTTGTCTGTGTCTTATAAAGCAGTCATGACTTAACAAGAGCCTAACCCCTGCTTGCTTATGTCCTAAAGCCTATTATGGTTTACTTGTTATGCTATTATCTATATTAACACACTTGATTCTCAGTGGTTTATGGTAAGCATATGGTATGGTGTAGTAGAGTATTATATGGTATGTATAGGAAGGGTTTCCTTCTAAAGTGCATTATAGATGCCTTTCAAGAATTTTCTCTCCTTTTTTCATTATATACATTATTTGGAGAAAAAAAAAATACACAAACGTTTCCATGCTATATTATGATTAATATCACCTTTATGACAGCAATAAAAGTGTGTTTTAGATTATATGTCAGATATTATTATTTTAAAAAACTTGTTATATCCAAAATTGTTAATGAGAATACACAATTTTGAAATAAAACTCTTCATATAATACTTTACACTGTATAACAATGATAAAAATGGTAAACGTTTCTGTGGTTAACTGTAAACTGTTCTCCTGCAGATTGACAGTAATCTAAGATTGATTTGCACATAGCCTGCTTACTCATGGCTTCATTACTAATTAGTGATAATACACTTAATATTTTTTATATGGAGTGAACAGCTACCGTTTTCTGTGACGTTGCCGGCGTCAACCTTCACGCACTGACGCATACCTCTCCAGCAGTCCTCCTGGCTATTTTCTGCTTGCTCAACTTTGCCCCAGTTGGTATGCCTCCAGTCATATGACATGGAAAAAGAAACTCAAGCGTTACACTGTCACTAGTACAACCTGTGAGGACAACACTACCTGACTGAGTAACCTATGACCTATAAATCTGTCATGAAGGGACTGCTCACTTTAACATAAACCTGTTGGTGGCAATAACACTAAAACTTTTAACAAGTGCAAAATTCAAAAGAAATATTTTCTTTGTGTTGGGTAGATTAATGCCTTATGGGCCCTCATTTTTGGCCTTTCTAAAATAAACACAGACGTTTGAAACTTTTAAAAGACATTTTATACATTGTTATTGATGTTTGTAATGGACATTAACATAAATTTTACCCTAGCAACACTTTCACTAAAGAGCCTTAGGGTAAAGTGTATGTACAACAAGCAAATGAACTAAAACTAGAGACTTATTTTTTAAAACCCAGAAGTCATTAGGCATAAAGGCCTAGAAGGCCCTGAGAGTTCCCCACTGTTATGAACTTATGAAACACTCCTATCACATTTTTCTGACCTGCTGTTCTGTTCCTTCAGCGTGTGCGATGGCAGAGGCCCACCAGGCGGTGGCCTTCCAGTTCACCGTCACCCCGGAGGGCATCAAATTACAGCTGAGCCGCGAAGTGCTCAAACACATCTACCTGTCTGGAGTGACATCATGGAGAAAACGTGCCATTCAGTTCAAAGTGAGTGGACCTGGTATCAGCTCCTAATAATCTGGATAAAATGGTTTATAATAATCTAAATAAAATGCATTTATAGCCTCACTAACTGGTAGTAGGAACAAGAGCAGTAACACAGCAGGTGAAAACTACTATAGACTAGATTAGGCACCTACAAGAAAAAAGAAAAACTAGAGTTATAAAAATGTTGAGGTATATGTGAACAGTACTGATATTACAAGACAAATATTTAAGCTATTCTATAATAATATCATAGGAGATGAAAAATACCTCACTTTACTACATCCTGACTGAAAGGCATTCTTGTAGTTCCTTGAGTAACATATATTTCCTAGATTAAAACTGTCAATTTTTTCAATAAGTAAACATAATGGAACGCTGTACTGGCTATATTATACTAATAGTTTTCTGATTATTTCTGTTTTGAGTAGAATGGCATCCTCACAGAGGTCTATCCTGCAAGTCCATCCAGCTGGTTATTCATGGTCATTGCAATAATGAGCTCCGTGTATGCCCGAGTAGACCCCTCCATGGGAATGATTGACAGCATCAAGAAAGTTTTACCTGTGAGGTCTGTATATCTGTACCACAAACATAGAAACACTTTAAAGCCATAATTACCAGCTTGTAAATATAGTACATTCCCACGGATTATCAAAGATTACATTAGATTATAGGTGCCTAATTGGATAATTATGTTAGGCGCCAACACACCAGCAAACATGCAAACAGAAATACATTAATGATAGCTTTTGTGCTATTTTTGCTGTTGACATTTTGTTCTTGAATTACGAGCATGGCCTATGGCTTTGGGAATGGCAGCCCAACCCCTTGTTTCAGTGTCATATAAAATGGTCAGACTATTTTGTTGTTTAATATAATTGTGGCTTTACTTTACATTTAATAGCATGCTGTTGCTGTATCTCTATTTTTTAATTTTTTGCAATCATTTGAACACAGAAGCTGTTTCTTACATTGTGACAACATTTTTTGCAATGAACGGACCAATAGAAATGCTCCAGAATTACTCTGAAAAACACCACTTTATATTAACTTACATTAAAACTTTAAAATGTTTTTGCCTTCTCTTGTAAAATTACCACTTTTGAGTTACTTTTTTGGACAGCAACAATATGCTATATTTGAGTAGTCTGTAATACAATTAAATTCATTTGTTTTACATTGGAAAATCTCTCTTATCTGGCATGATGTTGTAATGGGCTGATATAAGGGCTGAAATGAGGCCTACACCCTTCTTATTTAAATATTCAAGAGGGGATCTAAACCATAACGTTTGCATATTTTAGCTTAGATGAGACATTTTACATGATTTCTTTCATACTAAGTCAGTATTTTCTAATAACATTTTTTGATATTTTCTTCTCTGTAGTGACTACCTTACAGTTCAGACTCAGACGGTGTTGAGTGCTATCCTGTTTGCCACGGCCCTGTGGTTGTCCCTGATTCTGCTGCTACGCTACACTCTGAAAGCTCTGCTCTCCTACCACGGCTGGATCTTTGAGCCACATGGCAAAATGAGCGCCTCCACCAAGCTCTGGATGGTAGGGTACACATAGTCAGGCATAGAGGCCTGGAGAGGGAGAACAATCACTGAAAGACTTTCCATTCATTGTTGGAAGCAGTTTGCAGATGCCTGATTCAGAGCATGTTTCTCGTTTTAGAGTCTAGTGAAGATGTTTTCGGGTCGTCGGCCTTTGCTCTACAGTTTCCAGGCTGCTTTACCAAGACTGCCTGTTCCCAACATTGATGACACCATCCAAAGGGTGAGAAGTCCCTCTTGGTCAAGAGATAGGGACAAGAAATAATACCTTTACACAATGCATTTTCAAAAGAAATCAATGGTATAGAGGTTTCCCATTATTCCAAACGTAGTCAATCAACCAAGACATTTTTGGTTTCCAAAGTTTGTTTTAATAGTTTTGCACTGGAGCTATGAGGCTAATGTAGCTAACAAGTAATGGAAGCTTGCAAGAAATTTTCATAATTAGGCCTCAAATGGCATCAAGTTGTTAAGTAATCCCAAATGGACTTGCTTATGGTTTCTGATGCTGCATGACATGCTGTTATCTGTAAAAGTGAACTATTCCTCAAAAGATGGGCCACATCTGTTTCTTTATATGTGACTCTTTCAGTATCTTGAATCAGTGCGACCCCTACTGGACGATGACCAATACAAACAAATGGAAATTGTGGCCACTGAGTTCAAAAAGGACCAAGCCCCCAAACTGCAAAAATACCTTCTGGCAAAATCCTGGTGGGCCAATAATTATGTAAGTAAATCTAAATATAGGCTTTCCTATTTTAACTAAGCTCATTTTTGAACAGTAAAATGAATGTGTGTAGGTGATTAAACTGCACTGTGTCTGTGTTAAGGTGAGCGACTGGTGGGAAGAATACATCTATCTGAGAGGACGAGGCCCTATCATGGTGAACAGCAACTTCTACACCATGGTGAGGACAACAAGGGTGACGACACCACAATTCATATAACTAGTAGTAGGAAAAACGGACCAAGCCAAACTTCCATTGCTTTTTTTTTAATAAAGGAATTTAACATTATTTATAAACTTATATGGGTAGTACATGGAAATTGTGCTGCAAAAACATTTGAAATCCATTGTGATCACAAGAACCAATTCATTTACATTTCCTCCTACTCAGCCTACAGTGGTTTAGACCACCCATTCACACTGAAGTTATAAGGAGTGTTTCAGTTCTGAGTGCTGTTTGAATGAGGCACAAAATAGAACAGCCAATTAGAACAGAGTCTTAAAGGCACAGTAAGAAAAACTGCCTGTTTAATGAGGAATAGAGAGGTTGGAATGTGGTCATGCACAAATGAATTGTGACTATTTTGGTACTTAAACCACACAAATGTTATAACTGGACCTCAAAAGAAAAAGGCAAGAAAAAATGAAGCATATAGACGTTAAGCACCAAAGTGTATATCTATCGTTTTATGAAGCTGAATGTATCTTTGCTGCTAAAAAGGCAAAGAAATGAGTGTATCAACTAAATGTGTAGGTTAGGAACTACTTTTAGCCTAGACAGCTACGTTAGATGAAGTGAATGCACTTTGATTGCAGGTCATATGGAGTTATTTACTTAATTGTCAGGTTATTTGATTTATGTAACACCAATGCAAATTGAATATAATTGTTTGATGTCTGGTTTTCATTGTAGATATCACAATGAATGTTATCAGGATATTAGTCTTGGTATAACTAGTTTTGTTCATAAGGCCTTATATGTGAAAAAAAAGCTAACAGCTCCATCTGTCTTTCTCAGGACATGCTGTATACAATCCCCACCCACAGACAGGCAGCACGAGCAGGAAATGTGGTCCACGCCATCCTGCAGTACCGCCGTAAGCTAGAGCGAGGAGAGCATGCCCCGGTACACACAAATACCCCGAATACTGCAGCTTACATCTGAGAACAAAGACTAGAGCTTTCTGTCATTTTGTTATACTTTTAAAATGAAATCACATGATTGCATCACTGATTTGGAGATTGAATTTGTTACATGTATAATAACTGTATAATGAGCATGTAAATGTGTATAGTGAACTACACACAGTCAGTTGACATTCTGTAGACCTCGATATCCACAGGTTCACGTCTGTACTTCCAAGACTTTTTTCTGTTTTTTTTCGATGACAAAGATCAAAAAAGCTAAACTTGTCTTAAGTTTAACTTTAGACTTAAGGATGTCTTTTCTTTCCATAAAACAAGACTGTACGCATACAATAATTCATAATCATAATAAAATATCAACTCTATTACTTAAAAACACAAAAATGGTACTGAGTGAAATTTCAGAACCAGCACTTTAGAAAAATTCTCCGCTTGTTTTAGTGTGATAAAATGAAGAGAAATATAATTAACATAAAATTACAATATGCTTTTGTTATTGCCATCAATACCATTATTGTCTATATTTGACTGACTTAATTTTGTCTTCACAGATGAGAGCTCTGGGGGTGGTACCTATGTGCTCCTATCAGTATGAGAGAATGTTCAACACCGCTCGAATCCCTGGCCTTGAAACAGGTAATGACCATGTGTATATCTGTGTATAAAAGAACTGGATGAGAAAGCTAATACTGCAATCAGATGCTCCATTTTACAGCATGATGGATGATCATTACTGTCCTTGATTGCCAATATGGAAATCTGACCACTGACATTAAAAAATAAGCAAACAACAGAATTCAAACATGATAATTGTAATATCCACCATCAACAACACAAGGACAAACAGCACAACACTTCTCACCACTCTAGATGTGCATTTGATCAGAGGTGGACACTAAAACAACTAGCAGTAATAGTTCTGCTCAATTCCTCACGTAAGCTGTCATAATTAGTCAAATGAATAATGGTAGTAGGGATGAAAACCAATAGTGCTGATGAGTTGAATGTCTAGATACAGTATAATCGAGTGGTCACTGAAATACTGCTCAACTCAGTAAAAGTTTCTTATATGAGTAATATGGTAAAACCTCACCAATGTTAGGGGTCAGGTCAGTGTCTGTGCCATTTACTGATTATATCTGGGCAAATCACTGCATGATACAGAAGCTGAATAACTATTTTGTGTTCAGATTATGTCCAACATCTGAGGAACAGGAAGCACCTGGTTGTGTACCACCGAGGACGCTTCTTTAAGGTGTGGCTGTATTATGGTGGTCGCCATCTCTTGCCTTCAGAACTGGAGCAGCAGTTTCAGCACATCCTCAACGACACCACGGAGCCTCAGCCTGGAGAACTCAAACTTGCCTCACTCACAGCCGGGAACAGGTGAACACAATACACACATAAATAGCCATATATTTGTAATATTATTATATTTTTAATCTCAATATATCTAATTAGAATATTAGCAAGTAACTAATATTGCTTTAAGCAAATTGCAAAAGCACTGCTATTCTCATTTTGTGTCCTATTAATTTGTCTTTAGATATTTTCAGGGTAGTGCACTCAATTAAACTATGCCAGCATGCAGATTATATTTTGACTTCCTTTATAATCACTTACAAAACTGACTGCTCCTTCACACTGGGCAGTTTCAGAACTGTACTCACAAAACTTCTGCTCTACATCGCTAGAGTTCCCTGGGCCAAAGCACGGCAGAAATACTTCAGTGATGGGCTCAACAAGATGTCTCTAGATGCCATTGAGACAGCTGCCTTTTTCCTGACCCTGGATAATGAGGCACATGGATATGACCCTGAAAGGCCAAGGTCGATGGATCTCTATGCCAAATCCCTACTGCATGGAACGTGCTACGACAGGTATGGGGGAGTTTGCAGAATTGCTTTTCGTGTGTCTTTGGAGCTGAGTCATTAAGAATAGAATTACTGTGGTTATGTAAAGACGCACCTGCAGTCTGCTTATTACAATGCATCAGGCAAAAGAGAATCTATCTTTAGATGCATAGAATGACTCATAACAATCCATAGTATGCAAAAACACTCTCTTACTGTCGACCTCTCTCACTGTGCTCTTTTATCAGGTGGTTTGACAAATCTTTCAATCTGATTGTCTACAAGAATGGTAAAATAGGGGTGAATACAGAGCATCATGGGCAGACGCCCCAATCATTGGGCACATGTGGGAGGTAAGCATGGACAGTATGACTATGAATTATCTGATTTATTAAACAGATAGTTTGGATTCTAAAAGCTGATTTGCTGAGCCACATTTGATATGCCCACATATGATCACAAACATAATTTTACTTCTGTATTAATATGCCAAGTCGTTAAAAACCATCTTGCTCTTCATAGAATAATAATTGTATTGTTTGGCATTAAGCAAAGCTGGGTATTGATACTTTTCGGTACTGATACCAATATCTTCTCTTTAATATTGATTCATAAACGATACTTTTTCCAACGCCTTCTTTTAAATTACAGACCAACAGTGGGTGTGGCTTAAATCAGAACTGATTGTGAATTGCTGGAAATGGGTGTATTTACCCCCCGCGGACATTAAGAAAATGCACACAGAATGAAATTTAGACAGCGAGTCCAGTCTAGAGTTTGGAACAAGCATGCTTTTTGTCTCACGAATGCTGATAAGTCTGACTTAGATATTGAAATTTACTATTAAATATCATAACTTTTTTCAATACTCAGTAATAATAATTAAACACTTTGCTCTGTACCATAAAAGTATTGAATTATAATACCTGGCCCTAGTAGCCATAGCCTACTAGTAACAAAATACACTATATGGCCAAAGGTATGTGGACACCAGATCATCATAGCTATATGAGCTTGTTGGACATCCCATTGCAAAACTAGGCACATTAATATGGAGGTTACCCCCTTTTACAGCTATTATGGCCTCCACTCTTCTGTGAAGGCTATTCACAAGATTTTGCAGTGTGTCTATGAGAACGCCCCAGACCATTATCCTTCCTCCACCAAACTTTACTGTTGGCACTATGCATTCTGGTAGGTAGCCATCTCCTGGCATCCACCAAACCCTGCCAACGGTCTAAGTTCATGACACTGAGCTCTTTGGTATGACCCATTCTACTGCCAGTGTTTTCCTGTGGATAGTGCATGGATATGAGCTTGATTTTATACACCTGTTAGCAATGGTTGTGGCTGAAACACCTGAACTTAATGATTGTCTACATACTTTTGCCCATATAGTGTAAATTAGAAGAAGAAGCCTTTTTTATTGGCATTATTTATTTATTTCTTACACATCAGTGAAAAATTTCACATCTTGTCAAATTATAACCAGTGATAGTTGATAGAAAACATTGTATGTGTTCCCTCCAGGACATTTTGGCTACAGATGTCTTCCGCTTGGGTTACACTGAGGAAGGCCACTGCAAAGGAGACATCAATAAAGGTCTGACTTTCCCGACTAGGCTACAGTGGGACATTCCAAAAGCGGTATGATTTACCAACTGCAGTGATGAAAGGAAGTGGGTTAAAAGAAATGGTTTCACTTGTACTTACTGTAGCATATGACCCTTCTCTCTCTTCATCTCAGTGTCAGGAGATTATTGAAGGCTCTTATGCAATCGCAAAGGAGCTGGCTGACGATGTGGATTTCTGCTGCTGTGTGTTTGATGAATTTGGGAAAGGCCTGATCAAGAAATCCAGAACAAGCCCTGACGCCTTCATCCAAATAGCGCTACAGCTTGCTCACTTCAGGGTATGGAAAATACTCATTAAGACACATTTTCTTCAACAGCCTACCTTTGTATTATTGACGATCACTGGTGTTTTTTTCTTTGCATGTTTGGAGTAGGACAAAGGTGAGTTTTGTCTTACATATGAGTCCTCGATGACACGGATGTTCCGGGAAGGACGGACAGAGACTGTTCGTTCCTGCACCATTGAATCTACAGCCTTCGTTCGGGCCATGGAGGATGAGGCCTGTATGGTAAGAGCAGACTCTGAGGTGGGAGGGGGGAGTGATAGGCCTACTGACATAGAGAACCAACATTTTATTGAGTTTAAATAAGAAAAGCCCAAACTTTTTGTCTTTGGGGCCAAAATACAATTTTTATGGTGGCCTGTGGGCCAAGGGCCAAAATTGAGTACCTGAGTAATATTTTGTTACTGAAATACTTCAAAAATACATTTGGGCAGGCCTGTTTTACATTTATAGAGAAAATGTACTTAATATTCTGTCTATTTGTGCTCTTCGATAAGCAGAACGAGCAACGGCTGGCCCTGTTCCGGAGAGCCGCAGAAAAACACCAGAACATGTATCGTCTGGCCATGACAGGAGCTGGCATTGACCGCCATCTCTTCTGCCTCTACATCGTTTCCAAACTACTGGACATTGAATCCCCCTTTCTCAAACAGGTATGAGGAATCAGATAGAAAACAGATTTGATATGTCATCAAATTGAAAGAGCTAAAGGCTAAACATGAATGTATATCCTCCAGGTTCTTTCAGAGCCTTGGCGTCTCTCCACGAGTCAGACTCCTCAGCATCAGCTCAACCTTGTTGATATGCAGAAATTCCCTAAATATGTAGGAGCTGGAGGAGGCTTTGGCCCTGTGAGTGTTTCATTCACCTAACAGGACACTGGACATCACTTTGCACTCTGCTCCTCAGGCAAAACAAGACATTAATGCTTATAATCCTATGCAGTACATAAGTATCCAGCATTCATCAGATACAACTACATCAAATTGTAACCTACATGTTCATTGTGAATTTGCTGAAGCTTTAGTTTACCTGAAACTTTCAGTTTATTCTGACTATTTGCTTGCAGGTTGCTGATGATGGTTATGGAGTTTCTTATAATATTGTCGGGGAGAATCTCGTCACATTCCACATCTCCAGCAAGTACTCTTCCCCAGAAACGGTAAGACACGCACAGGTCTAATGTGACATCTCTCTATGACAACTGCTAGAGCTACAGAGCTACCACTAAAACAGAAATGTAGCAATTTTATGTTTTGTTTATACATTATCTATATTGGGCTCAGGGGTGATAAATTAGTTTATTTTAACCACACGGAGACATTGAGAGAAACGAAATGGTGTGTCTTAAGGACGAAGGTGAAACGTACAGTTGGAACCAAAGGTTTGGACACCTGGTAAAATTTCAGATTTTGTATTCTACAAAGAACTTTTGTAGTTCAAGCATATCATCGGCTCCATACTTTCACTTTTAATTGGGCAGGATTTTAACATACTCACACTTTTATTTAAGTACAGTTTCTCTGCAATTTTCCCAACACTGGTAATCAGCTACATGTTTTAAGATATATTAAGCAAAAAATTATGCTCCTGGATCAATTCACCTCTCTCTCTGTCCACAGGACTCACATCGCTTCGGGCAGAACATCAGACAGGCCATGCTGGACATTAAAGCACTGTTCAACCAGAAGCAGAAGGCAAATTAACTATCAACAGCATGAAGTGAAGACATCACAACACACAAACCATACATGGCTGGCCAGCTGCACGGCTTAGAGCTTACAGGACGATCACAGAACACAGAGAACCTGTAAAAATCTGTACAGTTATTATATATATATTTCTAATTTTTTTGAATGTAATGAATCTGTTTTAATTTACTGCTTTTTCAATTAAGAAATAACAAAAACTGTAGAATATTAAGAAAAAGCTAAATTCAGGTATATTTTTAAGAAAAATCCTTAAAGTTCTGTAAATGTACACAATGTAACATACTTGTAGAGAAATAGTGTACAGTGTACAATTGTAAATACTGACTTTAATGTACTTGAAGCATGTTGATTTCCTTTGAAAGTTACAGGTTAGATGGTTTGGGGCAGTGGAGTAATGTCCACCTAGTATATTTATGCATATTCCATTAAATTATTTGACTTTTTGCTCATCTGTCCAACACTGAAAGCTTACAGAGGTAATTTAACTGATTTTTCAAAAACCTACAGTCAAATCAATAAGATGTTAACAAGTCATTCAGAGGGCTTTGATGTGAAATGCTCTATTTTAGATCAACTTATTATGAATTATTCACAATGGTGGTGGCCAAATGTCTCAACCATTTAATGCCTTCAAGACTTACTTCATAGAAACTTATTACGGGAAACTGTTACAAATATACATACAACCTGTTTTGTAAAAAAGTTTGGCCTTTATCTTTAAAATACATGCAGTGTGTTGTAAGACCAGGATCCAAAGACTTGTGTGAATTGTAGTCATGGCGACCCCTGGTTCCTTTAACCACCATTGTAAAGAAATCTGAGTCAGTTCTTTGACGCTCAGAACAACTGTTTACATCTCAACAAATGAAATGTAGACATTTAGAAAAATCAGTAGAATTCTTGTTTAATTGATCTCAGTCTACACTACACGACTACACTGCATTTATCTGGAATTGTCAGTTCCACCTATCTCTCACCATAGGCGTGCTCAGAATTTTTTATTATTGGTTGAAGACTATCAATATAATGTAACAGAGCGTTTCTGCTAGAGTCCTAGAACAAAAAGCAATATTTACAAATAATTCTGGGTATAAATAAAAAAAGACAATGCTAAAACAAAGTCAGCTTTTGCTAGTTCAAACCTCAAAGAGAATCTCCAGCTCTAGTCAAGCACACACTATTATGGGTCCTTTCATCACACGCAAACAAAGGCACATGTTTCCCAAGAAATTAAAAAAGATCAGATTTATTCAGGGGGCATAAAGGCATATGTCACCATTAGTGAATCAGACAGAGAAAAAGAAAGAAAGAAGAGAGAGAGAGAAAGAAGAGATCATCAAAGGGTCTTCATAGGAGAATATAAAAACTTAACTCTATCACAGAGAAGAATCTAATGAAGTCTATATGAAACCGTGAATATCATACAATATATAAACTGCATCTCAGCTGTTTACATTCTCCGACAAATATCAACACACTGCCATTTAAGGTAGACATGGTACACTTTGAAGAATATGTGGTCTTGATTATTATTTTAAAGAGGTATTACTTTTGATTCATTCAGTCTATTCAAAACCATGAAAGGGTCACTTTATTTGATTGGTTGAGGGGAATATAATACAAAAGTCAAAGTTAAAAAAAAAGAAAAAAAAAGAAAAACAAAGACTTCAATTTACTCACATCTTCTTTTCATCAGTTTGTCTTTAGCAGTGAGCTGAAGGCATCGGTTACAGTCTGAACTACTGCTAGGCTGAGCGAAGAACCAAAACATTGTGTGTTGCTACAACATATGAGCACACTAGTGATTCTTATATCAGTGAGTCTGTGTACGGTGGAGTTTGGGGGAGTCAAACTTTGAAGAGGAACAGAAGATTCACAATGAATCAACAGTATCAGATTATCATCATACTCTTCATTTACTGTAGAAGCTGCCTTACAGCTACATGCTTCTGCAGCTTTTTGTAACAGAAAACTATAGACACAAAAAGCAAATGTTTTTTATCTTTTTTATCCTTTGTTCTTTTTTTAAGATTTCTTTTAACTTTTGTGCATGTCCATGGGGTATCTGCCAAGGCCACAGTGGGCAGGTGGCGTTTGAATCTACTCTTGTGGTGGTGCTAGAGTAAACTAACTGTTCAGGAAAGCTGGGTCAGGTTTAGGACGTAGTTCCTGGGGTGGTGTTGACGTTCTGTGTGGCCACCTGTGGCGCGACCTCGATGATGCGGGGTTTATCGATGATGCGAGCTGTGCGGTTGCCTTTCTCTACGATGCCTATGATCCATGCCTGGTGGCCCTCGCCATATTTGGGAGACTTGATCTCAGCACAAAAACGAGCAGCCTGCTCCCGGGGAAGACAGATTAGCAAGCCTCCTGCAAAAAATGCCAGAGAGAAAAAACCGAATGACAGTGCACAGCACAAATGTTCACAAATTTGCACTGCCAAACACTGTACACTCTGCAAGTACAAGTATGTCTAGTCAATTTGAATACACTGTAGGGCTGCAATGATTAGCCAACATTATACTGCAACACACTACAAAAAGCACTGGAGGCGGTAAGACTTCTGTTGTTTCACTGCACCATAAAAGAAGAAATCTCTTGTTGCGTTAACTAAACGTTTTTTGCCAGACCCATAGCCTCAGGTCTCATAGACTTTGAATGTACATTCTGTGACATCATCACGCTGAATCTGTGAGGCTACAGGGCTACTAGCATATTAAAGCAGTAATGAGAGGCCGTTTTAGCTCAACTAACTTGCATGGTTGATATCCACACCAAAATCTTCACATTTTCACACAAATATTTCATTACTTTATTACATCAAAAGATACTCTTTTTTTGTTTGTTTCATTTTTTTATTTGTATTTTTTTGGAATTCCTCCCGTTTCACTTGCATTTCGCTACGAATTTTGGTAACTCCACAAGCAAAGTCTGCTGAAGCCTGCATCCCAAGCGACCTCTCTGGAAGGTTGCAAAAAGTCTGCATTATCCCCCTTATGAATAAACAGTAGAATTAGACAGCCTGAGCCACCTGTGGATTTCCCGTTAACATGCATGTTAAATCTATGTTTCTACTAAGTCCAGAGAAGACCGGAAATCTAGTTTAGGCATTAGACTAATGACTGAGCTCTGACAGGTCAAACCACAGAAGGCATAAAGACTCGACTAGTCGATTAACTGAATTCTAAAAGTTAGATCAATCGATTACAGAAATAATTGTTAATTGCAGCCTGATTGCTTTTTGTTCCTAAATGTTACGTAAATAGTGTTTCAGCGTCTCTCCCCTAAGAAAGTAACAAGATAAATCAAACTGCCTGACTGGCACGGAGCTCTACGTCATTCACTGGAAAGCTGAGTCTCTCTCACCTGAAGTCTCCGGGCAGGTGCCGTGCATGAGGCCAAACATGTTCCCGCAGGCTTTGCTGACCGCAGCCATCTTAGCAAGGACAGGCAGGTTGTGAATGACAAAGGAGACCTCGCTGCGCTGCTGCCGAGCAAGATTCTGTGCATGTCCCAAAATCCCAAAGCCTGTGATGTCAGTGGCAGCGTGCGCATTGAATGTGTGCATCAGGCCTGCCGCTAGAGACAGAGAGAGACACCAGGAGAGGGATGAGTGTGGAGAGCTCTGTGTGTGTGTGCGCCTATATTGTTATTTGTAAATGTCCAGTACTAACCTGTTCTGTTGAGTCTGGCCATGTTCAACATGGCCTCCTGATAGGCTAGCTCCACATCCTCTTGAGTCACTACTAACTTTATCTTGTTCCATTTCTCTGGCTGAGAGGAAGGGAGAGATTTTATATAACCATATAATCAAAGTAAATTTTAATTTCACTATTAATTAGACTAGAGACAATGTGAATGTGCTATTTCAGACTAGATTTGTTATAAGATTGGATTGGATTCATTCTATTTTGCCTCCCTCAGATTCCTGATCTTGCATTTTCTGCTGGTGTCAGCCTCATAGAAACAGATACTCCACATTTATTCCAGACTTATATATGATTGCATTCAGCAGAATGTGTACAATACTAAAATACATTTCTTACTGCACTTGTAACTATCTACAAATAAACCTTTCATTTTTACAGAATGCTAATCCAGCTGGACTTCGTCTCAATTTCTTTTTATAAATGTATGTACTTCAAGACCAGCATTAACAGACATGTACATGAAAGTATCAGACATCATCCAAGAAATCCCACCTCAGTGCACCCTAAGTATATACCAAGTAAAGTATGATGCTGATCTCAAAAATAAAATAAATAAAAATAAGTAATTTTGGTGCTATATTGGCCCTATTCCAGCACTACTAAGTATAATCACTGAACTTGTATCAAAATATAAGGGACAGACTCACGATGTCCAGCCACTGATGTACCACTACTGCCACCTGAGTTCCCAGAGGTTTGGTAAGAACCAGCACATCCCCTGGCACTGCATTATCTGGCCTTTAGCACACAGAGGAGCACACCGTCACAGACACACAAAACAGATTATTAAAGGAATGATAAATGCACAAAGTACAAAAAGCAACATACGTGAAATCAACAAACATGCTTACATGATGAACTCATTTGGCTGGCACACTGTTGTGGCAACACCCCCCAGGACTATCCAGGGGTTCACAACAGTCTGACCACCAGTCACTGAGGTGCCAGCCTCTTCTGACGCATCCTTAAAACCCTGTATTATCAGCGGCATCACTTTGTCCCGCTCCTACATGTATGTTAACACAAACACAAGCATACAAATTAGAGGGCTCAATTCTCTAAGCAAATACAAATCTTTTTGGGTCAAAGCCCTCCAACTATTATGCTCTATCACACAATACAGAGCGAAGAGGCTTGACCTCATATTTACGGTAGACAGAAAAGCTTTAATTTTCAAACATTCACTGGTGTTTTTAACAGTCTCACCTTTTCTGAAAGTTTGTTACTAACACCCAACAACATCAACATGTTATCACACTCAGTCACTCCCATCGCATAAAGGTCACTCAAGACGTTGGCACACGCAATTCTGCCCTGAAAAGGAAACACAGGTTGAATTTATTATTTTGTATTTTGCAGTTCTCAGTAGGCTAAAAGCTAAGGATGGGCAAAATAGTCAAATTTGACATTTGAATTTGTGAGGTATTATTCCGACAATGGCCACATCAGATGTACGAGACTAGAGACAGCAATGCCACTCGGCATCTTACAATTACCGTGCTGTATTAACTCAGACCCAAAAAAACATATTCATTTAGGTGACATATGGCTTGACATTTACCTAGAAAAAAGTGTCACTCTGTAGTCTTTAAGATAGACAGGCAAATGCTAATCGTCTTGTTTTCGTCTCACTTAACATTACTAGCACAGTCACATTATATCTTTTAGCTCAAAAACAGAAAGCATGTGAAGAGTTAGTAAAAATATACACACACAAATATATACATACACACATACATATATATATCAATCTAAACACATACACATACATAGTTCCATTAAATCCACATGAGAGTAGAGTATAAAATGAACTTGAGCTTCTTGTTTATGTGTCCTTTTCTTCAACGCTTCTTATGTGCTACAGCTGCACTTTGTACTATCTGCCGGTACGTGAAGTGTGACGCGAAGCTTCTTGTCCACTGTGCGATAGTTGGCTATATTAATCTTTTTTTGGTTCCTTCTTTGGAGTATACACTTTTTTTTACACTTTCATGACTACATGAATATTCAAAGACACTGACCTATCACTACTAATTGCAGACTCAGGCTGAGTCAAATGGAGACAGTAGTTAAGTTATAAAACTGAAGTGTTTGTTTACCTAGTGTTTCACTGAAAACTGATTAGAAACATCAATTTCCCACTTCTAATTAGCAAAATCTCTGCATGAATAACATGGTACACATTCTATTAGCGTGATGTGTATGTTCTTAAAACATATTTACCATCATGTATGGGTCATCCACTATAGGGTAGATGTAATCTGTGGTCTGCACTAGTGAAAGGCCGCCATGTCTCAGGGGTATCACACAGGTGTCCATGCCGATGCCTGTATAATAGACAAGACTTAAATTACATTTAATGGCCAAACATACATATAGTCATAATGTACATACCCATGTACATTATGACTCACCCTTCTCCAAAACAAAGAAGACTTTGTAGTGCAAACTAATCTAGCTCTTGTGACCACAGTGACTATCCTAATGTGCTTGGATTGGATGGATTGTATAGTTACAAACCCAGTCTGGGCATAACTGCCCCAAGGAACTGCTCATCTTCCTGATAATGGTTCTCCTGCAAGGACTCTAGAAGTTTCTGAAGTACATCCTGCGGAACTTTGCAGCCGGTGCCTTTGAGCTCTGTGAACCGTGTTAGCCTGAAGCTCTTATCCAAGTCGTAACTCTCTGGGTTAAAAGCCTCCCGCACTGACATGGTTTAGAAATTACCGGACCCCACACCAGTCAACACACTGTAAAAGAGAAAGAGAGATTTTTTTTACTGAAATTGCAATTGGACAAAATACAATTTTCAAACTGGCAGGAGTTGCCAATTTTATTTGTATTCTTCTACATCATTTTATGAGTGAAGAAATGTAACCTAATAACACAGAACTCTGAATGCTGGTCTTAATTTCTAGATATATCTATAGACATTTATACATACATACATACATTTTATATATATATATATATATATATATATATATATATATATATATATATATATATATATATATGTGTGTGTGTGTGTCTAAACACACACACACACACATATATATATATATATATATATATATATATATATATATATATATATATATATATATATATATATACACATATACACATATACATACACATATACACATATACATATACATATATATATATATATATATATATACACACACACACACAATAGGAAAGGCATGCTTTTCACAGGAGCATTTTAAAAAGTAAACTGTAAAAGTTTAAATACAAAGATATTTGAACACTGCATTCATGTAAGTTCACTTTAGAGGAGTAACGCAGGTCAGTCCTCCCCTTTAAAACTGCGCGCGTAGTTCGCGCGGCAGAACGCGCTCTTCAGTCACTGGGTTATAAACTCCCAGCAGGTTTAACGTTATTACATTTCATACACAAAGCCACGCAGGTTTTACCGTAGCCTTTAGCCAGGACCAACAACAAACGTACGATTCGCTTCACTACAGGTACAATGACAGAACCTGAGTGCAGGTTAAGCGCTGAAAGTGTCTGAACTGTAGAATCCTGCTGCGGCTAGGCCTGAGCTCCCTACTGTCCACCACAGCTCTGTGGGCCATGTAAGCTACTGCTCCACGAAAACAGCTGTAAAAAGTTACAAACGGTGTGTAGATGAGTCCTTCAACTTCGGCACTGCACATTTACAGCCACGTTGCAGTGCATAAGTGAGCTGAGATGGGGTAAATAAAGTTAAAGAGTGGGCGGTGTTGGTCATGTAGCTGCAGCTGTTTACACGCCGCTGCCCAGTCTGTCCCAACGCGTTAGTCTGCTAACGTTATACTGCAGCAGACATAACGCTCTCTACTACACGAAGCTGAACTCGGACTCTTATTCGACTTTACCCGTTCCACCTTAAATGGCGCAGCAGTTACATTCTGGCGCCTGAAGCGCCCCAGGGGCCAGAATGGAACTGCTGCACCATTTAAGGTGGAACGGGAAAATTCGAACGAAAAGCTGGCGAATAGAAAGCCAACTTCAGTCTCTACTAAACCACTCCTCGCACATGCACACACACAGACATGCGCCGTGAAACATGCACTTCGCTGCTAAGAGTGAAATGAATTAGTTTTTGTGCAGGCCAGTTGAAGTGTTTATAAAATGTCGGCGGTGGAAAAAATTAACCCTTTCAGCGCCCCGCGCCATGAGAGGTGTGCTGCAACTACTCCTAAAAAAACAGCACGAAGACACCACTGTGCGCCTTAGGCGCTCACTCGACCCGCTAAGACATATAAAGGAGCGGGTAAAGGAGCTCTCATCGTACTTTAAGCACTGTGGCACAGTTGTATTCCCGCACCATTTCCCCTTTAATTGAGCAGCTCTCCTTCTCCTTACCGGTTTCGCTTTAGCGGCGCCTCCCGATACAAGAAAAGCCACAGGCCCACAATCCACAGCGAGCGTCCCGGCCGCCCTCACAGAGCGCCTGACTGAAAACACAGCACCGAGCACCGCGCGTTTCCCTCCGGATTACAGAAGGATCCAGCTGCGGGGAGCTAGGTTTAGCACAGAAGTAGAAATACACCTTTTAAAAGTTGGTTTAAGCAGCGGGTCGGTGACACGGAGGCGGATTTGCCAAAAAATGGTGTCGATCACAAAGGGTCCTGATTTGGCGCTGTGGCGCGATTACCTCCCCTTTAAAGAAGCTCAACAGAAAGTAGGGATGGACGATACCACTCACTTAGTTTTCCATCTGATACCAAACTCCGATACCAAAACGCATTTAAAAGTCTTCATCAGCTCGTAAAAAGCTGCAAATGTAGACATCACAAAAATTACATTTCAAACCCGTTGCATTAGTATTAAATAGACCTCCTGTTTAGTGGAGTTAAAGGGAAACTCCACCGATTTTTCAAAAATTCTGCATAATGAAATGACTAAGATGTAAACAAAGTAATTTAGAGTGGTTTGGTGTAAAATGCTCTGTTCTACAGAAACATACAGAGTCAAAATTGTTCACTGTGGTGGTGATAGGAACCAGACGTCCACCTCTAAAAGCTCCCTCTCAGAAAGTTATTACGGGAAGTTGTAAATGCTCAGCCTGATGTCTGAGACATTGTTTTTCTATAGTTTTATTGTAAAGTTTTGCCCTAAAATGTATTTTAATCAATTTATTTTAATCTATCCATGGTAGAGGAATGAATGAAGCGTGTTTTTAGACAAAATAGTCTCAGAAGAAAGGTTTTTTTCCCAGATCTCTACCTCTACCGTCATTGACATTATATATAAAACTCAGAAGACCTGTGTAGGTTCACTTGTGGTTTTGGATAGCAAATAACATGGCTATATTTGTGTTGTAGACATCAGGACCCCTGGTTCCTCTCACCTCCACTGTAAAGAAATCTGAGTTGGTAAGTTTGTCTACAATGCATCATTTCACATCAGACCACTCTGAATGACTTTGTTTAAATCTCAACCACTGAATTATGCAGACATTTTGAAAAATCAGTGAAACTCCCTTTTAAGTGTCTGGGGTTAAATCTCAAAAGGCTGCCCACTACGTTGTGTACTGTGTATGAATTAAAATAGTGGTTCCTGCATGTCTAATAAATAGTCATTTGGGATTCAGCCATGTGCACACAATTCCATACTGGACAAGAAGTGCACTGTTTGAATTATCATACATACATAGTGCATTACATAGAGAGGAGGGAACTATTTGAGATCACCGTAGAGCGTTTACTTCATCTCATTTTTCAGCATCACAGAACCAAAAAAAAACAAAACAACAACAGAAATGTTTACAGGCTAAATTATATGTTTAGGTGAGATTCAGTTCTCAAAAAGAAACTTCAGGATCTGATGTGTGAATACTAAAACATTACATTATATTTGATTAACTTTGTACATGGCCTTAAATTGGAATTTACCTTCTATTTACTTGTTCCCTTCTATTTAATAAGATAAAAGAAGTATCTTTATTATAAATAAATATTATTATTATTATTATCTGAAGTGTTTCAGAAAAAAAAGATAAAAAAAGAACTTTTTTGTTTGTTTGCTGAGTTTACTGACTCCACCTTTGACAAAACTAAGCAATATTGTGTTAATATTTTAAAGTCATTTTATTAATTACAAAAATTCTGTATTCATAAATGTGAATACTTGAGTCAAAACCATAACTGGCTGCATTTATAAATTAAGTCAAACAATATTTGAAAATGATTGTGTTTAAAAAATGCCAAAACTTGGTGCTTGTCTATAATTTAATCCTTAATCCTAATCTTTTTAGTTCAGAAAGTCTGTGATGTGGCCTGTAAAGAAGAGTAGCACTGATCACTGAACAAATTTAATCAGAAAGGTTGTGATACTGACTTATATTCCTTTAAATAAGCTGTAAAAACAAAAGGTGTTGGCTTGTAACATACAGCACTCACTGTTTATTAAAGAGCAGATTTAATTAGAAATATGATAATGTCAAGGGGCAACCTTGACTGACTAGTGTAAGGTGTACAGGTGCTGTATGTGTAACTTATGATAGTGTATTATATTTCTTCTTGCAATTTGGTTACGTAGTACTTCATCCAACCTTTTTTTTTACAGTTTTCATCCTATAGGCATAGGACCCTTTATGTAGATATTTCACATGCAGTATCTAATCGTACCTGAGATGTTTGTTTATCATCTGCCGTTTTTAACATCTACAGTGGCAGATGAATGAACACTAAATGTGAAAGGTTTGGTAACATGGCCTGGCCTTTTCTACCTGTAGCATTAAGTAAGGCATTCATAATTTTGCATTTTGTTTGACAGTACTCAAAAATCTGTATGGCGTTTCATATTTTTCAAAGCGTAAAGAGTTCTGACCAAAAACAACACTGCAGTTTATAAACCCAATTCCAAAAAAGTTGGGTGAGTAGATAAAATGCTATTAAAAACAGAAAGCAATGATTTGTAAACTGCCATTGCAAGTATTGAATTAAAAACAGAACAAAGAAGAGAAATTAAATATTTTGCCTCATCAGCTTTATTGATTTTTGTAAATAAACGCTATTTCAAATATTGATGCCAACAACACATTCCCAAAAAGTTAGGAAAGGAGGAATGTTAGATTGGGAAGTTTGTGGAACGATCAAACAGGCTATCATGAATGAGTATAAAACATCAGTGAATAGTCAAAAATGTTTCTTAAAGCATGATTGATTGCAAGGAATTTAGAGATTTCACAATCTACAGTCCATAACATTATTAAAAGATTCAGAGAATCTGGAGAAATCAGTCTAAAGGGCAAGGCTGAAAACCAATGTTGCATGCCTATAACTATCAAGCCCTCAGATGGCACTGCAGTAAAAAACAAGATGGTATTGTAATGAATGTATCCACTTTGGCTTGGGAATACTTCAGTGAACACAGTTTGACACTGCACCTACTAACGCAAGTTAAGACTCTATGTAGCAAAGCAGAAGCCATATGCCAACAACATACAGAAACACTGCTGACTTCTCTTGGCTAAAGTTCAGTAGAGATGGACTGACGCAAAGTGGAAATGTGTGCTGTGGTCTAATGAGTCCACCTTTCGAACTGTATTTTTGTAAATAACGCATGTTGTGTTTCTCCAAGTCAAAAAGGGAAATAGAACTTCTTTATTGTTACCAGAGCAAAATACAAAAGCCAGTGTCTGTCATGGTATGGGGGTGTGGTGGTGCCATGGCATGGGTAACTTCCCGTCTCATCTGCGAAGCCAGCATTAATGCTGAGGGGCACATATGCATTTTGGAACAACATATGCTGCCATCTAGATGACGTCTTTTTCAGGGACGTCTCTCCTTCTTTCAGCAAGGCAATGCCAAGCCACATTTTGCATGTGTTATAACTGAGTGAACTAAGGTAGTGCGTGTGCCAGGCTGGCCTGCCTGCAGTGCAGACCTGTCTCCCATTGAAAACGTGTGGTGAAATATGAAGCGCAATAAAGACCGAGACCCCGGCCTGCTGAACAGCTTAAGTGTTACATCAAACACTTAGGAAAAAATCCACTTTCACAACTACAACAACTGGCGTCCTCAGTTCTCAACCAATTACTGAATGCTGTTAAAAGGAATCATGATGTAATACAGTGGTAACTATGCCTCTTTTTGGAAAATGTTGCAGACATCAAATTTAGAATATGTGTATATATACAAAAAAAAAGTTAATTAGTTGAAACATTAAATGTATTGTCTTTGCACTGTTTTCAGTTGAATAAGGTTACAAAGGATTTGCAAATCACTGCTGTCTGTTTTTATTCCCATTTTTGGAATTTCGTTTACGTAAGCTATAATAAGACACGCTGTGAAAGATTAGTTTAGTAGAGTTTTTAGTTTAAACAATCAACATAGACAATCTGTGCATACAGTACAATAATCAGTCAAGAACCATTAGAGAGTGAGGTAAAAATCCATGTGACTTAGACGTGGGACACAGACATATCCTCTTATACAGGGAGAATTTTAGCACATATTATAATCAACTTATACGGTTACAATACTGATACATTGATTACAATGCAAGGAGAATAACATTAAATACTGCCTATGTGGAAAATGGCACAATATATTATGTTAAACTTTGGAGTAAATGTCCATCAGAATGCTGTTGGAGAGGACCCTCTTGGTATGGCAGAACGAATTAAAGGCACACAATCATATTTTCTCAACATCAGAGCTCCACTTTGTTTTATGAAGCACTTGGAATGAGGTTAAAGAAGTACAAATACACATTACTTCATATATTTAGCTATCAAACAACAACAATCCATGTCATTCACACAAGTCTTAAACCACCAAACATAATAGGAAGTGTCTGTAATGAAACATAAAAATACTTTTTTCAACAGTGTATATAGAGCAGTCAGAGAGTAAGGGAGGTTTCTGTTGTTAGGTGAGCAAGCTCAGTCAGTCCATACTGATCACCATCTTCTTCTATCTAATTTGTCCAGCCCTTGCATCAAGACAGTCAAAGATACTGTAGACCTTACTGGTTCATGGCACAATCTGAACTGTTTTAACTCCATGAGGAAAAAAGGACTTTTTCTGAAGCTGAGGAAAGAATTTTAAGCATTTTCTTCAGCAGCTTGACACCTTTCTTGCACATAATCAGCACCTACAGCAAAGGAGAAAGAATATATGTATGTGAACATATTGTTCATACACTAGCTATATGACAAATAAAATACACATAGCTTCGTTACCATTTAAGCTCATCCCATTTTCCCCATTCTCAGGAGTTAGTTGCGATTCTTCTGGCATAAAACGACATAAAAAGAAATCAGAAGACCATAAATTTACCCTTGGAATGATAGGAAACAGGGGTGTCCGATCTTAGCCATAAATTGCTGACGTGGCTGCACGTTTTTTAATAAAAAAAAAAAACGAAAAAAAACAGGAGCACACATGATCAACTGTTGGAAGAGTGACACTGACCGTTCAGACAAATAGAATCAGGTGTGCTCCAGCTTGTTCTGGAATGAAAATCTGCAGCCACTCCAGCCCTTTGTAGATAAGAATGGACATCCTGGTTTAGCTAGATGGCACTGTTTCCCTTAAAAACTCCATGTATCCTTAACTCCTCCTTTCTCATTTCCTCCCTCTTGTTATTATAAGTTATTATACAGAAAGTTTGAAACAAAATGGTGGAATAAAACTTAAAGATTATAACAGTCTTTTTTCTCATATTATCATTTTCACCTCACTGTAATCATTGTTTAACTTATCTGCCTGCTCCCTTAGCTGATAGGCAGACTCTATAATTTGTCAATCTAATGTTAAGATTGTTGGACAGTTGGGAAGAGTGCATTCAGACACAAACAGCTGTGACAGTTGTAGAAATCCATCAAACTGAACAAAACCGTGATAGTAACGGCACCTAGAGGGCCATATAACTGATCCGTTTGCATGCATAACTATTTTGATTGTAATTATGTTAAAATCTTAAACATCAACATGACATAAAGCATTTTTATTTCCGTGTTTGTGTGCTCCATGTATATTATGTGCCATTGACACTGGATGGTAAATATAGAGAAGACAAGAACCGAAAAACTTTGAAGAGCCTTAAGTTCATTAGCTGACAATCTTACATAAGCCTTTATGAGGGCCAAGTTGACTGATGGACCATCAAACACTTGAAAACATTGTAAAGGTTGTTGGGACATGACAGAACATTACTAAGGAGCACTAATACTAACTGAATATATTACATTTTTAATATTTTTTTTTATTTGTTCCCTGTAGAGGACATATTAGAGGACATGTAATTAGAATGTGCAATTTAGGTAAATAAAGGTGACAATCACACACACACACACACACACACACACACACACACACTTTGTAATCTGCTTATCCCAGCAGTCATTGGGTGGAAGGCAGGAAACACCCTGGACAGGTCGCCAGTCCATCGCAGGGCAGGTGAAAATGACAGTGCATAAACCTTGAAAGGAAACTTTTTTCAAAATTTCTGCACTTTTTAAGATAAAGTCATTTAAAGTGGTTTGATGGGAAATGCACCATTCTGGTGTGGTGGTAATAGGAACCAGTTCAATGTCTTGAAAACCTTATAGAAAGCTATTACATGAAATGGCTATAAACATGTTGCCTGATGCATGAGAAATTGTTTTACAATCGTTTTGAGCTTTAAACAGTCCTTAGATAAAATTTATTTTTTCAGATTTACCACCATTTTACCATTACTAACATTACATATACAAATCAAAAGGCACATGTTTACTGGTCAAGTTGGATAGCAAATAAAATGCCTCTATTTGCATTACAGACATTGCCACCCCTGGTATCTATCACCAACTTTGTAAAGAAAATCTGAGTCAGCAAGTTTCTCTAGAATACTACTTTTTTCATCAAACCACTCTAAATGCTTTTATTTACATTTCAAACATTGAATTGTACAGAAATTTTGTCCCAAATGTGGCCAGAGGTCAAAGTCTTCACCTCGCATGCTGTTCTCAGCACCATTTTTTAATATGCATGTTCTATTGTGTTCCTTTAAAATAAGGGAGCAGTTAGTGATTTAAACAGTGTGGGCTGAGGCTAACTGAAGAAACCAAAGTGCTCTTAATTAGAGGGATACTGTCTGTGTGCTTCTGTACCTGTTGTATCTGTACGTGTCCTGTTGAGGATCTCATCACAGTCTGTACTTGTCTCTGCTGTACAACCATATACACACACCAGTAATTGTAAATACACTGTTATAAACATTCACTAGTTACTTTGCTTTAAAGTACTCAGTTAGTACTTGTACCACACACATGGTACATTTCCACTGACCTCTTTTTAAGCGTCGCCGAGCCAGTTTGATCTGGTCTTGGAGGATCTGGACCCAGTCTCGTGGACCAGGAAGCTTCTCAATTCTGTTAGCAGTGCAGTACTTTTCGGTGAACACTGCATTCAGACACAAACAGCTGTAACATTCGTATTTAACTATCAAACTAAATAAAGCTGTCATCTTGAGGGTATCTACAGGTCCATATAATTTATCCATTTTGAATGCAATTATTTTAACATCTTAAACATCTTGAGACAGCACAACACACAATATAGTGTTTTAATTTCAGAGAAACTGAAAAACATACAAATGACTTTCACTGTAACTTTCCATTGTGGCAGAAACATTTAGTAGGGGCTCCATATGGAACAAATCCTAATGATTCAAATAATAATCATTTTGATTAATTCTAATAATTTCTGTTATAATAAGACACACTTTTCTCTTTTTCCTTACAGTTTTAAAAAAGTGTTTTTTTGTTGTACTTTTTTCACTTTGTGTACGCTTATGTATCAACAGTCAATTCTTTTCTACATGACAATTTTCCAACCTCTTTTTTTCCTTCAAAACAGGATGTTTTTGTTACTGTGCCATGAAGATTGATATATGAAAATGAGCTCTGTTCTGACTGGCTGACCTGTATTTTTCCTCACTTAAAAAGATGCCTATGCTGAAACAATGATGCAATGATGTGCATATCATTTAAACTCTACATTTAATTTAAAATAGTATGAAGAGAACATAGTAAATGTTAAAACTGAAATTATATTGTTTTTTGAAAAGTATATGCCCATTTGGAATTTGACACCAGCAACAGGTTTCAAAAACGTTGGGGCAGGGGCAACAAAAGACTGGTTAAGTTGTGTAATGAAAAAAACAACACCTGGTGAAACACCTGGCAACAGTTCAGTAACATGATTGGGTAGATCGGGACTGGTTCACCACTCTGAAAGACTGCATGGGCAAAGAGTGCAACAATTCAAGAATAACATTTCTCAATGTAAAATAGCAAAGAACTTTCATAATCTGCAGTAAATTATAGAAAATCTCTGTATGCAAGGTACAAGGGCAAAAACCAAAAACCAGTTCTGGATGGCCATGATCTTCAAGGCCCTTAGGCAGCACTGCAATAAAAATGGCATTAAAATCACTGCATGTGCTCAGAAAAACTCCTGAAAACCAGTGTCTGTGAAAACGGTTCATCACTGCACCCACAAATGTTAAAAAGTCTACCATGCAAAGAAGAAACCATATTTAAACAGGATCCAAAAACACTGCTGCCTTCTCTGGGCTTAAGCTCATTAAAGATGGACTGAGTTAAAGTGGAAAAGTGTCATGTGGTCTGACAGATCAAAATTTGAGATTCTTTTTGGAAATAATGAAAGCTTCGTCCTCCAGGTTAAAGAGGAGAGAGACGATCTGGCTTGTTATCAGCGCACAGTTCAAAAGCCAGCATCCGTGATGGTGTGGGGGTGCATTAGTGTACATGGCATGGTTGACTTGCACATAAGTGAACACACCATTAATGCGGAATTATATATAGGCTTTGGAGCAACACATGCTGCCATCCATCTTTTTCAGGGAAGGCCTTGCTTATTTCATTAAGACAATGCCAAACCAAGTTCTGCAGGTATTACAACAGTATGGTTCCGTAGTAAAAGAGTCCATAAGCTGAACTGGCCTGCCTGCAGGCTAGACCTGTCACCTAATAAAAAAACGCTTAGCACATTATGAAATGAAAAATACAACAAAGGAGACCATGAACCCTTGAGCAGCTGAAATCTTATATCAAGCAAGTAAAGGAAAACATTCCACTTTTAAAACTACAGCAATTGGTCTCCTCAGTTCCCGCTTACAGTGTTGTTTAAAGAGGAGACGATGCAACCCAGTGGTAAACATGCCCCTGTCCCAACTTTTTTGAAATGTGTTACTGGCATCAAATTCAAAATGAGGTTATATTTTTCAATGAACATTACAATTTCTCAGTTTCAACATCTGATATGTTGTCTTTGTACTATTTATTAAATAAATATGGGGTTTAAATCATTTGTATATCTTTGCATTATGGTTTTATTTACAGTGTCCCAACTTTTTTGGAAACAGGGTTGTATGTGAAATAATTGTTTTTCATGACATCTAAAAAAAATAATTGAAAACAGACTGTATTTGCAGCTTAGTTTCCATATTATTTAACCATGTAATGTTTTTTTCAATTTTCCACAATAGTGCCTTTAAACAATCTGCACAGACAATCTGTGCATACAAGACAATTACCAGTCAAGAATTATAAGCCAGTGAGATAAACATCCATGTGAAAAAACTATTAAAATAACTTTAAGTACTTTTGCAGATGACGGTGGAATTCATCAAATAATCAACCTCTAATCAGACTGCCTAAGTAGTCATGAAGTGTACTATTAATAGCATGTTTAGCATATTATGCTTTCTTTGCCAAAGAAATCAACCTCACAATATCTCATTCACTGATTTGTTGCCAGTGCAAATAATGCTTCATTCCATATGACAGTCTAACATAAACATTTAACACTATATGCTAATTGGTGACGTGGCATGCTTAAGGAGCATCAAGCCTTTCGAGACAAAAATAGTGAATAAACAAGCAACACATACTGTCATTTTTTTAATTAATTGATATATAATATATTTACATATGAGGCAAGCCATCAATTGTTTCTGTACTCGGGCCCATAAGATCCTAGTTACCCCATTGACTCTCTGTTTTAACACTTTAGCACATTTGTTAGTGAAACATGTCATACACAGTTATGGTACTCCAAGTCATTTTCAGACGTAATTATATTATATACTACAATGTACTGTTTAATTTTGAGCTTGTCTTTATAAAAGCTATTTTGTTAGTTGATGTCCACTCACCTTTGATGGCTCCCACTATGTTCTGGTCAAGTCCTTTCCTATGGTCATTCAAGCCTCTCTTCCTCTTGCCATTGGGCAGGGAGTTAGCCAGCGTAGCGTCATCGAAGAAGGCACACACCAGCTTCCTGAAGAGCAGACTGCCTGAGCGCGTGTAGTTCAGCAGGATGGAGTCCAACTGTGCCTTTGGGATGAACACCTCATAATCCTCTGCCAACTGCACCTCTGGCTGGGAGAGACAGACGGCTGAGATATTAATAAACCTCAATCTAACGCACATGTCCCAAAACAAATACTCACACCCATACAAATACATCATAATCCTCAGCCTTTCACCTCTGACTGAGAGAGACAGATGGTGAAAAAATCAATACATGATACAGAGATGCCTACACCCTTAAAAACGATTCTTCAGTAAAGGCAATGGTTAGATATAGAACTGTGAACACTTAAATGACCATTTCAATGCATACATGGTTCTATGCATGGTTAAATAGTTCTTCTTTATGATGGAAATCCTGTTATGTAAGCTTCTTAAAGGATGGATCTACATAGCATCACAAAGTGTTCTGTTATTAATTCAAGTTAAAACACTCTGTAAAACTCTATTTTTGCAAAAAAAAAATGCCCATATGTTTGGGTGTAGCTGGTAAAACTACGTTTTGTCGATTTTCTGAGGGGAAATAAGTTTCTCAATAGGGAACACACTTCTGCAAATTTGAAAGCAAAACTGATATTTATCAACTTTTTTTCCAATATTTTATTTTCAGCAAATAAATGGAAAATGTGAATAAATATGCCATTTTACATTGGTTCCCTGTAGAGGACATGTAATTAGAATGTGCAATTAGATTTATCAACAAATTATGTAATTTAACCAGGGTGCCTACGTTTTTGCCTAAGACTTTATGGTACAATAACATGAAAGACAGCAAGAGATACATTTTTACACATCAAAAGTAGAACTACATTACAGGCCAAAGATTTAGAAGCACTACTAACTTAGTTACTACTATTGCCGATAACTTAATTTATTTGCCATAGAATAATTTAAATGTATTAAAAAAACACACACATACATAAATACATACACACACATATTAACCATGTTATGTACACACACACACACACATTTCTATACCTCTGTGCAGTTTTGTCCTCTGTTCAGACTATACTGGGCTGATGGTTTGGGGTTAGGGAAAGATGTGTTAGGTATAGTAGGAGATGAAGGCATGGCCATCTCACTCGATGGTTTTTCTTTTTGACAAGTCTCGTCAAGGGATTCAGCCACATGGGGCAGGTACATGGGCGTGGTAGTTTTTGTGGGTGGAGTTAAAGATGTCACTCTAAGGACTGCCCTCCTCTTACGTGGCCTCTTCCTGGGAAGGGAGGAATAAGTGGAGCAGGTGTTTCCCACAGTGCACTGTTTCTCATGGTTCCCTGAGGGTGAGAAAACAGTTGTTTGGATCTACAATTGTGTAGACTGAAATACCATAGACTAGACACCAGAAGGTAGTTCAAGATGTATTATTCAATATTTTGCTCCAAAAAGTAACTGCACAAACAATAATGTTATTTATTTATTCATTTATGGTAATTTCTTAATAAATTATCTGCCTAAGATGATAACTACATTTAAAAAATGGGGCATTCTGCATGTTGAGTTCGGTATAAATTTATTCTGAGCTGTTTTACAGCTTTCTCAGTCATAATGAAATCATCTACAGCAAAATTATCTTTTATTTCTCATGCGGTGACAGAGCCAATTTAAGACAACAGCTTACAGATCAGATTGTCCATTTAAATCCAATTACAGAAACCAAATTAATAATGTAATAAATAAATAACATCCTAAAAACAATACTGACCCAGCAACCAATCTTAACTATTCATTCTAATTTTTGGAAGCAAATGAAAGTAAGGTAAAAACATTTGTTCACTTATTGGATGCTGACTGAGGTGAACAAAGCAGTGACCTATTTTTCTCTGTTTTCTAATCTTATTTCAAATGTTACTTTTCTGCATTTGTTTCTGTTTGAATGCATTGTTGATATTAGGCTGTTGTAGTTGTAAATTTTCAGCAGAGCAATGTAATGCAGCTTGTAACACGGAACATAAAATATTATACAATTCGATTTATTTTTTACCTGTGATCAAGCAGAATGGTGGCCAATTAAGCTGAATGCAGCCCATTTTTTATACCAGCCACTTGTGAGTGGAAGAGGGCGGGAGGCAGAAAGGCCAAAAATTGACGAAGCTGTGTTAATATTGTTTACTGTTTGAATTTTTTTTTTCTCATTATTGGGTCAATTATTTTTCACTGATTATTATTATTTAAAGTGCCGTTACCGAGATTCGAAGAACCACTCTGTATATGATTAAGGACCACCAAAGAGTTCTTGTTGTCTGTGTCCCAGTGGCTGAGAAACCCTACTGTGTTCATCATTTTGGGCACATCTAAATTCTTCTTTTTCACTAGTTAAAATCTGTGAAGTTGTAAAGTAGTTATTATAGTTAATATATTAAGTTTATATATATGCAACATTTCTGGTATTATTTTATTGAAAACAGTGATCCCAAACTTTTAAGGTGTAAAACCTTTGAATGCTAGCGCATGTCCACAGCAGCAGACACCTAACTGATTCGTTATTTGTTTTGCTCCAACAGAGCTGCACTGCATCATCGTGTGATTCATGTGATTCTCACATTCCAAGGCTCCCAAAGGCTAAATTAGGAGTGTGCAAGGAATTAAGAACTGTGCAATGTAAGGAAGGTCTATACTTATATTTATTTTGTAGAGGGCTATACTTAAATTTAGCGAAAGACTACATCACTGCAAACAATGGAATATTTTGGAAAAACATCTTTGGTTCAATATGACATTTTGACTGTTGGCGAAACGACTTGTCAAATATGTTTATAACTCACTGATTTCTTCCATTTTTTTGGCCTGTGATGTACGAATAAGGCTTCGTGTCTTGTGCATTGAGAGTGTATGTGTGTTTGGCGGGTGGAGGGTCATGTTCTACCTCGCTGAGTCTGCATCAGTTTTCTCATTGTGCGTAACTCCAGCAGAATGGCCTGCAGGGTGCTCTTGCAGTTGCACATGCAGCAACTGGATTCGTTTGGCATGGCTGTGGGCACAGGGGGCCGAGCCAAGTCTGAAACAGGATAAAGACACACTATCGTCAGCACACACACTTGTGATGAGGTCAAACTCTCACGAGTACTATGGCCACTAGACAATGAGTTCCTTACTTGTTTGTGTGTGTGTGTGTGGTGTGTGAGAAAGACAGAGACAGTGTGTTTATGTTTCATTATCTAAGACAGTCTAGACAGCCCAGACAATGTTTTTGAGCTGAGCAGCTGCAGTGCCAGGCATAAGATCCCTCTCTCTTTCTCTTTCTCCCTCTCAATTGTCATATTTGGGAGTAGTTCCTTTGCCTCTGGCATGTGTCTTGCTGGATGTAAAATGCATCTCCTCCCTTCGTCTTATACAGTAATATCACTAGTGCTAAAGGACATGTAACAAGGAAACTGAACCGTCCTTCCTTTTTTGATGAAAAACTTTGATACACTATGTAAATACTGTTAAGTTCCAAATGTAAGTTCACTTACCAGTCCAATTAGGTGCAAAAAATAGCCTGTTTTAAATTCAGCATGGTTGTAATGTTACATAACCCAAAAGGATAAACGGTTTAGATGGTGTGTGTGTGTGTGTGTGTGTGTGTGTGTGTGTGTGTCTAATGTTACATAAATATGACCACACATTCAGCCTACAAAAGTTTAGGCTACCCATTCATGTAGACGCAAGGTGCAAAATACAGGGGGTCCTGTGGGGTCCAGGACCCCTTAATGAACCTGCTGGATCCCCTGAATGTCTTACTGAAAATAAACACATGATGTCATGCTATCAGGGAAAACTAGGCAGTCAAATGCAAATTCATTGAAATGTCATTGTTTAGCTGCTTCAAGCTTTTGTCTTTGGTATTCTTAACTAACTAGAGATTGAGCACTGCTCTGCCTCAGGGTGGTGCAATAGGAAATTCATCCAGTTGGTCCTTCACAGCCTAGCTATTGTAACTGTGCCTGGGATACCTCCAAAAAACTTTACAATATGCCATAGCACGTTTGGAAATCTGAAAAACATACCCAATTTCTCAAGAGATCTGTGGAAAGACTGAAGTATTACTCATTTCTTAAACCAAAGACAGGAGATGCGTAAGATCTGAATGTGAAGAATGTGTGGACGACCACATTACCAAACTAGAAAAGGCCATTTCCAAAAGAAGAACTGCTAAACCAAACATTTTGTTGCACTGAAGCATCGGTTAAATTAGAAGCCAGCCAACGCTGGAGTAGCCAGTGAACATGGGATCCCCAAACACTAGTGGCTATTCTGCACTCTGTATAGAAGTGATAAGGAATGCTGCTACTTCAAACTTGGTTATTTTGTAGCAGCTACTCAAACAACCTGTCAGAACAGAAAAAGAGCATGTTTTTCCCAAGGTATAAAAAGAAGTTGGAAAAAGATAACACAAATAAAACACAAACATTATAAACGGACAATGGAAAAAAATATACAAGAACAAGAAAAAAACATGTATCCAGGTGTGTAATTATACATGGGAGACCTACATTAATGTATGGTAATTTCCTGTATACTGGTAATTCTACAAGAGAGATAGATGAAGAACACGGTCAAATTAAGTAGGATCACAATACAACAGAAACATCTTCCTCTACCAGACAACTGAGACTCACTTTTGCTTTTGGAGTTGTTAAGCATCTTCTGGGTTTTGGAGCGCGTGTCGTACTGGCTGTGGGACATAGGGGCTCCGGTGCTCCAGTAGTGCTGGGGCTCTTCAAGAGTTTGGTTCTGAGGTAAAACAAAGCTCAGAGCCTCTTCCTGAGGTTCCTCTTTGATGGCTTCACCCTCTCTCTCCACTCGCTGATACGCTCGCCCTGCCTTGTCATTCAACAGCCGCATCATGCCTGTGATCTGCCTCTTAATTTCCATCCCCTCCTCACCTAGCCAGGCTGAAAGAGACAGGATTAACACTGCAGAGCTGTGCAGACAGCTCTATGAAGTAATTACTCACATAGAGCTAAAAGTACCTAAAAGAGTAGAAGTACAAAAAAGAAAGTCAGTGCTGAGTTCCATACCTGCCTGCAGCGGAACTAGTACATCTATGGGAACTAAAGATTGTTAGGTGCTATTGTTTTGTGTGTGTGTGTGTGTGTGTGTGTGTGTGTGTGTGTATGATTTATTTTGTTTTTGTGATAAAATTTAAAGCTTGAAGTAGAACAGCAGCAATGCAGCCACCATCACCAACAAAGCAGAATTAAATTACAGGTTATCAGTACCTTCATTCTCAGAGGTGTCCTGTGGTTCACTGTCTGTATCGTTGTGCTCTGGACTGTCAAAAACGGGTCCATAGTCTGTGAGAAAAAAATATTAAATATAACAACTTTCAGTAAAAAGGTTTAGCAAAGACTACGTTAAACGTCCAGACCTGGTGAGCCTGCTTATTTAGAGAAAAAATAATGTGTGAACACTAATGGCTTTTTTAACATCTTACAGACGCTTAACTGGTCGTTTACAGCCGCGACGTCACAAGTTCGAGTCAGTTTATTGAACCGACTCTTTCGAACTGTCCGTTTCAATTAATTCAACGATTCATTGATTCACAAGCCAAATCAACTTTATTATCACCTACTCTACATATAAAACCACTAATTTTAACAGACGTCAATTCATACTACGTAGGACACAAACATCGAAACAAAAAGCTCCATTCATGTGGAACTCGGTTCCACTGATTCATTGAAAAGAACCGATTCTAAAGAACGACTCGTTCACTCGCGCGCACCTGTAGACAGCCGTGTGAGCACGACGGCGAGATTAAAACGGCATCATCCGGAGAGTCACATAACCTCAGTAATGCAGACACAGCGGCGTGTTTGCAGCTATTCATCGATTTGAGCGAACTAAACGTGGCTTTCCAGCTAAAGACGCTTCGGCTGGTTAGAATGTAAACGAGACGACGGAGGCGAGACGAGCGCGCGCAGCAGACTACAACACTTCAGACGTGTTTTTATGCTGTAATGGGGGGGAGGAGGAATATGGGGTCACTAACCACGCAGTTGCATGTGTAAATCTCTCACGAAGCTGAAGTTGGTTTCCTATTCATATTTTCTCGTTCTGGCGCCATTTAAGGTGGAACGGGATAATTCGAACAAGAAGCTGACTTCAGCTTCGTCTCTCTCTCTCTCTCTCTCTCTCCTATTGTCTGCTTGATGCTGGCTGGCTGGCAGACAGACTGAGCCCCTGCGGGGCTTATAAAACGCCTTACCTTGTTCACTGATCAGTTTAAAGCTCTGTGATTTCCTGCTCCGTCTCCTCTCTCCAAACTCCATTTTACCGGAGAGAGAGAGAGAGCAGACTGTGCTGGAGTCGCCCTGCTCAGCAGCAGCAGCAGCCCTGCAGGGACCAGAGCGCGGTCCGTCTCTTTAATCAGTATAAACTCATCACGCCTTCAGTCCTCGAGCAGCCAGAGCTTTTCCTCTCCCTCCTGTCTGACCGCAGCTCCGGACCTCGCCTCGCGCAGCCCGTTAGAAAGGCGTGTATGCCCGGGGCATCGCGGAGGACGCGCTGGCGTCCATTCAGGGCCGCTCGTTTGTGATGTAAATAAATAAATCAGTTAATTCTTTAAAAAAAATCGTCACATCTAGTCCTTTGCGCCACCTGATGGTAGCTAATATTTTGTGGGGCTCAAATATGAATGTCCAGACGGACGCTGGCGGACAGAAGCGCAGGAGGCTGGAAGCGTCACTTAACTCACTTGTTACTGCGATAAACTTTCTCTTAAGTCAGACTCTGAGTCACATGAACTCTCACATATCGATTACCTCAGAGCAGCTCATTTTACAACTGGGTTACTTAGGGCAACAGTGGGAACAGCAGGAGTGATACACTGTCTTAGTGGAAAACGTAAAAAAATAGCAGCGATTTTAATACATGCGCTGTGAAGAAGAGTACACTCCACCTGTGAGACAGGAAGTCTTCAGAACAAGTCAAACCAAAACAGAACTGACAGCTAATCTAACTTCAGTCTAACTTGTGGAACTGTTTTTCCAGCTATTTTCTATCAGCGTGGCCGGGACGAGTTAAGCTACTAACACCAGACAGATCATCAGTCAGGCAGCCTGTTTTAAATTAGTTTGTGCCATGTGACGTAATACTTTTTCGCATGGAATTACAGATTGAACCACTAGAGGGCGACAGTGCGCTCTGCGGCTCAAACCATGGACTATATAATATATATTCTTTTACACTATAAAGGAAGGGAAGACGTCTTTTCTGATCAGTTGTCTTATATTTTTCTTATACTTTAACATCCACAAAAGTAAAGTTATCTTAATTATCGTTTTCTCTTTTTTAACATCTTTACTTGAATGCAAACTATTTCAACTCCTAACATTTTTTTGTTTTGTTTTCTTAATCTATGTGCACTTCAATGTATATAGTGCTATAAGCTATGTATGTTGTGCACTGCTTCAAAAACAAAACGGTTCTGTCTGTTGGTCATGTTTTGGTTCACTGTAAGAGGTACATAGTGGAAAATAAGTAAAGTCAAGAGGCTTTCATTATCATTCCATCTATGTACAAGTACACAGTGGAGCGAAATTACGTTCCTCCATGAACAAGGTGCAAGATAAAGAAATCGTATTAACATATTAAGAGCTTTAGTTTGACGATCCTCTTGACATTATATGAGAGCACTGACCTTTTAAAAACATACTTGTTTAATTGATAGAATATAATAGCAGGAAACGAGGAAATCAGGTCCATATTCCTTGGTGCTTAGACACATAGCAGTTTTAGCCAACCGCCCAGCAGAGGGCGCTACAGCCACGCTTTACGCCTAAAAAGAAGACATCTGAGCGGAACTTTCCAGCAACAACTTCCTGCTGGTTGAGGGGGTCTGTTTACAGCGTCGGAGAGGATTTCGTGTGTTTAACCGTTGTAAATTGGAGAATAACAGCGATGGATATTCTGAAAGCGGAGATCGCGAGGAAGAGAAAACTGATAGAAGAGAAAGAACTTGTGGATGTGAGTGCCAGAGAAGACTGAAGTGTCCTCCTCATGTTAGCCTGAACGGCGGCTGCGCTCCAATCCGCGCTCTAACAGGAGCCCGTTACTGTAGAACTTTAATCGCCGTGTTGATGATACCAAACCTCGTATACCACTGTAGCACCGAGTACAGCAGAAGGCGATACGGGTAACGTTACCTGGAAGGTAGAAAAGTACTGTAACCTGATCTAATGTGCTGCAGTTCGGATCGAGGCGGACTTGCCGTTCTCAGAAGACCATTCACGTTTAACGTTACTCAGACAACAGAGAAAGAAACCACGAATATGCGTTTAGAAAAGTCAGCTTCTGTTCGAAATTTTCCGTTCCGCCTTAAATGGTGCAGCAGTTACCTTCTGCGGACGCTAACGCTAAATAGCTAGGTTAACTTGTGGCCAGCAAGCTCGCCGAAGGAGAGTGGACTATATCAGTATGTTCCAGCTCTGGTCCTGGAAGCACACTGTCCCGTACATTTCGTGCTTTTCCTGCTTTAGCTTAAACACCCACTTCACCTCTGTAAGGGTTCTTAATGAGATGGGTTCAACTTCCTTAAAGCATATAACGTTTACATTTCTCAACCGATTTCAGTGACTCGTTTTTATATTCAAAGGTTTATGATCTACGTGGAATACAAAAAAGTTTTGTCTCCATTTACTCCGAATCTCGATAGTTATAATCGCTGAAGAGAGGAACGTGTATCAGCTTTAGGAACTGAATGTTGGGGAAATAATTAATTGTCATAGGGAATTGTAAAAACTCACGTTTATCAAGATATGAACTCGGTCTGTTTTCCTTGGTTAATACTTGTGGAACGAGACTGGCTTCTTATTCGACTTTTCGTTCCACCTTAAATCATGCAGCAGTCACTTTGATAGTGTGCCGGGGCCAGAATGTAACTGGAGTGCCATTTAAGGTGGAACGGAAAATGTGAATAAGAAGCTGGCGAATACGAAGCCAATTTCAGCTTAATTTTTCTGTCTGTGTCCCCATCATTTTAGGTTTTCTTGCGCTCCAGGTCAGAACACAGCTCAGTCACTATGAAATACTAAAACAAATAATTAGCTAGTGCATTATAAGTGCTAACTAATTGACTCGCTAGCGGAAACAAACATTCCCTTAAAGCTAACAAGTTTGGGAAATCTTAAGTGTGAGAAGAGTTAGCGTAGCTAGCCAGCTAACCGCAGTCAGATTTAAACGTAAGCTAAGTCGCTCAGCAGACACGAAAAGCTTGTCTTAAAAATTAGTTTGGATTACAAAAACAATATAAGTGAAAATCTCGATTATGAGCAGTTTAGTTTATAATATAAAGTCTTAGCTTTCATACCTAGCGTTACTGCTAACGCTAGCTATTAATAGACTGACTCAGGTGACCAAATGGTTAGCTGTCAACCTAATATTTTAATGGCCAAAACAACCAAAAACAACTGTACAGTCTTACTTGTGAAAGGTAATTCCCCAAGATCTGGTTTGAATTGTGCAACAGTTTGTACAGCCATAAATTACACACGATTTAGGCATCTTTTTCCAGATCAATCTTCTGAGAGTTATGACAAATTGACCGGACCAATATGGCGGCGACGTTGACGCGCTATTCAGTGGTAGATGCGGCGCCTACGTATATATGTCTGTGCTCATAAAACACTCATCGTCTTTATACTTGCCAGGCTATCGGTACTAAACAGACAGACACCACGAGCTGGCCATTCTAGTATAAGCAAAATCAGAATTTCTGTAATTTGCTAAGTACCTTTCTTGGTAGTTGTGCGGATGTCCAGTAAAATATTTTAAATACACAAAATAATGTACAGAAAATACAAAAAGATACAAAAGATGTGCAGTAGGAGTGTACACTTATAAAATACACATATGTACAGCTGTAGATGTTTAAGTCTATGGCTTGGGAAAATATTACTGTGTAAGTGTTGGTTGGTCTGTGTTTTAAGGCCTTTCGCTTTGGGTCTCTACTGAGAGGGAAAACACAAAATAGTAGCTTCATAAAGATGTGTTCTACTAGCAAGGCATATCAACAAGCTCCAGCTTATCTAACAGGTCATGTAGTAACATTAACTGTCATGACATTTCCAGGATTCAAAGAAGTACTTCAAGCGAGCTGAGCTTGCCCGAAAGGAGGAAGAAGACTACTACAAAAGATGTGGATACAAGGTTAGTTAATACTTAACATTACTGCTGTCTTACTAAACTCTCCCAGATAATCACCAATAATGATGAATTAGATGTGAAGTCCATCTCTGGCTCATAGTGTGGCTGGACGTCCTGACCTGTGCACACAGACTATAATGATTTGACTGTGTTCACTTAACTACTCTGTGTTCACTCACATTTTTCCCCTTTACAGCTCTTCCTCTATCATGCAGCATGTTTTCCCCTTTCTCTTTTGAACACTTTTCTCTTTATCTACATGAGTGTCTCCTGCGTGTCTGAGCTCATCTTCCTTTTCCCGCTCTCTTTGTGTCCTGTGTGTGAGTGTGCAGGTTGCTCATGAACAGCCTGTGACTCAGGTAGGGTGCAGACAGGCAGTGGCTGCTTCTGTATGCGACAGAATGCATGCCTCCACTCTAATGTCATTTTTGGACTTGAGCATGAAGAAAGAGTAGGCTTTGTTTAATTTTGTTCATGTTTGCTTTATTTAGTTAACTTTGCTTTCAGTGTCACACAAACCGATGGCAGCACTCTCTTGAAAACGTCAACTGCATTTGCTGTTTTGAGTAGTGTATTGGAATAAGGACATCTGTATTTCAGAGCGTTCTTGAGCAAAGTTACCTGTCCACATGTACGGAAGATAAGACTGCTGTCTGGTTTGTGTCATTCATTTTGTTTAAATTATTACGTTTTGAGTCAGCGGTGCATGTGCTGAGGACATGCATGGTATGTCAGCCGTATGTAATCCATTAGCAATAGGCCAATAGCATACTTTATACAAGCCACAGCATCACAGTGTGGCTGACATGTATATACATATTACTGCAGATATGCCACTGCTTTGTTAATGTTTTGATACAAAGTGTGTTTCCTTTTCCTTTGTCAAATCCTCAGCATTGTGATGAGCACTGTTCATGTTTTCAAAATAAGATGGTTTTTGTGTCAGTATGCATGGTCATACAAAAGGCTAACTAGCCAGCATCTTTTACCATAGCTGCTCTTGTCAACAAGGACCAGTTGCTGTTGTTGCGTCTTCTGAGATGCCCAACATCATGAGGTTTTAATTGTAATCTGTACTGTGACAATAGCATGAAAAGAAGTTACTGTACATATTAGTCATTTGTCCAACCTTATTCTGTTCTACATCCAAAGATGGATAAGAAGGAGGAGGAGGTCACCCCGTCCACTGCATCCAACCCTGTGTTAGAATTGGAGCTCACAGAGGAGAAGTTACCAATGACTTTGTCTCGACAGGAAGTAAGTACAATCATCGCTGTCTTCTCTTAGCCTGCTCTGTGTATTGTGAATTGCAGGTGTGTGCAAAATAAGGGAAGCAGGATATAAAATGCTCATACTTATTGGCCATTTTATCAGGTACCCTTACCATATAGGCGCACTCTGTAGGTTTTGCAGTCACTCACTGTAGCTGTTTGTAGCGCAGTTTATTTACAACCCCTCTACTCATTCATCAATAGAAATGGACCGCCACAGAGTCACTGCTGACCAGATATTTTTTGGGTGGTGGACCAAAAGTTGTAGTGGAGAATTGTCCACTCACTAAATATATCCAGCCAACAGTATTCTGTGCTCAGAAACCGACCACTGATGAAGTGTTAGAGGATGACTTGATACTAGGGATGGAACAAGGTTTTGGCCAGTGAAAATGGTCTGAAGTGGCACTATAGAGAAAGAAGGCCAAAAAAAGCAAAAAATCTACAATTAAGTGTCAGAATCTAACCCTAAATAAATAGTCTGAATTATGATGAAAATGAGACATGTTCAAAAGGAGTAGCAGCAAATCAACGGTAAAACCTGGTCCACTGCAGCTTTGTTCAGCACAGGACATGCTTTTTAACATTTACTGTTTAAATTCTTTAATGGAAATCGCAAAAATAGTACAAGGCCTTTGCACACTGAATGCAATGTGAAAATACAATACAAAAACATGAAATATTCAGACAACAAAAAAATAGGCAGAATATCTATCAAAAAACATATATTGGCAGAATGTATCGCTGCTGTCGCTTTTTCAGTTTTTGACATAATTTGAAAATACCTGTTGGCCTTTACATTGTACATAAATTTCATGATGAATGAACCAAAATAAACCACCCAAAATTGCTTGGAAAAAGGTCTGATTCCATTGACTTACATTAAAAGTAAAGTAGGTTTTCTCCTTCTCCTGTAAAGTTACCATTTTGGAGATATGAGGTTTGCTTCCGACAACAGCGAGATTCAACTATATTGAAAAAGGTCCTTTGCTCCTCATGAAACGGGCAAACTGTGACATTGTGCAGGATACTTTCCACTTTGGAAAAGTGAAAGGAGAACGGAGAGTTTCTCCACCGCATTTCAAGAGCTAAAACTTTGAGGCCTTTCACTCAGAACTGGGATCTAAGCTGAGTTTGAGCAGATTTTAGAGGTGCAGCTCCAAACTAAACATAGCAAATAAGACCCAGTCTTTTGCTCTCAGCAGAAAGGACAAATGGCTACTGTCCATTTTGGAAAAGCGTAAAGAGCTTCATCACTTAATTCAGAAGCTGAAACCAGAAGCTGAAGTTTTTCCATATTTAGCTTAATGTTTGTAGCTCAGTTTAAGCTGCTTTTGGGGATTCTGATCTTTCTGTCGTTGTGGAAAAGTTCTGTTTGCTGGATCTTGGTTGTCGTCATGCCATCAGCAGAGGCGACTGTGATTGTTCAAATTAATTTACTGTCATCCAAATAAATTGCACAAATAAATCATGTTCGTTGTGTAAAGGCTTTGACTCAGCTTTTGGTAATAAACTTTTTACCTTTTGTTTTGAAAGTTATTACTGTAAACACCTATAGAACCCATTTTTTTTAGTTTGTTTTTTGGTTGTGTCCTAAGTTTGTTTCGGTCAAGAATTTTCCCTTCCAGTCTATCATCACCTGATACAAATTGTGCAGCAACAGATGAGCTATAGTCAGAACCTAAGTGTATCTATATGCTGTATATACCAAATGAAATGGCCTATGCATGTTTCATGTGGTGTTACTGTTTTGTACACCCCAGTATGTGTTTTGTTATTACAATTATTATCTATCTGATAATAAAGTAAAATAAATTAACATGAGTGCATATCTAATAGAGTTTGCAGAAAATATGTATGAAGTAGATTTTACAAATGAATGTTCACTGTCCATAAATAAAAGCTATTTTGTCTACTTCCCTCTTTTTTGAGTCTTGCAACATAAGATAACACTCACAAACTGTTTCCATCCACTGCTCTTTGGCTAAATTATTTGTTGGTCCTGTATAACCTTTGGCTGTGTGCAGGTAATTCGGCGTCTGAGGGAGCGTGGGGAGCCGATCCGTCTATTTGGAGAGACCGATTATGACGCCTTCCAGAGACTTCGAAAGATTGAGATCCTTGCACCAGAAGTGAACAAGGCAAGATCACCTTTTAACTTAAACAGCTCCTTAAGAGATGCTGTTAGTATTAAATTGAATGTCTTAAGACTGACTGACTGTTTTTGTGTGTAGGGCTTGAGGAATGATTTGAAGGCTGCTATGGATAAGATTGATCAGCAGTACCTGAATGAGATTGTGGGTGGTCAGGAGGCAGGAGATCTGGACACACAGCATGATCTGAAAGTGCATGAAGAAAACACCACCATCGAGGAGCTTGAGGTAAACACAGCAGTGAAGTGATTTTTAACATGGTGAACTGGATGGTTGAGTGTCAACGTAAGATGGAAACCAGCAGGTGGTGCTGTGGTGTAACTCCTGAAAATTAGCAGTTACATTTCAGTATAAAACTGCATTCCAGTATCAGTTTTGAACATCATCTGGTATCTTGCCTTGTTTTTAATTTTGATTTATTTTCATATATTTTGATACATTGTTAGATTTTGATGTCACTTACATTTTATCTCGTTTTAACTCTTGCAGGCTCTTGGGGCGTCTTTGGGCACTGGAGATGACGTAAGGGATATGGACATCATAGACAAAGTGCTGCGGGTATGGTATACTGCGTGAGTGGCTGAGGACACATGAATATGTGTACCAGCACATTTCTGGGCTGTAATGAAAGTTTGTTAGATATAAATTATACAGCTGGATGTTGAGTTTGTTTTTGTTTGTGTGTGCAGTTCTTACTGGGTGTGTGGGCCAAGGACCTAAATGGCAGAGAAGATCATGTGAAGCGCAGTGTGCAGGGAAAGTTGGCCAGTGCCACACAAAAACAGACAGAATCTTACCTCAAGCCTCTCTTCAGAAAACTACGCAAGAAGGTACGTAATTTTTATGTTCTGTCCTCTAAGATTAAGAGAGATGGAGTTCACTGGGCTTAATTTTGTCCCTCTTGTTTTTTAGAACTTGCCTGCAGACATTAAAGAGTCCATCACTGACATCATCAAGTTTATGCTGGAGAGAGAATATGTAAAGGTAGGTGTGGTATTGTTTGTGAGAATTGGATTAATCTCAAATAGTCCTTAAGGAAGTACTTTGTATGGGACAAAGCAGTTGTTCCTGATGCAGGTGAAGAAAATTCTGAAACCAGTAAAGCTCACTTATTTATTCTGTATTATTTGCTCAAATAACATGCCTTACACAAAACATGATAATTGAACACTTTAGTAGCAAGAAGGGTTATATGTGACTGTTACTGCTAAACAGCTGCAACTACAAGCCCTTTTATTTTATTACTCATGATCTGTTGTTGTCTGAATGACACACATTAAACAAACCTCGGGGTATTTCATAGCAGGATTTCTCATTTAGCCAAATAACTTAAGCCCAAAGATGAGCACTGTCCAATAGGAATGTCCCTCAGCTCTTTTCCAATTTGACAGGCTTGTATTTAGGCTTACATTATCTGGCTAAATTGAAAATCCTGAACCCCGTGAACAGTTTCCAACACACAAACTGTTGAATTGTTTTAAGGCATGCTGTAATTCCAGTTCGCCAATTCTTAATGATCTTTATGATGAGTCTTAATGATAGCATTTGAGTATATTCAGATAAAGTAGAATTTAATTGTGTGTATTCTTTGCGGACAGGCAAACGACGCATACCTGCAGATGGCGATAGGGAATGCTCCATGGCCTATCGGTGTAACCATGGTGGGCATTCACGCTCGTACTGGTCGAGAGAAGATCTTCTCCAAACATGTTGCTCACGTTCTCAACGATGAAACCCAGAGAAAGTACATTCAGGTTAGTACTTAATGGATTGGTGTCTAAGTGTGTGTTTTGATGGTGTAAGTATGTCATGTTGACATGTTTCCCTCTCTCTTTCTCCCCGTCTACAGGGTCTGAAGAGGTTAATGACGATCTGTCAAAAACATTTCCCCACAGACCCTTCAAAATGTGTAGAATACAACGCCCTCTAACTATCCCCCCGTACCTCTTCATTTTGTAAATAACATATCTGTTGTAAATATTACAGTATTAAAGTCAAAATAAAAACTTTTAAATAAGAACACCTGTACTGGTCTGGATTTTTCTTAGCAGAATATGAAGTGTTAACTGGACCCACAACTTGAACATTTTGGACTGTGGGTTTGTGTCTATTCAGTACATAGTTTTACAAATACTACTGTACAAAAGTCAGAGACCAGCCTTTATGATTTTAATTTTCAGATGGTCGGGACAGCCTTAAATGATAAATTATTGATTTTTCAGGGGATATTACTGAGGAGATTACATGTAAGATGATCCACTTGTATAAAGAAGAGTAAAAGTCAAAGGAAAATAAGAAGGGGGAGGGGGGTGTTTCCAAAACTGAATGAATTCTTTTTAGAGATATACAAAAAAATTGGACTCATAACAACCAAGACCTGGTAGACCACCACGCTCGTACATCATCAGATAAACAGTACTTAAAGCTTTTATCTTTGAGAGGAAATCCACTCTTGCTTCAGATCTGAAAAAAGAACATTTGCAAATCAATTGAGCTGCTGGTGTTCTCAGAACAATGTACTGGAGTGTGTTTGGGAGTACTTGGCTCGAGAGAAGCAACAAAATGCAACCAACTCTTAAGACTGAACTGTGGAGTTCAGTGGAGAAAAAATATATCCCTGCTGATTTCTTTGAAAAACTGAAAGCAAGCATCTTGGAAAAAAAGGCACAGTAAAGGCAAAAAAATAAAGTTTTTGAGGGTTATGTGTAATTTTCTTCTGTTTTCTGCTTTTTGTGATGCTAAAAATGAATAATTTGTGCTAAATGGCTGTTTGACTGGAACATAAATGTAAGGAGTGCCTTTGACTTTTTGCAGTACTGCATATCCAGTTCACCTTTTCAGAATAGTGTAGCTTCAGTGGAGTTGAAGAGTTAGCACAGAGAAATGCGATACAGTCCAGTTATGGATGAAAGCCCTTAAGAACCCCTGACCTCTGCTGACTCATTCACACGCTTGCTCTAAAGACTGGATTCTTTGAAATTTCTGTCATTCCTGAGCAATTTTCCCACAATGGGACAGGAAGTGCCAAGTCACAGTCTTCCTGTGACTTCCTGCTCTTGGGACAATAGACTCAGATGATAAACAACAAAAACCCTGTTACAAACCCTTTTATGTTTCTGTGATGAATTTTATCAGGTCAGCAGATCACACAGTCAGTACTGTGTGTGTGTTGTAATACATAAGCTCTAAATACAGACTACAGGCAGTAACTTTAACCTGCAGACTGGACTGTGTAGCACAAAAGCTGAGGATTTCGCATGAATCGTTTCTCCGGCTGCTTTTAGATTAATTCTTCAGAGTAGTGTTTCTCAACTCCCCTGGAGGTCCCCAGCACAAAGCAGGATTTCTTGCTTAGCCAACTAACTTGAAGCTTAGTTCATTCTAGCCCTGGATTTTCTGTCTCATGATAATGGATAGGTTTTACGGAGCTAAAAATGACGTTAATGTCGTTTGCGGACATGAAGAATATTGTTAGTGTAGAGGAAGCAAATCTACATGAATATTAAGAATGTACATCAAGTATCACTCTAATAAGCAGAAAAGCTGTGGCAGTGGCAACCATGTTGGTTTTTACTGTTATAAATGCTTTACTTTATGTATACTTACACAGATGTTTTTCCTTCTTTGAAAAATATTTTTGAAAAATAAGCTGCTTGCTTCGTCATGTTTCACACGATTGGCTTTGATCATAAATGTCAGGCTAAAAACCTGTTAACTGTCAAATTTGTGATTCAGCTATAATGAGTGTGACGAGTGTAGGCCCACATCCGACCCTTGCAGCTTAGGAGGTTTTAATCATAGTTTGAGTATTTTGATATTTGCATTATATTTACTTTTTTGCTCTGATGTAGTGTTTAAAGGTAGTAAACTACCTGTCAGTCTTTATGACTCTCATAAACAAGCACTTAATTCTTGGAAGACCACATTCAAGCATAATTTGCCCCCCAATTCATGCATGATCATCATATAACAAAAATTGTTTTTATTTCTGATCTATTGAATGGACAAAGGGACTTCAGTTCCTTTGATAACTGTGACATTGAATGGGGTAAATATTTCTATGAAATATTATATTAAGGTAATTGTGGTTAGTCTAGAACTTTTTTGAAGCACATATAACTTATATGGTTCCTTGTCAAACCGTCTATCATTACTTTCAGTTAAGAGGGTCAATATATTTGAATAAAAAATGCACAATGACCTTACCAGGAAGGCTGTAACTTCAGGACATAACAGTATGCGTAGAATATTATAAGTGAAGGTTTTTATACCCAGATGTAAAGATGAGAAGACTGCATCACTTACATTTCTTGTCCCCATGAAGAGAGAATTTTAGGATTGTACACAACCGTTATCCCTGTAATGTTTTGTTATGGTGTATGTTCTTTTTGTAAAAAGATGAAATTATTCAACATTTTATAGCTGTCCTCACTCACAAAACTTTGTATAGAGATAGTTTTGTTATCTCTGTTTTTAAAAAATCTGGCATGCAGATTTTTAGTTTAGTCTCAAAAACACAGACCTTGATAATGCCACAATATTATGTCATCTAGAAAAATGTCATTCATGAAGTCTAAATGAGTTCTGAATTGTAAGTTCAGACTTTGCTGTTGTAATATAATGTCCATATTCTATAGAAAATATGTTAAGGCCATTAAATAGTAAGGCTGCTAACACATACAACATACTTAATATCATTATAAATAAAGTATACTTTCTGACTTTGTAACAGTATACCTGTATGATGTAATGTCTGTTGCCCATTTTTTATGTATGTCAATATGTTCATTAATAATAATAATTAGAAAATAGTTTCAGTATCTAAACCTGGGTTAACAGAGAAATGTCAATATGTTAATAATAATAATACATTGTTTCAGTATCTAAACCTAAGATAGATAACAGAGATAGCGTCTTAACCACCTTTGTAAAACGAGGTAACCACGGTTCCATTTGTAAGGATTGGTGAAGCTGAAACTTAGGAACACTGGTTTAGTGAGAACATGTGCTTTCCTGCTCCCAACACACCTGATCCATCTAGTCAGGTCATTAACAGCCTCTGCTGAGTTGAAGTGGGTGTGGTAGAGCAGAGAGAACAGTAGAATGTGCAGGAGGTAAGTGTCCTCCAGCACCAGGGCTGCCATAGAGAACAAAGCTCTCATACTGAGTACCATCAGGTCCAACACTGGGTCTTCTCTATAGGCCTCCATCTTCCAGCCAGATGCTCTTAAATTATTAACAGTCCTGCGTCTCTGTCATTTTACACACACATCCAGAGGCCCTGATGTCATGACCTTCCTCCTGGCTGAGCTTCAGCAGATCTCTCTGAGGGTCCGAGAGAAAGCCCAGACTTCAGCTCGCAGCAGCCCCTCCTGGAGTTTCCATGGTGATCAGAGGCCGGCACCTCTAAACATTGTGCTGTGAAACTTCCACATAGGAGGAGGAAAAAAACTATACTTTCACACACCGACACATCCACACATTCCCTGAGAAAGCATCCTTACACACTTACACTGCATTCTCACGGCATGTGGGAGTAACACACATACACTTGCGCTGCATGAGGGAATAACAACTTCCAGCTGCTGTCGAAGGCCGGAACGAAACACTGAGCAGTGCCCCAGACCCTGCAGGGTTGCTACGGTAACATTGTTCAGGAAGAACTAGGCTTTATTAGTACGGAGCAGAGTGTGCGTGCAGAGAGTAGCTATCAGAGACTGGATGAGCTGCGTTTTGGAAGCTAAGCGTGAGTCATACATGCTGATTATACTTTGGCTGTGATTCTTTCTGACTTTCAGCCTCTGGAAAAATCACTGTTCCAAAGTACCAAAGTAACGGAAGAGAAACCTGAACTGCTTGCCCAAAATATACAGTGGGCACACAAAAACATACATGTCCATGTCATGTTGTGCAAAAGTTCAACATCCTCAGTCAAATGGTCATGTTTTGTTGATTTTCTCAGTGTAAATGAGTTAACACATCCTCTACAGGGAACAAATTTAAACATGGCTTGACTAACTTAAGAGAAAAAAGGAAAACATACAATATAAAGGGTGCCATAATTTTTGCACAGGCCACATTTTATGTTTTTTTCCCCCTCAATGTGTTAAATCCAGCAAATAGACAATGACTGTGCATTAAAATGTGCAGACGTGTGTTCCCCCATAAAGGATGTGTCTGTATTTTCCTCACCAAAACATCAATTGACCAGGGGCGCCCAAAGTTTTGCATACTGTACTAGTCGAGTCTCAAACACAACCTTTCGGCTGATGTCCAAACCAACAGTGGTCAGACCTTCCAGTGTTTACTCTTCCATGTTTTCCTGTTGTCAAGGGAAACACTGAGCCATTGTCTGGGGTGAAAACATCCTTCTGGAAGTCCAGTTCACACAAACACCCAACAGAGGATGACGAGAAGTTTGTTGAACAGAAGAACAAGTGTGAAGAAAGAAGAGACTCAGAAGGCTCATTGCATAACTGAGTGAAGCAGGAAGTGGTGTTAAGTTGAGTGGAATCCCACTGAGTTGTTAGAGCTGCTGACCACCATTGTCCTCATAATGACACTCACACCTGCAGGGATGACAAAGCCACAGTGAATTCACATGGATGTTGACTATTCTCCATAGTTGCTGGAAAGATTTTCAGGGGAAACAAGATTTAACTATGTAACTCAGAGCTAACTGAGCTAAGTAGTTTCCTTACTTTTTAAAATTGAATTGAAGAATTTGATGTACTGTGCAAAGATTTGTTAACATTTTTAAAAACACTGTTCATTCCCTGTTTCATGCAATGCATATATGCAAACAAGAAACAGCTGGGTTTTAAATTAATGCTTGTGATAACGCCAACACAGAGGGGTCCAAACGTCTGACCGCACTGAAAATCTGGGATTATTTGTCATTTAAACCTGAAAATAAACAGGTCTTAGAATTTTAACAAAGAATTAGAACAAAGAAAAGGATATGATGAGTAAAATGAAGAAATAATTGAGATTCTGCACTATTTGTAGGTCACTATTCACATTTAAGCAAATTTGTGACACTGACCATGTTAAGGCCTTTGCAGAGAAAGGTCAGTGTCTTCCCTCCATTGAAGCACAAATTCACACAACTCAAAAAAATGTAAAATAGAAAGGAACAAAACAAGAACCATTTCTACTAGAGGTCTCAGAGTTTTGGACCTGCATATCACTGTTGACAGAACAAGAGCTAATATCTCCATAACACACTTTACTTTTAATGTAAGTCAATGGAGCCAGACTTTTTTCCCAAAAAAATTTGGGCCGTTTCTTTTGGTCCTTTCATCATAAATTTTACACACAACGTAAAGGGCATCAGACATAATGTTCAAATTAAGTAAAAAACTAAAAACAACAAAAATGGAGATACATGGTTTTGTTCCAACAGCAGCGATACATACAGTCATATGCATAAGTTTGAACATGAAAATAATATATCCTCTACAGGGAACACACTTAAATTTGCTTTTTTCTGCAATTTTTAGTGTACAGTTCTTATTTAAAATATAAAATGTGCCATAACTTTTGCACAGGCCAAATTTTATGTTGATTTTTTGTCCAATATGTTAAATTCAACAAATAAACAGTTACTGTACATTAAAATGTGTAGAAGTGTTTTCTCTGTGGAGGGTGTGTGCTTGTTTTCGCTTAGAAAATCAGAACAGAGGTGCCTAAACTTTTGCATAAAACTGTGTATGCATATTTCACAAAGCTTAAGTCTTTAAGAGTGCTGGACGTCTAAAGCCTGTGTAGCTTTATGTTGGATTGTGCTGATTTTGCCATTTTAAGAACGACCTTATGAAGATTTGTAGTATGTTGTTTTGGTTGAGTGTAAGCAAATGATGAGTAAGCAAAGCTGACATCAAAACATACTGAACACAGTCACTGTCCAATTTAGGCCCAGCCTAAATCTGAGTGAGCTGGTGTGTGATAAAGTGTACTTAGTGAGCAGCCCAGTGAGAGCAGGAGTGAAATTGTGGATTTTGGCAGTGCTTCTGTTCAACAGCTGCAGGCGACACACACACACACACACACACACACACACACACACACACACGCTGAGGCTGGATTACTAAGCGAGTAGGCAGAGCAAATATCCTGGGGCCCCAGACCGTCAAGCAGTCGCAGAAAATCAGGCTTTCAGCGTTCTGTTCTTACATTTAGAGTGCTTTAGTCTCAGCCTGCTAAGAGGCTCCTGATCCACAGTGTAAGCTGATATAATCAACCCAGCCAGTTTCTGATAACCACAGGCTCTTACCTTGTGACACTGTCTACTAACTGGAGGCAAACACCAGCACTGCAGTGACATCCTCCTTACTGCATGTGTAAATCATACTGAACTACTTAAGTCTTCTGCACTACTAATTCATGAATGTGTACCTGCTGCCTAAATTCAAATTAGTCAAAGTTAAGGTTATGAAAACTTTTCTTTGAAATCCTCACGGAGGATCATATCATGTTGCTTTCTTTCAGCAAAATGTTTAACTTTAGCAGTAGATGCATATACCAGCTTCTCCCTACAGAAGAATTCATTACATATTCATATGCAGAATTTCTGAAATTAATATTCATGAAAAATGCAATTTCAATATGACCTTAGGGAACATACTGAAGAGGGTGAGGAACACAAGTAATCACTGTCAGCTTCCACTCAGTGTCCTGCTCTGAATAATAATGAAAGTTACGCATTAAGTATTCATATTATTCTCTTCTTCATCAGCATGCACCAGGCTAATTATATTTTTGCCCCTTTTTCATGGAGTGTAACGATGACTGCAGCAAAAACGAGAAAGTGAAACATTCAGAAATGTCACGCTTGAGTTTAGAGAACATTCAGCAATAATTTATTTTTCATAATCTCAAGAACCACCACATTTCTCATCTGGAAAATTCAGTATCAGTTGCCAACAACACGGTTTTTGAAAAATGTAAAGTTACTATACAAATTCTTAATAGAAAAAGAATAAATTAACTGTGGAATCTGGTTATTTTCCCCAACATTTCCACATTTTTTTTTCTACAACACCGTTATAATGTGTCCGGTTATGTTTGAACTGAACACCATAAACTTATGAAACATGCTCTATTGTCAGGATGAGGGAGTGAGCGACACAGTTTAGTAACTAGCATCCTTCATTTTGCACAACTTGTATTAAAACTATTGACAACAGTTAGGAAAAGTCTACAGCTAGGAAACATTGCAGTAACTGGTCATCCTGTAGCACCTGAAAGGGTCATTACTATGTCCCAACTTGGTGAGAAATAAAATGAAAAGGAAACAAATACAGATTGGTAAAAAAAAAGAAAAGAAAGCATCTGAACATGTTTGTTTTCTTTTAAAATAACCCAGACAGGTTTCCATAGTCTTTTCCATATATGTTGATAAATGTGTTAGTTTACTCTTTTGTTATAAAAGGTTTAGGTTTGTTATTAAATACAGGTAGGAATGAGAGGATGAGGAGAGAATACACTTTTCTCATTTTGAAGTTGGTGGATAACCACAAGGCCTGAACCACAGCATTGGAGGGAATAGGAATAAGCTTTCTTCAGGTGAGTGAGGGATTTCTTGAGCTTGAGTTTCTATCAGTTTGTTTTAAAAGGATGCACAGTGGAGGTTGAACATGCAAGGTAAACAGGGCCTTAATCCAATTAGCCTCCAGGACCATCATTCTGAGTTTAATACTGTTTCATATGAACTCAGGTACGGAAGAGAGGCAGTTTATGGAGGCAGAATTACACTGTATCGGGTAATGGACTGGATTTGAATCCATAGTCATACAAATAACACATGTAGCAACTGATGTTCCACTGTAGGTGTTATGGAAATATTACCATGTCGCTGACATTAACACATACAGAAAGGTCTGTTGGCATGTACATAAGAGGAATGGAATAAATCCTTTTTTAAAAAATAAAAGATTAATGTGTGCTTTTAAATATCTATTTACCAAAGTCACTGCTGTGTCCATGTGTAGTAGTATGTGTCTGTGTGAGCGCTGGGATTTTTTTTGACCATGCAGAGTGTGGTATAAAAGTGGTCGTTGCTGTATGGCTTGGCGTGTTTCCCCGTCACAGGGAGACAGATTGGGGGAGAAAGGGCACCAGCGGTTTCAGTTAAAATCTCGCTGACTGCGTGACGTTAGAAAAACAGCACGAACACCCTGTATTCATCTCAGCTTTCTGAGAGCCTGAAGTGAGCTTATGGTAACACACCTCATCATGACTGCCACTGGAGGTTTTTCTGCTTTCAAACCGAGGTCTGGACGTCTGTACTTTGTTCCTATATTGGAATGCTTATCTCCTGAACTTCGTAGGCAACGGCAGAGAGGTAAGATCAATTAGAGAGAAAACTGTTGGTCAGTGTTCGTACTGTAGAAGGTGTGCCCCTTTATGTTGTGCTCTTACAACTTCATCCTGTGGCTTTACCAGTATTAACAGTACACTGTGGACTGTATACAGTTTCAGAATCCAGAATGGCAGTAAAGAAAAGAAATCCAGCAGAAAGGCCCTGTTCAGATCCCCAAATCAGAAGTTTGTTCCCCCAAAAACAAGCTTTCTATCATCGCTGATGGCAGGTTATGAAGAGGAGGGTTTTGGACTTGCATGTTTTAAAGGCTGTCATCACAGCACTGATACCAGGCTCACAGCAAGGCATTGTGGGATTCTACTTCATCTGTGTACAGTACTGGCTCAGAGCACCATAGTGGCTGGCAGGCTGCCGTAGCTAAAAGTACACTGGTTGCTGCCTGAGGGAGAAAGTGGCGCATACAGTACTTCAAAGATTAGTGTCTAACGTAAGATAAGGTCAGGCTAAAGCTCAGCTAACCTCCAGCCAACATATAGGGGGGTTTCCTAAAACAAAGACCACTGTAAAGTAGCAGACTGAGCACTTTGAACACTCTCTCTCCGTTATGCTGATCTCAGGACTATGATGGTTTTTGGGAAACTGCACGCTGCTTATGTTACAGCTGTAACCTCGAGCTAAAGTTCAGCTAATGGTCTGTTTAAACCAGAAACTCAGACAAATGAACTGTCACATGATGGAAAATCATAAACAAATAAACATAGAGACCACAAGCCCCGAAATCATTTCACTTAAGAACTTATACTAATGACCACGGATTCTTGTGCTAATAATTGGGAACTCCATTCACACACAGGCCTGCAATAACAACCAATATTTGGAAACAAATCAACAGTGTGATCAGCTACTTGTCTAAATGGTGTGTTCACGCTAATTCTGCTGATCCATAGACAAACTAGATTGGTTACCAGTTATTGGAATATTTAGGAATGATGAATGAATCACAAATAAGTGTGGCTTCATTCACAGTAATGCACTGAATTTACTTGATTGAAATGTGTACATTATAATGAGTACATTATTTCCACATAAATAAATTTAACAGTGCTGTGCAAGAGCAGACTCCACCTTTCATGTATTCCATTTCCAATCAAAACAGTCATTAAGTACATGTTATTCACTTTCCAGGAGATGTTTCTGTGACAATTAGATATAAGATTATCCACTTGCATAAGGAAGGGGAAAGTCAAGTATAAGTGAAAAAAACAGGAGTTACCAAAATTGGATCTCAAAAAATTATTACAAAATGTTGAGAAAATACGACTCCTGCAAGACCTGGTAGACCAACAAAACTGTCACCATCAGATAAACGATACTTAAAGCTTTCATCTTTGAGAGAAAATCAAGCTCCACTCTTGACTCAGATCTGAAAAAATCCACAGGTGTTTATGTCCAACCTTCCACTGTGAGAAGACAACTCAACTCTATGTGTCTGAAAGGATGTGTAGCTGTTAAGAAGTGTGACTGACAAAAATAAACAAACAGGACAAAAAGAAAAAAAGATCTGCATTATGTGTTTGAGATTACTTGGACTATGAAATGAAGAAAGTGCAACCAACTTCTAAGACTGAACTTGGAGGTGTGGAAAAATATTCCTGCAGATTGAAAATACCGATGTAGTGTTCAATTATTGAGGTTTCTGTGTAATTATGCTTTGTTTCTTTCTGTTAAATGTTTTCTGCTTTTTTCTTCTGACACTGATAAATGAATAACTTGCATTTAATGGCTGTTTTGACTGGAAATTAAATAAATCATGAGCTTTGCTCAGTACTGTATCACCACATTTGGCTCTCAACTGACTTACTTTTGGCAATAATTGTGTCATTAATATATTTTCTTCATGTGTAAATGGTCTATACACTTCAGTGCATTACTTTTTTCAGTGTATTTTTGACACGTCACTGTAATTGAAGTGTGTTGTTTGAACCAGTCACAGTTGTCAATGAAGTGCCAGTTGTGGCTAGCTTTATACACTGTTGTTGAGTATTACTCACTCCAGGGGAATCTTACATTTTCCTGACAGGGCAATTTTTAATGGAACAATACAGAGAATGCTGCTTATTTGATGGTATGCATCCGAGGTGGTGCTGCTGCTGTTGTCCGTGGTCTATAAACTCATTTCTATAGAGGTATATATATATATTTATTTATACATATTTTTTTACAGAACATTATAAAACGAAAAACCAGAATGTCCACAGGCAGAAGCAGGGGCTTAAGGTTCACTCTTGTAGACAGCGCGTGTGGGGCTTGTGATTTATTGTGTTTACTTTGACGGAACAGAGCATATGAAGCTCTACGAACAAGATGAATGACAGCAGCAACGTATTTCTCAGGAATGCGTGTGATAGAGAGGGAGAGATCTGAACTCTCTATTTTCAGTGCAGAATTACACACACACACCACAGCATGGGACAGACGTGTGCTCGAGTACGCAAATGTGGGGGAGTTGTTCACTAAAATGCAGACACGTACATATACACATATCTCCAAAACAGAGAGGCCACATGCCTTGCGCATCACTCCAGCGACGGGATCAGATGATGAGGGTTTTCTTTATTGTGCATACGGAGCAACTGGCTGGCAGCTAACTGGGTCACAGTTCAGAGTTTGAAAGGTAAGCAGTGGGAAAAAGGTCAGAAAGGTCAATTTTCGGTCACTTTAGTCCAGTTCAGTCTGACCCCTGTAATCCTAGAGTCCAGAGCCACTGTACCGCTGGATATGCACAGAGAAGGGGGGTTGGGGTATTGGCTCCAGCTGTAGGTTTGTCTTAGATGTGTTGAGGTCAAGCCCATGGACAGACCTGCCTGGAGAACACTGTTCCATGGAGAGAAGGATGGACGAAGGAGGACTGAGGATGAGTTTAGACGAGTGTTCCTGGCTTGGCCTTCTCGTGTCCATACCACTGCACATCTGCTAGCTCAGAGCACAGGGGACTGCTCAGGAAACAGCTATCGCTGAACGATCTGTGATGAAGCACATGCAAACAACATTATGGCCTTTGTTCCCTCTGTGACAACAACATTGTAGTAAATTAGATCTCAAGACACAGGAATGTATAGAGCAAAACAGGCAGAATCAACATGCACAGAGATAGAACGAGAGACAGACAAAGAGAGTGAAAGAGAGACAGAGAGAGAGAGAGAGATAGAGTGTACCTCTCTACTGGTCAGTGCTTTGGTGAGAGGGAGAGCGGTCTTCAGTAGGAGAGTTTTCAGCTGTATCACTGCCCCAAAGAAAAACACCACACACACCCAGACCACATATAGCAGTCAAGCAGAAGTTGGTTAGAGAAAAAGGGAGGAAAGCAAGAGGGAGAGAGAGAGAGAAAGAGAGAGGTTAGCAGCTATATGAACAGTGACAGCAGTTAGCAGTTGAAAGAGAAGCAGTGTAGGCTGTGCAGATAAGTCACAGAAGTGCTGTTATTGAATTTAATAGTAGTTAGTCGCCAGCACAGAAAAGCTTTAAAGAAGCTCTTAAATACATAAAAAGCTACAAAGCACACCACAGAGCCAAGAAGCACATCTTTACATCTAAAAGCCAGTGTCTCAGGTACATCACTACAACTAATGTCACTGTTTCTACTGCTCTAACTCTGACCAGCCCACTACACAAAGTGAATAATTTGGCAAAATTCTATTCAAGAAATATTTGGTGTCCTGTGTGCGCTTCTTTAGTCTTGCACTTCAACTACAAGGCTAACGTACAGAACAATTAACGAAAGCGTAATCAATAAGGGAACCACACCACTGTATTATGCAAACCACATGTCTAAATCATGACACACACACATCTAAGTAATCTCAGATCGACTTGTGTATGTGGACACTGTTTGACACACTGTCTGTTGTTCAAATTTGGCTAACTGATCATTTGGAGTAAGAGAAAACTTTTTAACCAAACTATTTTTTTAAAAGAGAATTTCACCAATTTAGCAAAACCTCATAATTTAATCAATGAGGTGTAAACTAAATCATTCACAGTGGTTTGATGTGAAATGGTGTGTTGTAGAGTTTAGGTACCAACTCTTCAAACTGATGGTGATAGGAACCAGAGGTTGTGATGTCTACAACACAAATTGTCGCTGTCCAACGAAAACCATGTATCTCCATTTTTGTCGATTTTTATATTTCTACTTCATTTCAACAAACCAGCTGTCCTTTATGTTGTGTGACAATTTTATGATGAATGGACCAATAGAAATGCTCTAAAATCACTTGAAATAAAACCTCTTTACATTAACTTGCATTGAAAGGTAAGAGTGTTTTTGCCTTCTCCTCTAAAGTTACTATTTTGGAGATACCTGTTTTTTATTGGACAGCGAAGATATGTAATGTCATAAATCTGAAAAAAGTCTCCTTTGGGGACTATATTGTCTTACAACAATCTGCATGTACATCTCTGCCATAAAGGTTATATTTTATGCCAAAGCTTATCTCAAATCTATCGTAAAACAACGGCTCAGGGATCAGACAGCGTATGTGTAACCATTTGATCTAATAAGTTTCTGCTAAGTAGCTTTTAGTGCCATTAAAACAGGCGTCTGCTTACTATCACCAGCATTATATGAAATATTCTGACTTGGTACGTTTCTCTAGAACTGAGCATTTCATATCAAACCACTCTGAATGACTTTGTTTACATCTTAAATATTTAAGTGTGCATTAATTTAAAAAAGATTAACGATGGATTTACTTAAAGGTGCTCTGTACAGAGAATGACACAAAACATTCCCATTTCAAATTGATAGGCTGGCCACAGTTTAGGTTTATAAGTAACTAGATGGATTAGCCTCTCTCGCCTGTTGCTTCCTAACATCTCTGACAACACTTTACCTCAGCCAAGCATGAGCACACGAGTCACAACTACAGAAATCAGTTACTATAAAGAGTTTAGGTCCTCTGCTTGGGCAGGATTTTGACTTTATTCTGCAGCTATCGTAGAGCATTTGGAGCCACTGTGTCCATCACACTGGAGGGTCATGTTTATCATGAAAGGCTCTTGTGAAGTGCTGTCAGTTTGTTAGCCCAACCGACATGGCGAGGGTTCACCAGAGTGGTTACTATATCTTGTTTAGTTTTTAGCACTGAATCTTCAGGATCAAAGCAACTAAATATTTAATTCTGATTAAAATAATAAACTTATCAATCACTGACTAACAGAAATTTGAATGACCAATTCAATGCATTAAATGTAAAAAGACTAAAGTTAGACATCAAATTAAGTCTTTGCACATATCCTGTTTAAACTACACACTACACACCAGAAGTCTGCTCTTACCCGCTCTGCCAGTTGAGTATGTGCTGGGGGCTGCAGGGTGGAGTGGCTGCGGACTCACTGCATGGAGTTCCACTTCTCTGGCTGTGTGGAGAGGCAGCTAGAAACACATCCACACAGGGTTATTACACACTTGTGTGCACACACAAACAGGCACTCACTCTTCCACAGCAGACTGTCACAGATAAAATGAGCTTGTAACTGACACTTCAGTGTGCCACAGTTTTTACACCCTGGGTGTTTTTGCCAGCCAATGAGGGGCAATTATTCCACTCCCCTCAACATACACACACACAGAGCAGACCACCCTGACAGCACCCACTCCCATAGGAATGCACTTAGCTGAACTGTTGTAAAAGGACTGACCACCTACATTAAATCAACACAATTTGTCAACCCACCCCTAATTCACCCCCAAGATGAATGCATATTTACACACACTCCACTAAAAAGTGTCTGTATTTGAAGGAGTTAAATAAAAAATAAAGCAATGCAGTAAGAGAAGAACAACGCCATTACCCTGCACACGTAAGATTTAAGGTTCGATTCCCTGTTTGGGCAGGAAATTTACTGACCTACCAATAAGAGTCCTTGAAACTCATTCTCCAGTTACTGTAAATTACTCTGGACAGGCGTGAATTCAACAATTCACAACGACCTAGGCTGCCAGATAGGAATGGGCCCATATTATACGTATATATTATACATTATTATATTAATTATATCTAATTTAATATTGTGTAGTACTAAATAATTTCACTAGCTCATAAAAATGTCTTTCTCCATGTTTTATTGCTTGCCTAATTGTGCCAGTCCTTCTTTACACAATTCACATATGTAATCACATAACAACATGAAATAATCCACTGCAGCCTTGACAGGCTGCTGAGAGGACTGAAAATAATACTTATAATTTCAATTTTTCGTGATTTATATTTTTAAAGGGCCCTTGACTGAAACTTTCTAGATTTTTATTTTATTTGTGCTACAAACTCTGAGGAAGCAAGCATAAAAGGCAGTATCATGCATCTTTCATATAGTGACAGAAAACACAGTAGCACACAGAAAGCTCCAAATCCACATGGTGATACATTTCATGCAGCTACTCTGGGGGAAGACTTTAATGAGTTAAAGGGGACTTTGTCAGTGTGAATAGATTATGTATATGGTATAGACAGAGTTAAATACCTAAATGTAAATGTTCTCACCTGGTGAGCCCTTCACAAGTGTCCCAACTCTCCCTCCACGGCCATCTGACGCGTTGGAGCTGGTGTGTGTGACGCGTGAGTGTTCCTTCAGCGATCCGGACGAGCGCTGGTACCAGCACCTGAGCTCCTCGGACACGGCTGCTCTCCCCCCTCCCCCTCCTCCCCCCTCTCTCCCCAGAGACGGAGTCCTGACTATTTGAGACCTAGATGGGGTGAGCCGTCCACTGCCACTGCCCCCTTCACCATCCTCACCGGATCCCCAGCCCTCCTTGTAGAGGCCGCCGGCCGTGTATGAGTTGGAGGTTTTAAACTGGGCCTTCACGCTGTAGTGACCCTCCTGGTCGTTCTCTAGGCTGCGCACCACCACGGCTCCAGGGCTGGTGCCCTCTGTGTACAGCGGGTACTCCTTGATACGGTACTGCGAGGATGGCTGGCTCTGGCTGTGCAGATAAACGCCCTGGTGGCCACCACACACGCCGGCGCTGCCGTGGGTGCCGCCTCCGCCGTTTCGGGCGGCCAGGTTAGGCATGCTGCCCGAGCTGGAAGCTCCCAAGTGGCCGGCAGACTTGTGACGCTGCCGCTGCCTTTGCCGAGCTTTAGACGGTGAGTCCTCGGCCAGCGTGCAGTAGTTGGGGTTGGAGCCGGACGAAGGGTAGTAGTGCTCCGAGCTCGAGTGGCTGGTGCAGGATGAGCAGTCATCAGGGGCGACTGAGCCGTTGCTCCCTGTTCGCTGAGCTCCCGACAGGAAGAGGTCTGGGCTGAGCCCTGCCTCTGACTCCGCCTCCATGTTCAGCAGCTTCCCTTGAGACTCCAGACTGGAGCTCCGGCCACGGAAGGGCTGCGATAGGCTGAGAGAGAAAAAAAGACAAGGTATCAATTGTGTGGACAGTGGCAGGTGAAAATAGAATAGGTCACAATCACATTGCAAGGCTGAAGTGGCATAACCGCGATTTTTTTCTTTCACTTGACTTGGATCTGATGATTTTAAAGCTGTGTGGACACACAAATCTGAGCTTTTTAAATTAGATCTGAATGACTTTCATACGTAGTCTTAGACTGTGTGCAATTCATCACCATGCAGCCTAATGAGAATGGTTAGATCAGAGGTCATAGGTTTGTTTCCCACTGCATATGCACCATCATTCAGTGTTAATGTGGCAGTAGCAGCTAACTTGCAGTTAGTGCCAGTAACCGCTGCAAAAAGCTGACCTTATTTAGCCTTCGTCATGCTCTAATAATAACCAGCTGAGAACTGCCCAGAGAAAATTGTCTTTGTTACGAAGGTTAGTGCTGCTGGTTAGCACGTTTAATGTTGTTTTAATGTAGGTTGTAATTTCAGGGTGCACGTTCATTCACAGTAAAGATGGATACGAGTCACTTACAAACACAAACGTGAACCATCAAGGCAGAAAGATCAGATCTGAGCAAATAATCAGAATTGAGCAATGAGGCTTGTAATGTGAACATCTGAGTTCCAAATATTACCAATGTAATTTTCAATAGAAACTACAGAAAAATGTGGAAGCGAGCAGTAATTTCAAAAGTTTCAAAAAATATTTTACAATTACATCAATTTGCCAACAACTACCAACAAAAGTTATGTTTTCTAATTTAACCAAAGGAGCTGTAGGAAAAAGGAGTTTCAGGTGTGTTAAGTAAAATTCTTAATTTAACACAACTGATTCAGTTAATCAAGCTTTGAGGAGCATCTGAAAGGGAGAATTAGGAGATGTATATGTTTTTCTGTCCATTGACTCTTGAAAAAATATCATATTTGCTTAGTTAGTTGCTTCCAAACTTGTGGCCTGTTCTGTATAACAGTGCCTTTGTGCATCTCTGTGTGTGCACCTGGCTGAGTGGACGTAGCTCCTGGTCCTCAGGTCAGGAGTAGAGGGCATGCTGGATTGGCTGTTCCAGTGGGGCAGGGTGCGCACTGGACTGTTCTGCAGAGAGTTACTCCCTCCAGCCTCACAGCTGCCTGTGCTGGGGAACCGCCTGTGACTACTGCACACAGAAAAAGAGCAAGAAACTGAAGCAGAGACAGTACCTGAAAAACCAATGCATATTACAAGTCTCCACTGACAACTAAACAACACTATACAACACACACAACACACAGAGGTAAGTGCATACTTCAGTTAATAAATACGAAATTGATATATTAATTATTCACTATATTATACATCACTTCTGCAATTGTTATGACAGCGGTAACCATGACTGCAGAAGAACTTCTTATGTCTCAGTGCTCCACACCTGGAGTGAGATGAGCGTTTCTTCACCCTCTCATAGGGCTCGTCCAGTGAGCTCTCGCTCCACATGCGAGGTTTAATAGGGGACTTGTCGTAATCACTGCGCTGGTAGTGAAGGTGCCTCAGTCCTTCCAGAGACTGTGGGGGAGGGGGCCTGCTGTGAGAGGGCGGTCGAGGAGGAAGGCCTTTATGTGGGGATGCAACTGGAGAGAAGGTGGGGGTCCCTGTCACCTGGGGGTCATCTGAAAAATACAGTGCAGCAAAAAGAAAGAAAGCATAACAATTACAATAAAATATCTCCTCGTCTACTCAAACGAATGTTTAGAATAAGCATTTTTGACAGAATTTCTGCACTTATTTCAATGAGCAAACTACAACATGGTTTTGTTATTGCTGATGGTAACTGTAAAGGTTTCAGACAGAAGAAGTAGTTATAAATATAGCGACACACTGTGTGGCAGAAGATAAGACAGAGTGGTTGCTTGAAGAGGCTGCAGAGGGCATGACAGAGGTGTGTGTGCAGTGTGCTGTGTGTGTGTAACTCTAGTAGAGCATGGAGAACTTACCATCGTCTAGCACCAGAGCGTCGGATAGAGAGCTGTCTTCTGAGCCGATATTAGCTTCTGCAGGAGAGACAGAACACTCTCAGCATTGTTCAGCACATTCTCACCTTTCCACACGCTTCAGGTAGGCCTGCTAATGATTAGGCTAACATGTCTTTATTCCGGTACTCCAGGGGTGAGCACACGTGTTTGTGTGTATGCGTGTGTGTATTAAATGAATTTCATGCCCTGTTCTGACCTCAGTGGAGGTCACACACATGCTGTTTTACAGCTCTGAGCGCTGAGCTGTGGGAGGCCTTCCACAGGGCAAGACTTCATTAACTCACCTAATGATGCTTCATAGCCACACCAAACAGTACACTCACACACAAAATCAGCACAGTTCACGACCTCATCTTCACCTCAGCACATCCATCACATCAGCTGCTGATACACTATTCACTGACGAATGGGATTTGTTATTATTATTATTAGTAGTAGTAGTAGTTTTAGTATTATGTCGTCTGTCATTACATTGTTATTATGAGTTTGGTACTGTGATTACAGATGGTAATTACAGCTGTACAACACATACAGTCATGCTCTAATGTGGCGGAATTAATATGTTAGCAGTGTAGGCCTTATTTGACAATTTCACCTGTTTGCAACTAATGTACAGCTGAGGTACAGAAAGCAGGAGATGCACTAAATACTTCAAATACCTCTAATTAGTTATTTAAAAATGTATTACTCCAGTGATCTATATAGTCAAATCAGGGGTGCCCAAACATTTTTGCAGCCCAAGGGATAAAATGTTTTTAAAAACATATTTTTTAACATTACACTGTATCTTGTTACTAAAATGCTTCATAAATACAAGTTTAAAAGGAATATAAGAATTCAGTAAGTTAAATATATTATAAAAATAAATTTCCTCATTTGGTGAGAGGTTAAAGTTAGTAACTTTTTGGTGGGCCAGATTAAGCGTTCTCACAGGCTGACTTTGGGCAGCCCTGGCTGGAGTGTTAATCCGCCCTACTATGACAGCACTTCATATATGTATTAAAGTACAAATTGCAAAAAAATAAAATGAATGGCTATATGTACCAGTATTGGCCACTGCAAGGTACCGTTATCAATCCAGATATTACTCGTCAGTGTATTCCTAATTCCAAAACAGTTATAAACAAGCAAAGCTTATGTTTGCTTTAACAATTTAATCAATAATGCGTAGATCTGCGACTTCACTGTTATGTTTTCATCACCTTTGATAATTCTGTGTGTGCTTGTGCTGCAGTGTGAGTGAGTGTATTTTCCTACCTTCTATGATGAGTGAGGCTCTCTGGGTGGGTTTCTTGCCGGAGCGGACGCGGTACTCATTGATGGCGTTCTCAATGTCCTGTAGTTTCTTCAGTGCGTTGAGGTACGAGGTCTTCCTCTGCTTCTTCAGCTTCTTACTGCTCACATGAGGATCACTTGCTAAGCGCCGCGCTGCCTCCGTTATCTGAGACTGGATAGCAAATTCCCTCTCCAAACGCTCCAACTCTTCCTCCTAACACACGCATACAAAAACACAGCCAGATAAGAACACACATTAGCACACAGATAACCATGAAAAAGACAGTGAAGTGGGCCAAAACAAACATAGTTTTTCATATTGTGCTCTAACATTCAGCCAAGACACATTTTCAGAGTGACGACACAGCTTCAGGAATCGAGCACACCACACCATTACTCACATACACACTCAGGCACCTCACTGTCTAGCATTGTTTCAAAGTGCTGTTATATCAACAGCTTTGACAAACTGTACTGCCTAATCATACCTGCACATTATTTTTAGCCACTTTCATTTTCTCTCTCTTCACACATATACTCAGTCTCTCTTTCTGTGCTCTCCATGCCCAACTTTGTAACTTTGCACTTCTGGCTTAGACTCAACACACACTCACTATCACCACTTCCTCTGAATCATGCCAGACTGGGGACTGGTGCTATTTATAGAGGCATACACACACCAAGCTCTGGAAAGTCTGAATCTTTTATAAACAGAAGATTATAAAAGGAGATATTTATGCAGGATCTACTGCAATTAGCAGTGCATGTTAAGTAAAGTTACTCCTCCATTTTAAAAGTGGTCGTTGAGAACTGTGCTAAGTCCCCGAGATGGGGACCTGAGTCAGTGAAACTGATTGAGTTAGGAGTACCAACCTTAATGCAGTAAATAAATATGACCTTTTGTTTTCAACCTGTTTCAGTTTTACTACAGTCATATGCAGTGCTGGGGTATAAGAGCATTGCATTGTGGGTACTGCAGTGATTTTACATTATAACCTTGGCAACTGTAGTCACTACCACAATGCAAAATGTTCTTTTTTCTTTTTTTCTTGGCACTCTTGTTTTTTTTTTTGCTAGTAAATGAACCAGACATGCAACTCAGAGACTAGTGGCTCAACTCGTACTCGCAGCAAGTAAATTATGAACATCTCTGTTGAATCCTGGTATCTATCTCTCTTCAGAAATGCCAGAGACGTTCTGAGGACAGAGGGTAACTCACCTCTCCTTTGGGAAGGATTTTCTGTTCGTCTAGTTTGAAGGCAGTGCCGATTTTGCGTCGTACTGTGGGTGGCTCCTCTCCTGGGTCTAGAGGATACTCTTTTGGGAGCTTTCCAGTCAGCTCCTGAGACACAAAACACACACACACACACATAAACACTCTCTCATTTCCACTGCATGCATAGGGGATTTATGGTTATGGTTTATGGTAATCAGTGTAATGAGGTAGAATTATGTTAAAGCTCGCTGAAAAATCCAGTCTATACATTTTCCCAATTTTATGGGTAAAGGTATGGACACTAACCATGTCCGTACCTTTACCGATAAAAACGGAATATAGTATGTTACATAGCTAAATACATTACAGGCATGAAGCTTGAATTTTGTCCATTTTTCTGTGTGTTTTTATACATAAGTCATTCAGAATCAGAAATCACATTTAAAATTACTTAACAAAGATTAAGGAAAGCGTGTTATGATTTAGGCATGTAGCTTGCACAGTGCTATTTTGTGGAGTATATATCCTTCATTAATTGTTAGCTACATTAGCCTCATAGCTCCATTGCCTCTAAAGAAGCAAACTTCAGGGACAAAACATGTTTTGGCTGATCATCCACATCTGAGGTAAGGGGGAAATCCCTGTACATTAGATTTTTGCTGGACTATTGCTTAGGAATGTTGTGAATTATAGGTTACTGGGTGAAGGTCTGATACTAGAATTAGTTTGTGTGAAGATAAGATGTAAGATAAGTGTGTCAGTGTAAAGATGTATGAGTCTCACCGCTTCTCTGATGCAGATGCTCTTGAGCTCCTCTATCCTCTGCCGCAGAGTCTCCTCCAGGGCTTCCTGCCTAGCCCTCAAAGCAGCTAACATGTCCTTCTTAGCGGTCTGAGAACTGTCTGATTCCTGAGAACCTGAACACACACAAACACCAAACATCAATCAGTTCCATGCTGCAGGTCTGACATACACACTCTATACTGGTAGAGAATACAAGTGTGTATGTGAGAGAGAGAGAGCCACACAAAGAGAAACACAAAGGTCAAAGACAGGGAACATTCTAAAGGGCAAACAATCTTAACAACTGCAGACAAGTCCTGAACAATGAGCTTGACCTTTTGTCGAAGGAAGTGTGTGCGTGTATGTGTGGCCACTCTTTCGCCAGCATTTAATGGACACACTGTACGTACGAATGTGTGCAAGCATGTTTCCGGACTGAATGGGATGCAGGGGTTCAAACAGGGCAACATTGTTTAAAAGGGGCCCCATGGGGGCCAGAGCAGAGAGCACAGCGGTATTTAGTGTGTGTGTGTTTGTGTGTGTGTGTGTCTGTGTACACCTGTTCTAACAGCCCAAAAGTTCACAAAGAAGTGAAAGAATGTTCCGATAACTTGGCCTTAGCTGGCCTTCAAACACTTGCACAATAAAAAAATCACAATTATTGGCACCTGGTAAATCTTTCTTACACACATACATACACACACAAACACAAAGACAAACTCACTTTCTATGCGAGTATAGACATCTATACTAAATGATACCAGAAATCTACCAATCATTTTGAGAATTAATCAAGAGATTTAAAATGGCTAAACAATAAAAATGGGCTTAAATGAACAATAACAGTTTTCTTGTTTTTTTCATTATTTTACCCACTTGCTAAGTCTCCTCCTATCACATGATGCTACCAAGCTTTAAGGATGAAGGGTAAAGTGGTTCCTCTGAGACATGTGAAGTCCCACTGCATCTTTTGAACTCCTGTTAACGCAGCATCATTGGACAGCTCAGCAGTGCTGAGTGATAGGGGAGAGGGAGGACCACCCAACGCACTCACAGAGAGTGAGGCCAATCACACTCTCCTAGACTCCCAGCCACAGATAGCTGTGGCATCGCCCAACAACCAGTTTCTGGTGTCAAACCAGCATGCGACAGATCCAATCTCTCACCCGCCACACTGGGACATATGCTCTGGCATGCTCAAAGTTGTCCGGTTTTTGGATCTCTACATTTCAAATTCTATATTTCCAAACTGCACTTAACCCTAAACTGGCTGCTTTTGGATTTGTGGGAGAGAACACTTCACTCAGGCAATCAAATTGTTAAGATTAAGAGTCTTTAAGTATTGTTGAACAGGAAACAAGTAAAACTCCTGACTCACAAAATATGGATCAGACACATAATGCAGCACCTTCACCTCACTAGACAAACTAAGACAGATCATCAGTGGATCTTCTGTGAAGTTCTTTAAACTGTGGCAACCACTCCTTGATTATAAGCAAGCCAGGCAGCAATTCTTCTAAACCATAAACTAAAACATTTCACTGAACAGACTATGTACAAAACCACACAGCTGTTCCTTTTTTGTGATGTTTTTTATTTTGCAGTTTTTTTAATCCTTTCTTTCTTTTCCATCTCTTTGTTCACTTTTTTATTTAACTCTTTATTATTCATTCTCAACATTTTTCTTGACCAAAGATATTATGTGGCAAAGTTTGTTTTAATGAGAATGGCATTTCATCACACTGACATTGCTGTGCAAAGAGTACATCACAATACTAACCCATGCACAGCCTTTCAAGATCCCAAAATACTATCTTGGAAAAAACATATCAGAGGGAGCCTTTAAAACAGATAATTAAATAAAAAAAAACACATATACAGTCGCTGTCAGAACAAAACCTTGAATATGATAACTTTAGAGGAGAAGGAAAGACATTGTTGAATTATAATGAAAGTTGATATAACAAATGTTTTTGAATTTTGGACCATTTTCATTGGTCTATTTACCGTGACATTTTAACACAACTCAAAGGGTGTACTATGTGGCAATGCAAATGTCCATTACATTCTATTTCTTATGACAAGAAACAGAATGCATTGTTTTCTATTCGCTATTATAAAATATGCATTATCCTTAGCAAACTGCTAACTAGTCAATGCCGATTCATTGAAAAGGTACACTATAATCAATGACTTCTTTAATTAAGCACTTGGCCTTAATAAAGTAATTGTAACAGCCTTAACAACGTTGGTTCGCTCGGGGAGGTTCACTAGAGGACGTAATTCTGCAGCTCCACAGCGTGTGGTGTGAAAGCTTTCGGTTCTGTCTGAAGCTGTCATGTGTGACAGACGATTTCCTGTCCTTCACATGGGCAGGCTTGCTGACCAGCTCTGCACAGCTGTGTGTGTAAGCGTGTGAGGGAGCGTGAGGGTCACAGGGTCATCTTTTAAGTCTGTGGTCAAGGTTTAGGGTCAACAGAGCAGTCGGGGCATGAGTGTGTGTTTGTATGTAGAGGGACCAGTAGACAAGGGAGTTGTCTGAGAATTAGTGATGGGTCAACTTAAAAATAAGTGGACATGACCTGGGTCACTAGAGCCCAGACAAGATGGGTTTGTGTGTGTATGAGTGTGTGTAGCTGAGTGACTTTATTTCTGACCTGCTAAAATTCTTGTGCAGCTTTAATCTGAAGTATGTTCTCAAATCTTCAGGAAATGTAAATTAATGCCCCAGTTTCACAAGCCAAAGGCTCATAAATCATCCTTGAAAACTCAGAAGCTGCAGGGTGTTCCCACAGACTTCCAGAAGTGAAAAAAGCAATCTGTAGTTCTAAGGCTTTCATGAGTGTCAGTGAGAGAGGTGAACACTTATAGAGTTTCCGCTGAGCTGGAAAAGAACCCACTTTTCTGGAAGTTAAAGAAAAGAAGCAGTTAGGCTTCAATTCTCCTCCTCTATGGAAACATTTAAACTAAATGAGAGAGATTTTTTCTCTCTCTGTCTTCCACTCTCTGTGTATATACACTCCCTGTATATGTGTGTGCTGAAACACACAGACAAATACACAAAGGCTATGGCTGGGTGGAGTTCACTAGAGCTATATAACCATGTCCTTTAGTGAACTTTCAAAGCAAAAACAGTGTGTGTGCGTGGGTGCGTGCGTAAAAGTAAGAAAGACCCCGCTCCTCCCAACCATACACATGGACACAGCCTAATTCTGTCAGTGGAACAGAGGGGCATTGTTCTGGAAAGTAAAGACAAAGCTGGCTGTCTCCTCCACCCTTACATCCCTCACTCCCTCCCTCTATCCATCTCTCCTAAATCTGTCCATCTTTACCGGCACTAAATATAGAGTGGGGGCCTCCAGCCCCAGAGTATTGAAGTAGGTCTGGGGATAACTGGGATTATAGCATCTGTGGGAGTACCATACAGTATGAAGTATTGATGGCTGCTGCAGTCTAAAGATTAAGGTGCTAACAAGCTTTCTTTGGAACAATGCCAAAGAATAAATACTTTTGGTTCCCTAAAGAACCTTTTTTAGGGCTTGGTGATATAATATCATGATAGTCAGAGACACAATAGACATCACAATATTTTGCTTTTATGAGCAACGTTTTTTTTATGGCTTAATCAATTGTAACAGACAAAAAACAGCACCAGTAGTGCAACATTTTATAATATTTTAGAATACTATCTAAAACTGCAAAGAGCACAACGGGCATCATTCACCAACTGTTCTTAAGAAGAAATTTCTCCTTAAAACCAACTTACACTGTTTTTACCAAGATTCTCACGTTCACCAGTGTATTCTTATTTGGGACTTGTTCTAAGGTAAAAGCAGAATCTACACACACTCAAGAGTACAAAAGTGCAATCAATTCTGAGGTTTAAGAACACGTCATGAATCTGACGTAGACTTTATCATAGGACGTTTGTCAAGAACACATTTAAGAAAACTTCGTGAAAATAATATTGGTGAATTATCTTTGCTCAATTCTTCACATAATGGGCTGTATTAAATCCAATTAAATGGCACTAATAACATATCTTTGTAATTAAACATACAATTAGTCAGTAATCTTTAAGCACTGTCGATATTTGCCCTACTCACAACAAAGTATATTGCGATGTAATTTATCATGATAAATTGATAATAAATATCGCTATATTGCTCACCACTACTTTTTTTTTTGAATGGTTTCAACTGAGGTTTTAAGAACCAACCGTTGAAAGGTTCTTTTGGGAAGCAATAGTGTTTCTTCAATGGCATTGCTCTAAAGAACCCATTTCAGGGAGAGTAGGACTGTTTTCTATGCTTTAAGGACATAGACTGCATGCTCTAATTAGCAGTACAGTGCTAATGAACTTCAGCATGGCAGTCAGAATAACCCTCAACATCAGTGACCTCATCTCTCACGTCTCGCTCCACATACGGCCAGTAATGAAAGAATGACTCCCTCCTTCTATCACTCATTCTCTCTCTCTCGCTCTCTCTCTGCCTGACGCTCTTCCTGGATGTGAAACCGCTGCAAGCAGCCAGAAACGACAGCACAAGGAGTTGCTCAAAATTTCACAAACACATGCACACCAACATACCCCTACACATGCTCTCCACTCCCACCCCCACCACACCCACCCTCCCATAACAACTGCATTCAGGCACAAGCTGATATGAATTCTGTGTGTGTGTGTATAGACTTTGTGTGTACACTAACCTGAGGACAGAAGGCTTCCGCTGCTACCGCTGATGATTTTGCCCTTGCTGCCCATGTTGGCAAGTTTAGAGGTCTTCAGAGTGCCTGTCTCAGTGAGGTCAATGGCTATCTCATTTAGACTGCGGGCTGCGTGGATCTTTGACTGAGTAAGGAGGAGAGATAAAAAAGGGAGGTAGACAGAGGGAGACAGACAGTACAAGAGAGAGAAAGAGAGAAAGAGAGGGAAAGAGAGAGACAGTGAATGCGCTAGCCAGCTGCGTATAGTGTGCGACAGGATTTTCCGAGAGATGAACATTCCACAGCTTTTAAAAGTGTAACTCAATCCTCATACTCACTCTGAGCAAAGTCATCCAGCAGTATGTGTGTACTAGTGTGTGTGTGTGTGTGTGTACTCATAACTGCTGAAGCTACATATCTGCAGTCTAGACAAATGGAGGAAGTAAAAGAAAACACTCTGGCTGTGACTGAAATGGATCCTAATTTGCGTTTTAGGGCAGTGATTTTAAGGGGTTTTAAGGGGTTATTATTACAATAACCCACAATGCACTTGTAACTTCTAATGGTGACCACTGAGCCCCTGAAAAGAAACCTTATCAGACTCTTTTGAGTCTCTGCTGAAAAACAGCAGCACTGTACAGTTTAATACGAAGACCCTAGCGTGTTTACTGCCTGCTGCTCATAATGTAGCAAAAACACTGAATGGTAGCTGAGCAACTGTGGACCAACAAATGCACGTGTCAAGTTTTGTAGATTTTCTATCGGTCCATGTCCCCCTCTGCCAAGGTCTTTGGTTACAATTAAGAGGCCAACTTCAGCCTTCTTCAGCTACTGTTATTTTGGTGTATTTGTGTGACTAGTGAAGACTGACACAGGTTGATAATGGGGGACTGCCTGAACTGATCCATGTGTTTTTTCACTGCTATTAAGTAAACTGAATAGGCCACTTCTATATGGCACAATACTAATGAGGAAGTGGGGATGCATCTCAGTCAGGCAGAGACAGTCTTTCAGTGGATTGTAGACACACATGATGCAACATCAAGAGGTTCCAATATGCCCTTTTTCCAAACAAGTAAACACACATACCTTGCTCTGTTTGCGGTCCAGGTAGAACTGGTGCTGGCTGATGGCCATGGCCCAGATGGATTTGATGAGGGCAGGGCAGGCGTACCAGGTGTGCACAGCGATGCCACTGTGCCCAAATGTCCTTCGCGTGACCGACGCCCTGCAGTTGGAGCAAACACAAACCGACTTTATATTCACTGAATGCTACTACACTGTTGAGATCTGAACTAAACTCATTTATTTCCACTGTACTGTAACTACAATATGAGGCATCTTGTATCCACTGACTATAATACTGGTCCTACCCTCTATCCTGTTTATGACTGTTAAAAGTACTAATTCACACTACATTATGTATTTATAATGAGTTGTAAGCACCAAACCATGTTGGCCTCTGGTTAACCCTTAGAAGTCAAAGTTATTGCCAGCAGTAGCTTTAAAAAAAAAAAGCAGAACATTTCTGTTGAAAGAACAGATTCTAACATTTCAGAAGAGAAGAGGAGCCACTTTATTATGACTTAAATTTGATGAAAAGCCATTGTTGGTGTCTTGCTTTGCAGGGAGCACATTTCTTTTACATTTTTTTGTCGTTTTTGTACTTTTTTCAATGTTTTTGTCATTTCTTGACAGAAAGGTTCAGACTTGATCAATACAGCAAGTAAACTGAATGTAAGTATAATTCATTATGTAACTGCCTGTGCAATACATGATGCAATTATGCAATAACAAGTGAATAATTATGTAATGACAATGATTATAGAGTTCTAAGGGTTGATAAACTACAGAATCAATCCCTGGCAACCACTGTGTACTTAACACTTAACTAAGTGGTAACTACTATCACTTATAAATACTAATCAACAAACCACATCATGCTCAAAGAACAGTAAAACAACCATCCTACAGAAAACCAATCCTACACACTACTGTATCAAACATGGAACACAACAGAGTCTTAACTCAAATCTCCTCAACAGTTTGAGCAGCAGTAGATCATTTGGGCCTAAAAAGAAAGAGCAGTGGGGAAGTAACCACTGTTCCACTAACAGCGCAGCCCACATGTCCACACCATTTACAGTGTGGTGCAGACCTACATGTGGGTGGGTGTGTGTTTTGTGTCAAAGATGGTCCTCCTCCTGTCTGTTGTTACATGAAGTTTAAAAAAAAGACTGAAGCACTCTATAAATACCCTGTACGCACACGTAGACTCTCAGAGCCAAGATAAACAACCAGAAGCCCCTGCCTCCTGCTCTTATCAATAACCTGTTCTCCTGTAACTCAGAGAGTCTACCTAGTGTTTATGAGCTCATTGCCACTCTAATAGTAACACTTATACAGACAAAGAGTAAGAAAAAGCCTTATATCTGCTGTATCCTTCTATAAAACATACGCACAGAAATCACTGTACAAACTTAATTTAATTATGCCCCACATTTCCATTCAATCAGAGTACAAGCAAAATAGAGAGTTAGTAACCTCAACACAAAAGGTGCCTAATATCAATGTTTTCAATTTGCAAGTCAAACAATCCCATTGGTTAACCGGTGCTTTATAATTACTGATCTCCTTTTTCACTCAGTGTCTAGTACCAGACATAAGCTGTGCTTTCTCACACTCGCCTCCCCGCTGTAGCTGTGGCTGTTTGAACACTGTGTCTGAGGCGGTTTATCTGTCAGCATCTCCGGCTGTGTGCTGTGGCTTTTGGCACCGTTCACCATTCCTAAAGAGACTAACCAGTCCCCATACAGTGATGAGCTCATATAAGCCAGAATGAACCCAAATGCTCCAACTCAATCTCTCTACACGGAGAGAGGCAGGTAGATAGACAGGGAGAGAGAGAGAGAGAGAGAGAGAGAGAGAGAGAGAGAGAGAGAGAGAGAGAGAGAGAAAGGTATAGAGAAAAGAAAGAGAAAGCAAAAAAGAGGAATGGGCGAGGAAGATAGAGAAAAAGAAAGTGATGGAGAAAGGGAAAATGAGAAGCATAAAGGGACAAAGACAAAAAGAAGGGAAAGAAAATGGAAAGAAATTTGGGATATCTATATGAAGAGTGAAGCAGACAGACAGAAAGAAAGAGAGATAGAAGAAGAGAGTGACAGAGGAGAGAAGGAAAAAAGATAGCATAGAGAGAAGAAGTGAGAGAAAAAGAGAAAGAAACTGAAGGAGGAGAAAAAACAGAAAAAGAGGGATGGAGAAAGAGAAAGAGGCAGAAAGAAGGATGGAGAGAGAGAAAGTGAGTGAGGTGAAAAAAGAGAAAAAGGCAGAATGAAGGATAAAGAGAAGGGAGAGGGAGGTACAGAAAGAGAGAAAGAAAGAGAGACAGAGAGATAGGGAGAGAGAGAGAGGTACAGAGAGAGAGCACTCATGCTGTTTTCATATATTCCTGCTGTGATCCTATACCGTTTTTTCCTATTTACATTCAGTGGACACAGGAAACACAGGAAGCAAAGGATGTCTATTAAATAACAAACAACTGAACATAAACGCGCCAATGAATAACCTCCAGCAGAGATATTCACCCACCAAACAAGTTCAGAAGTTCAGAAACAGGCATGTGTAACATTCCTCACCCAATATCTTCTACACATTGAGCAACGATTAGTTCATAGAGTTATCATTCTAATAATTGACCATGACTGAACTGCTGGCTCTGCTACTAACTTTTGGATATTTGGCAGACATTCTGTATGATTTTAAAAGCTAAGAAGGCCTTGAGGGAATCTGAAGTTTCTGAGAACTTACTGCGAGTGAATAACGTTATAAACCTCACACTACAAAATTTCACCCATCACCATAACAAAAACAGAGCCAAGAAAGCTAAGACTGATTCATTTATATAAAATGAATAAAAGTACTGCCCACATCCTACTGTGACTGTGGTGTAGTGATTCACTGTGTGCTCTGAGGTCAGGAACTGAGGTCACGTATGTGTATGCTGTCTGTAATATAAATTTACCTTCTAGGGTCATGAACTTCCACTGAGAACTTCTTTTCTCTGAAGTACAGATTCTCCAGCTGCCTCCATTGAAACACCTGAGAAAAGTAAAAAATGACTTGAGAACGTTTCCACAGCTTTCATCCAGAGATTCGCCAGCGTTTCTTGATGCTTCAGCTTATAACTCCATCCACGTTGGAAGGCAGTGTCCACACACACACACACACCACCAAGTAGGGACTGAGTACTAATCCACAACGCAGGCCAAAACCAGAATGCTCTTCTCTTTGTCCTTTTAAAGCTGCTCTTTAGACTCCTGAGAACGCTGCTGCTGTATGTGTGTGTATGTAAGAGTGCTGCACTCTGCACTGTATGTGTGTGTGTTAGAAGGAGAGTGTGTTTGGAAGGAGAATGAGCAAGAGAGGGAGGAGTTTAGCCCCCTCCCTGGCCCCCTCCCTCCCTCTGGGACACACACTTCCTGCTCCCACCATGGCCTGTGTGTGGGCGGGGTCTGCGGAGAGTTCAGAGTGACGTGGGTATGTGTGTCCAGATTGTACTCTCCAGCTTTGTTCACCCCCCCCCCAAACTTTCCTCTTCATTCACTCATAAAGCCAAGTTCTGTTTCTCATTACACACACACATAATAGGGTTTGGTATATTACACACACACACACACGCAGAACTCCTGCAGCCATCAGCTGAATAGATGAGACAAAGAGAAAGAAGAAAGGAAAAAACAAGTTCTCATTAAAAAGATCTTTACTGAAACAACTCCATGCACTTACAGAGCTCACTTTCCCTCTTTGTAAGTAAGCACATAATACATTTACAGCGTATGTCTTGTGAATAACTTTCCACAAAAGGCCAAAAGGAAATGAGATGTCCACGAAATGACAAAATTCTCCTCTTTCAATGTCAACTGGACAGTCCTAATCTTGTTTAAAGCATTCAATCAATAAAACAACGTTCCTCTACACTCTCTCTTTTTGAGTCAGAAAAACTACAGAAAGAGCCAACAACCCAGTAAACTAACCTAGAAAACATAACAGAGCAAGGTTATCTGCCTGCCTGACATCTGTCCATCCATTTGAACATTCAACTGGCCGTTCATTCTGTTCATTCCATCTTCTTTCAGACACTGCCATATAAAAGTCAGATAATGTTTTCAGTGAATCCTGCATACGTAGAGCCCATTTCACTCAGTTCTCTCTGCTGTTGTGTTTAGTTCAGGATGAGTGCCGTAGCAGGCTGGGAGTCTTGAACTGACGGCTGTCAATCACGCCTGCTCATCAGAATATTAGAACCACCCCCAGACAGTTCTCAGATACTACTGTCAAATGATAGCAATGTTTTGTCAAAATATTTATCTTATTTATATCTTGTTATTTATCTACCTTGTTTTTATTCATTCAAACTTCGCTGCATGTTTAATAACACTCACTCTTAGTATCACACAACGTTTAACTGTGTTCTCTGGGACTTTATGGCCTAGTCACACTACACTTTTGTCAATTAAATTTTGCAAACGAAATTACATTCGCTTCAACGGAATTTCCCACAATTAGCGGTTTTACATCGCAGACTTCCGGAGCTAACAAATTTCAACCTGGTCCAACTCGGTGAACTTTGAAATGCAGCACTGAAGATCCAAAAAGACGGAAATGCTGATTTTTAGCAGTTTATAAGCACAACTCTTTTTACATTTCTCTCCCACTAGCTATGAATAAACACACAAAAAATTGGAAAGCTGTATTGGATGGCAGAACTATCTTCACTTTTGTGATTTTACTATTTATGTTAGGCAAGTTAGCCAGTTTGCTAACTGCTAGGTTAGCTCCTTGGCTGAACGCAGCTGCATGTGCCAACCACAGCAGGTTTTTTTTGCTACACAGTGTGCCCATGAGACATAATTATCTGATATAATTATGCTTACTTTTGTGTTTTTAATATCTATGGTTGGGGAGCTAGCTTGCTAGCTTGCTAACTGCACCAAAATCAATCTGGTCCAGCTTTTGACACATCCATTTTGCGAGGCCACACAAACTGCATATTTCTATTGTGACTGTGGCTTTAGACTAAATGGCAGCAAATCTACTACAGAAACCACACACAACTTGTGGAATATGCATGTAATATGGTAAAATTCTGAATCACTGTTTCTTAATGGATCTCTGAATCATTATTACCCTGTATTTAGCAATAAAGTATAATATTTCACTAGCCATTGGGGTGTTATGAAGCAGCACATTAGTGGCGAAAACTCACACACAATAAAAGTGAGAGAGGGATTAAAAGAGAAAAAAAAGTCAGAATAAAGGGAAAGGGAGAAAAGAAGAGAAAAAGAGCAGAGAGAGTGAGGAGGGAGGGAGTTGGCTTTGAAAAGCTTAAGAATTTTAACAGCCTGGGAAAACAATGGACAGATGAGGGAAGTAGGGAGGAAGGGTACAATGTCAGACACATACCACATACACACACACATACACGCACAAATGTGCTCCCCATACATCATTCAGACGCCAGTGCTAAACTACAGAACAGATAGATGGTGCTGTTTAAAGTTAATGTGTTCAGCTTTCTGAGGGGCCCTGACGCTCTCTGGGGACGAAGAACAAATCTGACCTCAACACTTTCTCACCAGCTTTCATCTAGCAGATTCTATCGCTCACACTGCTTTCCTTCAGAGAGAGAGGGAGAGAGTCTAGAAGTCTGAATGATCCGTGACATCTAAACACTTTCAGACTCTTAGTTCTAGCAGCAGCCAATGAGGCGAAGAGGCATTAGTGATGCCAAAGAGCATTATGGGTACAACAAGGTGGGCCATGGGATTCAACTATTGTTCTGGTTGAAGACAAATCTAATGTTTATGTGTGGATGTGTGTGCATACTCAAAAGGCATGCACAGTCTCTAATGCCCTTCATTACTGTAAATACAGTCAGAAGTGAAAGTAAATTAAAGAGTTTGGGCCCACACCAAATACAGTCAGGCATTACTGCCTACTGATCCAGTTCATGTCTGAACCCACATCCTACATTAGGACAAAAATATAGCACAATATTATTTAATGATATTGTCACAATAGACAATATGTATCCCAATATTTAGTTTTTCTGAGGTTTGATCATTTGGAAGAGACACCAAAAACAAAGCAAAACAGTGCCACATTTTATAAAAAGGCTTTATATATATATATATATGTACCTTGCAATCTTCTGATAATGGAGTGTAGTATTAAACAGTTACCTCATGTGGGAGCTCCACCTAATTCTCTTTTTGCTAGTTTGACCCACATGTGGCTGCACAATGAGAAGAGACTGTATGACTGTAAGAGGGAAGAGAACTATTAAGAACTTCAGGTCTGGAGCTCTGACAGGTTCCTGCTTTAAGCCAGCGGGCTGAAACCCCCTTGATGACAGAGGCAGTACTGAGAGATAGAACTGAGCGACAGGGAGGAGATGGTGTGCGAAAACTTCATTACAGGAAACAGAAGACTGAAATGGAAGTTTATAGGACATAAGGTTAGAAGGAGGAAGAACTTGAGTCATGGTCCTCCTCCCAAACTTCAGTTATTTTACCATTTTACTGAAATGTGTATTTCAACGATGATACCATGATATGCTGTAATGTTTTACCGTCATATTGGCCACCCCACAGTGCTCTGTCAGATGCAGTTTCACATACTGCATAATACATATTGTCTTCAGGCTATGTGTTCGCCATTTAGACACTTTCTTACACAACTATTGTTATGTGACATACATTTTGACTGAAGATCATGGCTAAAGATAGTACCGTGCTCCAGAGCGGAAGAGAGAAATACAATGTCTAGCCTTTCAGTATGTTCCTGCAGACTAGAATGAGTGTGGAACCAAGAGTCTGCCAGCAATGCTGTACATAAATGTCATGGGTGTGTCATTATTATGACTATCATACACTATTATTAACTTTCACAGAACACACCCACCATGGAGTAGGGTCATACAATGAGACTCCATACACAAGATACTCTCTGGAGGAATTGTGAACTGGTGTACACACACACATACAATGTGCAGGAAGGGTGAGTGTGTGTGCTGTGTTCAGACAGTGTGAGCTGTGATGAGTGTTGTTGAGAATGAAGACAGACCAGGGCAGAGGTCAGTCTAACGGCAGACAGGACACACACACGCATATAAACACTCACCACTGACTCACTAAGGGAAATAATTAAGCTCAAGGTCAGAGCATGCGAAATGCTGTTCAGTACCTTCACTTAAAAATGAACTTTATTAGTGATTATCTACACAGACGAAAGTGATGCATTGAATTTAAATGTGTACATCACTGTCACATGAATACATCAATACCAGGAATGTGCCAGTACCATTTTGTCCCTTCCAATACTGATACCTAATCCTCAGGTATATGCCGACACCGACCCTAAGTCTATCTGACCTAATTACTAGATAAGTAAGATATAAATCCTGATACTTCTATCATTTCAGTTTTTAAATCATTTATTTAGGTAAAAGCAGTGTTCTGTGTCACAAATATAGCATACTAGGCTTGAATGAATAGAATTTACTTGTTGGATAACTTTACATTTTAATGATTTTCAGCACTTCGAAAAGTCGCTGAGCTCTTTGACATGGGTTACTGTTAAATGCTTACATTTTAAATGCTTAAAGTTGTGAAACATTGTGATACATGTGATATGTGATATGTTGAAATTTATCATCCCTTTGAACAACTGATGTCACAGCTTTTGCAATGAGCATTTTTCATTTTAAGCATGAAATAATCCCACACCATGAACACGCCGCTTGTTTTAGCTGTATCTACTGTTGAGCATGCAAATGTCACTCAGTAGCAAGCGTGTCAGAAATTGCTTTATGGTATTGATATTCTCTACTGCCATACTGTATTTAAGTGCGAGTATCAGACCTGATTACGATACAGTATTGGTATCAGTGCAATACTAATCAACACAATTTTGTTTTTCAGTTTACAAACTTTAATCAATGATTGCTCTGATGTTATATATAAACACTGGTTGAGTTTTTGTCAGTCAGGTTGAAGCAAACAGCAGAAAACACATTTACTGAGATGCGTCATGGGACAACATAAATATTTCTGACTGCTGCCATAACACCAGTGGTCATCAGCAGTAATGCTTGTTTATTTAAGCTCGAGCTGTGTCTGTCGTCAGCTGAGAGTTACTGGCGGTGACAGCAAGAAAGCATGATCAGCCAATTTGGCCCCCTCGGGATTGTAATTTAATAGTTGCATACAAGAAAAGACAATTAAATTGTTAATCGTAGTTATTTATTTGGCAATTATTCATCTGCTAAAATGCCATAATCGTGACAGACCTGTGTAAAAATATATAAATTCAATACATCACTCATTTTGTGTAAACTAAACCTGCTGCATTAGTGTGAGATTTGAACCACCATTCTTTGCAAAGTTCCTGAGTGAATCATATTAATGTGCCCAACAGACACTCAAGGGGCTCCCCAACTTTGTCAAACTCCTTAACACTTCCAGTATGCAGTGAATCATGTAGGCAACATGCAGTTCTTCTAGTGTCTGCTGCTTGAGTTCTTGTTGCTGACTTTGGCCTGTGGGCTGAAGGGTGTGTTTCTTTTTGTGTGTGCAGGAGGGGATTTTAGAGTGGAGAATAACTGGGTATCAAGCCTTCACATAAATGTATCGACTCTTAAGTTTTACACACCTCTCCAAATAGTAAACAGCCTGTGCTCACAAACACAAAAACCCTGCACATTAACTAAACGTGGGCACACAGTTATTACAGCAAAACAACAGGAAGGGGTTAGATCTCATTAAATAAACCAAACCGCTACCTCAGTTTGCAACTTTACTGTGTGGCTTACTTAAGTGAATCCCCTGCATTCACACAGCCCACTATGGGTGGTTAACAACCCATAACCATTAGCATATGTGAAGAAAACGGTAATTTACTGAAACATTCATGTATATGTGTGGGTTTGCAGGCTTCAGAGTACTTCTACATCATCATCTGAAGAAGGGAACAGCACTGGGTGGACTAACAATCAAGAACAAACAAGACAAAGACTCCCCAGACCCATCTAGCCATGGCTAAATACACAGCACTGACCATGAGTTTGGATTTCTTTAAGGGAAGATATTGCTCTGAAGAACAATGGATCTGCTTCTGGCTCACTGCGCTCTCAGAGGCTGTGTGTGTTTGGCGGTTAGGGGAGGATTTCTCTAAGCTATGCCAAACCACTGGAGAGCGCTTTGAAGATCCCTGAGTGCTGTTAAACTTGCTGCTGATGCTGCTGAGGTTGGGACATGGCTAATAACACACTGTAGCAGAAATGAAGCACAGCCGTCTGCAGATTCACAGAGCAGGCTGTGTATGCATGTACAATGCCCATCAAAAGTTCAGGGACACCTAGCTTTTGAAAAAGTTTGTCATAAATGAGGGCTTAACATTTTGAGCAGAAAGCTGACGATTGCTGAGTGAACAAACAACTAATAATAGTCCTTTATCAGCAAATTCAGTACTCATCAGAATGCAAACCTTTCAAGTGTTGCAACCACCTCTGAGCCAAATATGTGCTTTTAACAACAGTTTATATCTTTAGGCAAAATCTGCTACTAATACCAAAGAAAACACTAATGAAAATGAAGCTGTCGCAAATTATACACAAAGTCAAACCACATATCTGTACATGTTAATGAAATATTTACTAAATTGTCTACTAAATTGAAAAGTCTTGGAAATCAAACATTACTTTAAAAAATTTTCAGGAAAGCAAAGCTTCTCAAAACCTTTTGGCAGGTATTGTAGTTACTATAGTTTTAAAATGCAGAACCTGCTCTTATTTTTTATTTTATTCATTGAGTTCCACTTGGGTGGTTTATAAACAAAAAACAGTAAAAGTAAACACAAATAAAACTAAACAGGCTGTTTTTGTTACTATAACTTTAAGACTGATATCTGTAAAAGACCTCTGTTCTGATTGGCCGTCCTGTAATCTGTATTTGGCAGTTCAGACCAAAACACTTCTTATAACTTCAACATGAGTGAGCAGGGCTGAACGCCTGTGGGCTAAATAGGTGGATATCTATGAATGGACAAATTTTTGTGACATTGCAAAATTAATTCAGACGAAGTAGCTTAGTTTCCACATGTGGCCTGTAAAGACAGGGGAGTAAATAGTAGGTTTTGAAGCTTTAATAGTGTTTACATACTGATGAACTCTTTAATTTTATTAAAGCGAGAAAAAAAGCAGGCGATCATGTGTGCAGAAGATTTTCTATAAAGTTTTCTGTCCCTGCTTACAGTATTGCACAGTGGAATTGCAAACTGGAGAGAGATCAAATAGGTGGGGGAAAAGTAAGGCTCTGCTATTAATGATTAGGGGAAAAACTCACCTCTATTATGTGAACCGATTTTTCAGCAACAAGAGATGATTGTGCGTTTTGCTTCGCTTGCACCCTTGGTATAAAATTTCTGCAAACACTTCTCTTTTTCTTTTCCTTTTCTGCTTTTTCTCCTCTCCTTTCCTGTCTCCGCTCTCTCTCCTTTTTCTCTCCATGTAACAGATCTCTCTAAATAGGCCTGTCCATTTGCCCTCACGCTTGGCTGGATGAAACTGGGCTTTGAACACTATTTTTAGCGTGCGGTTTTGGAGAAAAGTGCACAAACACATTTTTCCACCACCACCACACACAAACTCTGTAAATCCTCCCTCTCTGCTGCAGTGAGCTTCAGAAGGAGCAGGAGTCGCAGTCAAACCAACAAACATACACACACGCAAACAGAGCTGTAGGGGTGAGTGTATGAGTTACGGAGCACCATCTGTCTGAGAGTTTGTGTTTCTCTGTCTCATGTTCCAGCCCACCTTGCCCCAGGGTCAACACAAAGAGGTCATTACCTCTAGTGGTCAGGCAAAGAGCTGAGGTTATGACACCCCAAGGGCGCAGCTCATGACTAGTCGTGGGTGATGTCATATTATGTGCTGTACTCAGTCCATTAAATACACTCACACACTCACAAACAGACAACGCTGATGTAGTCAACATTTTCAGCAGTGTTGAGAGTTTCAAGAGAGAAGTAAAGATTCTGATTTCTTAAGTAAAGACAGGCACTTTCATTTCCCAGAATACCTTGACAGCACTTCTCCCCAGCCAGAAGAAGTTCATAAAAAAACAAGCACATTTACAGAAATAGGGCTGTCACTATCGATTACATTAGTGATTGAGCAATTTATTAATTTTGATAACTAATTGAGTAATCAGTTTTTAAAAAGACCAAACTATAAAAATTACAAAAACAACGCATAGCCTTTCAAAGATTTCAACAGCTTATCTAGATAAACCAGGATGCCTTTAAGCTTCCATTAAAAAAACATATAAAACATAATGTGGCCAAAAAATGCGTAAAGACATGGGTGTGCCTAGAAGGTTCTGTTTTTTACTGTAGGATAGACCAGTTAGAGAAAGTAAAATCTGCTTTATCATCAGGCAAACTGCTAAATAAACACTTCTGATGAACCAAAATCTATTTATTTTTTAATTGAGTAATCGAGTTTAAGCAATTATTCATCAGCCTTAGGCTGTGGTCAAATCACACTGTCGCCGCACTTTTTTCCTTACTAGAGTGGAGCAAAACTCTGATGTAATGTGACCTTGAGGGCAATGTAGAGTGCAGCTAGCTAACTTTAGCGAGTTAACTTTTTTGTTTGTTTGTTTCTTGTGAACTAGGCAGCTCACCTGGACAAACTCAGTGTGAAGCGAAATGACCTGCTACCAGAAGTGAATTTGTTTTTCGAATTCCCGTGTGTTTTTCCCGCTTTTCGCATTCAAGTGAACTGTCATTTTCTCCAGGCAGATTTACTTGCATTCGACGCGGCTGGGGCTTTACAGTGAAACCACAAAATATGCTGTGACATGTCATGAGACTTAATTTAAGGGTAGCAAACTCAGAGGAGAACAAACAAAGGATAAGACGAACCGAAAATTAAAGAGAGTAAGAGATTCCTTACCTTCCTAGGTTTTACTTTGTCCTGATAGTCATATTGAAAGATGCCCTTATAACTTAACCCCAACCACCATGGGATCCCCTGCTTGTCCTGAGAGAGAGAGCGAGAGAGAGAAAGAATGAGCAAAGTGAAGAGGAAAGAGAGACAGAGAGAGGTCGAGAGAGACAGAGAGAGAGATAGAGAGAAAGAGGAGGGTGGCAAAAACTACACGTCAGTATTTGATGGCAGAAATATCACACAGAAAGGCCAACATTATCACCTAACACCTTCACCCAGACGTGGAACATGCGTGCCAAACAGGGTCATGAAAAATGACGTGTAAGGGGTGTGATGGAGAGCAGAGTGAGTGTGTATGCATGTGTGTATGTGTGTATGTGTGTGTGTGTAAACTGAGGCTAATGTTGATAAATTTACATACACTTATGAGGCAGAGAGAGACCCACCTTAACCGCATAGTAATGCACTCCATATGTAGGCAGTGACTCCACTACACTCATGTAACTGAGAGAGAGAAAGAGAAAGAATGAGGTATTAGGCATGAATGCCTACATATTCCAGCACAACTGCCCCAAACCTGCAAATAGTCGCCATCATATCAAAACCTTACAACTCCATTTTTTCAGTATTAATTTTGTAGTTAACTTTATATCATTATGTGATCATATCATGACATGGACCTACAGAGCTGGTCCAACCACAATGAGTCGACTCATGAGGGCAACAGTAATTGGTTAATTTAGACAGGCGTATAAAAACAAAAAAAATAGCGGGATTTGGTACCACTTTTTGAGCACAACTACATGGACGTACCATATTGAAAGGAAACATCCGCAAGCAAAGACAGACAATTATTTAGCCCCTGTTCTCCGAGGAAAAGTGTGATGCATGGTAGTGTGGGAAAATCTTACATGGGTGTGTAAAATTGCAGAGAAGGATGGAGTGCATTAATACAGAACAAAGCTGATATGTGCACTCGTAAGTATTTTACAATGGCTTCAAACATGGCTTTGCCAAACAGACTTCAAAATCTGAACTACTGACTTTGTAACTGATATTTTGATGGGTTGCATCTTTCATGTTAGGCTTGCTGGTTGGTGATAAATTGCAGACAAACAACGGTTGACTATCGGCCAAAGAATTCGCCAAAATCTGCATCCCAAATTGTATATCAGTATCAAGTGTCAGACAGAATTCTCAAATGGTTTTTCAATGCACACAGAAACATACTTTTTCTGCTCATGTAACCAGCACATGTCACATTTCATTTTCCATACATTCCTTTTTATTTAAACAGTTAGTCTTGTTGCTGTTCATTTATTCTTTCTTACTTGACAATAGCCTGGCCCCTGGACTGCCCACTCAGCTTCTTATAGTGCTCAATGACTCGGTCCTCACTGTAAAAGACACACATACAAATGCATTGGGGTTACAGATGACAGTCTTGTGGCAGGAAGATCATGAGAAGATGGCTGTCAGCCTGTTTGAATTCCACAGCAGGGAGAAACAGCATACAGATGCTGGGAAGTGAAACCAGATACCAGGAATGGAGATAAGTTCAAAAGCACAAAGAACTGTCTGCAAGTCTGCACAGTGTGTGAGTGTGAGTACGAGAGTATAAAAGTGTCATTTTTATCAGGGAGCTCTGACGCAGAATAGCAGCAGAGCATCAGCATTTGCAAGTCCTATCTGAGCTAAATTATGCCACACAGTTATCTGAGGAACACAACGCTTTATGAGTTAACCTCTGCATGTGTGTGTATCTGTATCTCACCAGTAAGCGAGGGACGGGTGCTCTTTCAGTGCCTGTGTGGGCAGGGCAGGCAGCTTCTTTAGGTCAGAGCGCGTGGCGTCATTACTGTAATAAAAAATCCAAATGACCCATTATAACCTGGTTACCATTTTCACAACACACTGCAAATCACACAAAACACATGATCCAACATGACTTCTTCACAGTTTCTACAATGCACTGCGTATTCAGTGACTCTCAGGCACGAGGGCAGCAGTAAGCAGTAACCTGATCTGCCACGTGTGTAACTATAAACCAAATCTTATGCACAAACAAACCAGTTACAGTTGCAGAAGTGTTACAGTTAAACCTCTTCCCCTGTGGAGAGTCCCTGCTAAACACGAGCAAAGCCCTCAGATATGAAGCAGAGGAAAGACGAGAGTGGAAGAGTGAAACAAATGAGAAAGAAAAGGAGAAGACCAACATGCACATAATAACATGTAATATCTATACTGTGTAAAGGAAAGTAGGGTATGTATGAAATGTGAGCGTATGAGATAGAGGACCACAGCAGGACACGGTGAGAAAAATACAGAGAGAAAGCAAGAGAGAGGGAGAGAGAGAGAGAGACAGAGAGACAGAGGGTCAGTGTGTGTAACGTAACACTGTTTATTCTCTGCATTCCATTTCCTCCCATCTGTGTCTGTTCCCAGGACTCCCGCCCCCAACCCCGTTCATTCACTCCTCTCTCTCTCTCTCCTCTCTCTCTCTCTCTCTCTCTCTCTCTCTGTGGGGGGTGGGAAGAGGGTCTGTGTTTACTCTGCAGTGACACTCCGATACAGACTTTGATTCTATGATAGCGAGTGCATTTTATTTAAGGTCATTCATAAGAACAGTCTTTACCTCGTGAAGTCTCCTTTGGCTTCCTGAAAGACGGACAGAAGTGAGAGTTGACAAAAATCAAATTAGTGCTTAGTAGAAACTAAACAGTCATAAGTTCACATACATTGTGTATGTGAGTGTGAGGTCTGCACAGGCATGAAAATGAAGCCCAAACCTGACCCAAAACCGCAACTTTGAGATCCAATCCACTGGTGATCCAATGGTACTGCTAAATATGAAACCCAACCGTAACCCGGTCACACTAACAAGATGGATTATCTTAGACATGGGTTTACGGTACTTTGCTTTATTGCTAAATGCTTGAGTTGATCAGCAGAATAAATTTCACACACTTATCTGAAAGCTGACCCTTAGCTGTAGTGACTAGTAAGTACTCTGACACTGACTTGTGTAGCAGCTGCTGCAGAATGGCCACTTCCATAGTAAATTCGTAGCTGAAGAGATGACAAGACAGTCCTCCTGCTGTCATACCTCAATATACTATCACAAGATCTACACTGTATGTGACCACTGTACATGTTCTTTTTATCTGATGTAATGTCCAGGTCATAATGTTTCCACAATGAAGATCATTTGATTCGGAATTTAATACAGTTCTCCTTTGACATTATTTATTTTTTTTATTTTGTCTACAACAGTTTACTAAGACTGGTTTTGGTGTACACATACTGGACTACACTACAGAGAAAAATCATCAAAAGTTCTGTTTTCTATTTGTAGTAAGGAATGTATCAGTTCATATAACATGACCACACATGCACAGTCTTACCTGCAATATGTAGGAGGCCAGTTCAAACACTACTTCACTGTCCACCTCGATGAGCTCCTGTGAGAGAGAATATGTGAAATATGTATGAATAATATGTCAGCATGGAGGGCTGGATGATGTCCAGTAACTTCAATTTAAATACTTTATGGCCAAATCCACCTCCAGGTTGTGAGGAATTTGCTATGATGTGCTCAAGACTCAGCATACAACAATTAAAACATACATTAAAAAAACGAGGAGCACAAATAAAATAAAATGGGCTAGTAAAGTTCAGTAAATAATATAAAGCAGGACTATTTAAGACGTTTTTGTTAAAATCAGAGGCGTCAGGTTGGATTTGCAGGAGTTTTCGGGCCACGTCATACGTCTTTGATTATTAACATCGCCTGCACAGCTTAGAAAGTAGGTCCGGCCAGAAGTGTACATTTCAAATGTAAAATTAACATTATATTGATAAAGCTTTGATGACAGCAGATCATTCACTTACATCCTTGGAAGAAATGGAAAACTTAATATTGCGATACTCAAGGATATCAATATTTTCTTACACCCCTATAAGGGAGTGGCACCTTCAACAGCTTATCCTGCTTCCTATTGTTTATCTTCTGATGCTGTTTATCTGTTTATGGGCTTACATCACCATTTAGCTCTGTTTACTGTTTTGCTGAGTAATCATACACACACACACACATCAGGGGGTGCTGATCACCGCACCTCACTCCTCATGCCAGAAACAATAGAGATAACTCCATCACCACAGGGGGTCAGAAATGTCAGGAATGCCACTTCGCTGGTACGTGTCCACGTGAAACTTAAGAGCGTAAGAGCTAACTTACTCATTTGTGTGGACAACTGGTACATTCTGAAAAGTCTAAAAACATGCAACGCGTAAGTATGTAATTTAGTCTCAGTGTAAGCCTCTGTGCAACAGCAAACAGCGTAACAGATTGTTTACTGCTCTACATATGCACAATAAGGTTCCTTCATTTCCATAACGTTTATAGAAATGCTCACCAGCGGCCAGCAGAGAGATCCAGGATGACAGTATTGATCAAGAAAAGTGCAAGTGGACAAGGCCAGTGTGCCAAATCAAATACCCAGTCCCATTCTATTTAAATTTACTGATATCAGAGCAAAAGGGTAGTTTTCTGCAGTCTGACAACTCAAAAATCTAATAAACAATTTGGTCAGCCATCCTAAAATGCTGAAAAGATCTGAGCACAGATGTTAAATGAAATATCTTTAGGTATCTTTAGCTCTACACCAAGGTCTCTTTCGAGGTAAACTGGAAAGCTTTCATGAAAAGTGTTTCACCTTCACAGGAGAAAGCCTGAACTTGGGTCCATCTTTCTTATCCCCTTCCACTATTACCCTGGGGCTATTGCCCAAACTGCCCTCTAGTGGCAGAACAAAAACACTGCAAGAGCCTTCATTCAGGTTCATACGATAAAGCCAACCAAGCCAAAATACACACTTGCTATTTCAAACCTTGGCCCGTGTACCACCTAATACACTACACTTGATGAAAGATAACTTATAAATCCAAGACTATTACACACTGAAAAAACAAACTAAAGTTTAAATTAGTAAATGAGTCCACAAAACAGAATATGTCCCATTGCGTACAACAGAGGAGGGCTTAGAAATAGAGATTACCTTATAAATGCAGGACTTGGCATTGAGAAAGAACAGCTCAATGGTGGCATTGTCCTTCAAGTAAGAAATGCTCTCTATATAAAACCTGTAAAGAGCAAAGACACAAACATAAAGACATACTGGTTACATATCGCAAAGCATAATTAAATCATGTAAGAATGTCAAGATTTATTCAGATTTTGAAATTGAGACTAATGCTACTGCTTTCCTGCACAGTGTCTACATTAACCACCAGGGGTCACAACTCTCTCTTTTTCAAAAAGTAGAGGTGTAGAAATATGACATTTCTGGACTGTTTTATAATCAATTTTTTGCTGCTGCTGGAACAAAACCTCGTATCTCCAAAAGGCAACAGGACAAAGAAAAATAACTCTTAACTTTTAATGGAAGTAAATGGAGAAATATTTTTTCCAAGTAATTTTGGACGATTTCCGTTGGTCCGATCATCCTGAAATTTTGACACGTAATAAAGGGCAACTGCCTTTTTCAGCAACGATTTACAAGTCGTTCATTTCCAATTCTAGTTCTTCAGGTTAATTACCTTAAAGAACAAAGACAAACAACACAATAACAAAGTGAAAAAATGGAATATAAACCATCATGTAATTAATTAACTAGTGGTAAAAAGGTAGGTTCTGTTAACATCCACTCCATTCATGTATAACCTGATCTCACACACACACACACACACAATCAACACACACATTATCTAAGCCGCTTATCCTCAAGAGCTGCAGAGAGTGCTGGAGTCTATTCCAGCGGTCACTGGGGGGAAGGCAGGAAACACCCTGGACAGGTCGGCAGTCCATCACAGGGCAGACACGCAGACATATACATTCACACAAGCCTAGGGGCAATTTAGCATCTCCAGTTCACCTGACTGCATGTCTTTGGACTGTGGGAAGAAACCGGAGCACCCGGAGGAAACCCACACAGACAAAGGGAAAACATGCAAACTCAGAAAAAGGACACTGCCAGCCCGGCACTTCTTGCTGTGAGGTGACAGCGCTACCCACTGTGCCACTATGCCACCCTAACCTGCTTACTAAATCACTAAAGCATTCTATATTCATATGCTTCTAATACTTACGGGCTGTAGAGCGCTTTTTAATGTCAGCAGTCATATGCTATGGATAATTGTCATATACAAATTAAAGAAAGGAAATCCTGAATGAGCTGAGAACATACAAGTTATAGTCAGCTGGAACAAAAGGTCCCAAACGGAACATAAGAATAAATAAATGTATAAGCATACACATACACAAAAGTGTTAACAGTGTAATACAAATGTATGTTCTTGCATGAGGAGGTCCCAGTTTGTGAAAAGAGCAAAACGACAAACACAAAAGTAAAACTTATAGACGCAGTGGCCTTAAAGCCACAGCTGACACACAGAAACACTGCCATGAAAACACTGGAATACAAAATCCTTGAAGCTTTAAGTAAGTGGTGTGCAGCAGTAAGTAGGGTGGTTGAGGACACTGAAGCTTTTTATTAGAAGAGTAAGCTGGACAGAGAGAGAGGGAGAGAGAGGGAGAGAGATGATTAAAAGTGTATTGGCAGCTGGTTTAATTGCAGATGTGAGTGAGAAGGGAACAGAGTCTTTTACACGCATCAAAGACCTAAGCTCCTCTCAATCAATATCCCAATCAAGAGCTGAGACCAGGATTACACACAGACCATAGAGCACTCACACACTTGTACACATACTTTGTGTTTGCAGAGACCACTTTAGATGTCTGCTCTTACCTTTAAAACAAGCTAAGGGTATAAATAGACCCAATATCAACCTTCACAGTGCAATATCAACCTTCACAGTACTGACATTAGGGGTGTTATCAGCCCACAATCCAATTCGATTCATGATACGGGGTTCATGATTTGGTATTCTCATGACTTTTGAACAAAGTCTGAATTAAGAAAAATGATGGCAACAATCATGTTGTTGCACAACTTACTAACAACACCACATTTGCGAGGCAGGAGTGCTGGAGTAACTCATCAGTGCTGATAATTTACAAGCCTTGGTGTTCAAACAATGCAGCATCATTAGACAGCATGATTAAAAGAATGTCCATTTTCCACAATGCACAGTCACATTTTTACATCGTGATATCACAATGTCATGATGCACTGTTACAATTCTAACTGATATCAGCAAATGAGCCTCAAACTCGATCACTGAATGTTGCAGTGTGTACTGTGAACATCCTGACCAATCACAGATGTCCTTTGGGCATTTGAATGAACCAAAGCATTCACACGATCCAACAATAATTTAAAAATTATTTTAATTTAAAAAAATATTTTTGATTAAAAATAATGCAGGACAATCTTTAACCATGTCACATAATCAGACGTCTACTAGACTTTTTAGTTTTCAGTAAATCACATTCCAAATGCAGGATCCCAATTTGTAATGGTAATTATCCATTTCATACAGTCCAGACAGGCCAGTGCTTGGTGATGGTTAACCAAGTTACTGCTGTAACAGACCCCAGACTTTGTGGCTAGTTTAAAAACTTGTCATTCAGTTATTAATTTATTTCATGCAAACTATAGGAAGGCATCGGTATTCCCACTCATGAACATAACCGAACTTTTAGGCATGTGGAGTGATGCGATATCCTAAATTTACACCATATTTATCATACCCAACACAGATGAGACTGTTGTAGAAATGCTGCGCTGGTTGAACACACTTGGTGCTGCAGGCAGATATCATGCCTGAACAAAACACACATATACAGTACAGTGTACATTTTAAGACGTCATCACAACAATAGCGCCAGGTTTCAGATATCAGACAAAACAGCTTCAAGTTTTGGGAAAAAACAAGAGTAGAAATGTGTCTCAGCTCTCGTACTTCAGGTGAAATGGCTCCAGAGTAGAAGGTATCAGGCAAAGCTAAACAGCCTAGCAATAAAGAACAGAATTGCAAATGTCCATGTTTGTGTGACTGTTTGTGCAATTCTGTTCTTTATTATTGGCTTAATGGCAGGTTAATGTCCAAGTTAGGAATATACTAGAACTAAAACCTTTTTCTCTTAACTTTCTTATTATGTTCTTTTATTTGACAAAGATTAAGCTTCACTCTACATGCTATCACTTGTTTACACCTATGTCTGCTTTAGTGCCAGGGTCTCAAAATTATAAAAATGTTGCTAGTATTATATTAAGAGAATACTATCATAAAATAATATATAATATGGTATATTATATAAAACCCCATCTACACCATTTAATTGTTTGTCATGGTTATTTTCCACTGTTGCCTGAATAAGAGGACTCTGTTACCAGCACAGGCCCAGTCCTAGGTCTTTATTCAGCTCCACAAACATTAATATCCTGTGTCTGTTTACCTCTTGATATAAAAATGTGTTTGAGATTGGCTCTAACTAGATGCAGGGACTAGAATTGCACAGCAATGCTAAAGTACCAGCTGCTAAACCCTCTGAGTATGACTACACTTACATAAACACAAGCAAAAATATAAAGCTGGCATCAGGTGCATGTGTGTGAATGTGGGCGCTCTACACAATGAAAACAATAAAAGCCCAAGAGGAGCCGGCGTACGCTGAATGCAAATACACATCCACCCACACACACACACACACACACTTGGCAAAGTCTATCAACAGCTATAATATATTTATGATATGTGCAATTACACTGTTCAGCGTCAGATATGCTCTGAATAAAAAAAACTGCATAAAGCTCATTAGCATATTGTTGCCTTGTCTTCCTAAGCAATGAATACAGTCAGAATGAAACACTGCCGTTGCCATGACACTGAGATTAATGAGGGTGTTAATGAAAGAAACAGCAGCTCATGATTGGCTGACGGCTCCCACGGCGACCAGTTAACTCCGAGGGTCAAAGTCATTTTATAGGCGCTCATGTTTTGAGTCTGTCGTAATTGACCCTGTTAATTTGTGATAACAAAAACACAAACACGCACACACACACTCGCACACATGCCCCAGCGGACCACTCCACTGTCAGAGTGTGAAGTGTTTCCACTCAACTGCATCTCATCTTATGCCAATTAACTAAAACTGTACTCTCTGTATAATTTGTGTGTTTTTCTTACACACATACACCCCACACCTCTCAGAGCTGTCAGACTACGAGAAACAGGATTTGTTAGTGTTTGTTTAAGCAGCAGAATATAACAGCTGTGATTTGGGTGCAGGAACAATCCGAAAGCTGCTGTTATCACTGTTATCAGATATATCAACATAGGGTATAATGCTTTTCAACCAATCAGGGCTGGGTTTCCCAACAGCATCTTAGCACCAAGATCATCATTAAATGGTACAGCAAGCATCACATTAAGTACTCTCTCCACCAGTTAAATAGATATTAGTACTATGAAGCTTTTGGGAAACTGGACCCAGGTTGCTTGGTCAGAGCTTACTCTTGAGTAACTGTGTGTGACTAAAGTAAAGAGTAATCAGTGTCCTAGTTAATCTGACAGCAGAGTTATGGGAAAAATATTTTTATTTGATTATAGTAATAAAAAACATCAGATTCGACTTCTATAACGCCACTGAAATGGCCTGCAGAAAGAGGTTACCAAGGAATGAATTGTATGTGTGCCCATATGAGTGTGTTACAGTTGTACTCACCTAACACAGAAGTAGAGAACAATGGGGCCGGATTTTTTGGGGAATTCGTGTTCCAGAACACGTCTGTCCAACTGCAGCCAGCTGAAGTGGCCCCTATAGAGGAGACAAGACACAGAAGATGAGAATCCCTCCACACTGAGCCCATAACCTCATCTTACTGAATAAAACACAAAAAAACACATATATTCTGCAATTTAAGTGACAGTAATTAAGACAAGCAAACATCAATTACTATCATTATGCCATTATGTGTATTTATTCAAAAAATGGCACCGAGCAATTAGACCTCCAATAGCAATTATATCCTTACTGAATGGGAAAGTGAGAGCCAGAGGCTGAGAGAGTGTCTGTATGTGTGTGTTTGACAGTGAGACAAAAAACAGCAGAGGAAGCAGCAGTGACTTTATTAGCATGTCCCTGGCGACATACCCTCTCAGAAAAGGAGGTTTGTTCTGCAGCGAGGGTCAAAGGTTGTTTGACTATATTTCAAAATGTTTCAAAACTACAAATACCACAGTCCCCTAGAGTGAGCCTACATGGCTGCATAGCCTGTGGAAAGTGTGTGGGTGGCTTTGCATGTGTAGTTTATATGTATGTATGCGTGTGGAAAGTGTGTGTGTATATGTAGGTGTATAAATACATCTAGAAAATGTCACACAGCAGTAAGCCAGTTTGATTGAGTTACACACTAGTGATAAAAGAGAAAGAGAGTGAGGATAACGGCATATAAACTGGGACCCGAACAGTTCTGAGGCATTTTAATATATTAAGATCATCTTCACATCTTTGAGAGAGGGACTAAACTGATTCTATCTCTGCCATCTTTTTCCTTTTGATGTTCAAAGGAATACTCCACTGTTTTCTAACTAAATGTCTACCTGTGGCACTTGTAGTACATGGTCAATTATCATGGACAATGGGGGTGTAACAATGCACTGTGACAATGTGATATCATAATGCAAAACTGTCACAACATACATGTGTTTTGTGCAAAAATGTGCAAACTGTACAAGTCAACGCACTCCTTCAGCCTCCCCTCAGCTCTAGTGTCATTAGTAAGCTGTGAAATAAAATGATTATAGCCAGTACTTTTCGTAATTTGAATTTTTCTGGGAATATCGTGTGAATACTGAATTGTAAACTCAGTATCATGAATCGAATCGAACTGTGGTCTCAGAGTATTGTTACACCTCTAATGGAAAATAATTTCAAAGAGGTCAATGAGCAGTTGCTTCAGCCCTTCTCTATTATAAATATGTTTCAAGTCAGTAAGCTTTCTGTTCTTTTAGTAAGTACAGGAAAACATATCTAAATTACTGTGTGCGGTAACTGACTGTACATTACAGATGCAGCAGATTTAGTTGAAGAACGCTGGAATTTTTCTTTATCGAACCCCATTCATGTTTTGCAATACATTAAAATGGTTCTACATATCGTCAGTGTTGGAACAATATCTCATATCTCCTAAAGGTTCCTAACTTTCAATGTAAGTCAATGTAACAACATTTTATTATGAGTCACTGCGCAATTTCTGTTGGTCCATTCATCATACAATTTCGACCATGATGGCAGCTGTCAAAAAAGTATTTTGTTGAACAAAACAAGGTTTTGTTCCAACAGATACGACATGCTATATTAGATTGTCTAGGACACTCACGTGTCATCTGTGTAGGCGATTCCAAAATACTCCTTCTCCTTCAGATTGAAGTGGGATGCTACCAGGTCCAGGAGATCCTTCGCCATCAGCTTGGGCTGAGTGAGAGAAAGAGAAAGAGAGAGAGAAAAAAAAAAAAGTTACGTGACACAAACAAAATTTGCAGAGTTCAGACACAATAAGACTGTGTATGTGTAAACGTATGCTGTTTCCACACACACACACATACACTGCATTTTAGAAGCATAGTCTATCTGTCGTCACAGTCTCTGCAGGCTAGGGTTCCTCTCCTCTCTTTGCATGTGTGTGCTTGTGTGAGAGAGAGTGAGTGAGTGTGTGTGGTTAACCATAGATGTGTCACCTGCACTTTGTTCAGAAACTGATATCAATAGAAATCCACATCCCAGTTTATTCAACAATAATGTTTACTAACACAACCAGTAGACCTCACAGCAAAATCCCAACAGTAACAAAAGCTTGGCTGCTTCAGACTCAGTCTGGAACATCAAACACATTATGGAACATCAAACTCACTCTGGAACATCAAACACATCATGGAACATCAAACACATTATGGAGCATCAAACTCTTTCTAGAACATCGGACCTGTTTTGCGATTTTTAGGTTTCTGCATAATTTGAGCTTAGCTGCTGTCTTTTACATTGTGTAAACAATTTCTAGATGAATGCACCAAAGGAAATGCTCTAAAACTGCATGGAATAAAATCTCTTTACTTTAAGTTATATTAAAAGTTAAGACCGTTGTAGCCCTCTCCTGTAAAGGTACCAATTTGGAGATACTTGTTTTTCTTTGGACAGCGACGATATGCAGCTTAATACTAGGCTTCTGCACTTTTTGTGTTTTCTCTGTACTATTCAATGCAACATGGACTGTCTACCCGTGCCCTAAACATGTATACACCAAGCCATGCTGTGTGTGTCTGTGTGCCATGTGTTGTCCACAGGCCTGTATTTAAATGCTCTAATTATTGTTTCTGCTCCACACAGGCCGCTTTCAATTAACTCCACACACACCCACATACGTATACACATATGCTACACACACTCACACACAAAATAATAATTTAAGAGAGCCAGCATGCCCACACACACTAAAAATAACCCACAGAAATCTGGAACAAATATACAATTATAGCATCTGCCAAGAAAGAAAGGAAAAAAGAAAGAAAGAAAGAGTATGAGTGGAGAGAAAGAGAGAGAGTGAGAAAAATAGTGTACAAGTTCAGACACAAGAGAAAGACTCAATAAGAGTAACCATTTTCTCTCTTTATTTCCTTTTGTGTATGTAAGGCTTGGACATTAAGCCCTACATGTTTAAAGAAACTGGGGCAAAGTTATTGATAAATATAAATTTTTATTTCATTTTTAAAATTATTTTAAAGAACGCACATTTTATGTTTCTAAAGCCTTAGACATGACAAATAAATGTTCTTCTAAAATACATATTACATCATGGCTGTTATCAATAATTAGCAATGAATCAATACATGGTCTCAGCTTTATGTCTGCATTAGACTTTGACTACATTCAACTGCACTTCTGAGTGGGCAAGACAACATATACACACACAGAAACATCAAATTTGACGCACAGGAAGGTTCACGGACGCCAGAGGGTTAAAATTAAGTAGTAACATCATGAGTACAATATTTGGGTCCACCCATACCATTACTGACCACATTGGACAACAATATAAAGTTTTGCAACTGCTAATGTCTGATCAAGTCTGCTTTAATGAGTCAATCAAATGTGTAATTTCCAAAAGTTCCCAATAATTCAAAAGAATGTTTTTAAACTGTTTTATGAGACTGTTTGTATCCATCAGCCTCTGAGCACATGTGGAATAGACAGTTCACTTCCTCAATTAGCTGGTGCATGTGTGTGTGTATGTGTATGTGTGCGTGGGTGTGTGACCGAGGAAGTGGTTTTAATGTAACCGCAGCTCCCAATCACTGACTGCTTGTGGCGATGTGTGTGTATGTGTGGTTGAGAAAATGAAAAGACACTAATCTAATGCATACCACGCTCCAAACGTCACTGAAAAAACGATGCTCTGAATGACTTGATTGAAATGTGTACATCGTTTCCATTTGAAAAAATATATTTATTTATAAACAAAAAAGTAACCAAAAGACAAATCTGCCATAATATATTTCATCCATGTGGAAATATATACAATTGAATCAAGCAAATGAAATTCATCACTTTTTCTAGTGCATGTACATAAAAGTTTGGGCACCCCTGGCCAAATGACATATTTTGTTGATTTATGAAGAAAAAAGAAATGAATACAACCTCTGCAGCGAACGATATAACCAAAAAATGTTTTGCCTACAACAGTTAATGCACTGTTATTTTATATTTGATAAACCTAAGAAAATAGAAAAAAAAAAGAATTGTGTTATGTGCAAATGTTTGGACACCCTTCCAGATGTAAGTCTTAGAACTTAACTAACTCATTAGGCTACATTAGACTTGATAAGACTGGTTGAGCAGGTCAAGAACTGTCATTAGAAACCGTCAGTTGACAATTTCAGGGCGTAATAAATTGTCTGACTTTTCAAACCTCGTGCTAACACTAAAAACCATGGGATGCTCTGAGCAGCTGGCTGTGGAACTAAAACCTACAAAGCAGGGGTAGGCTATAAATAGATATCAAAGTGCTTCCAGCTTGCAATTTCCACTGTCCGAAATGTCATTACGAAATGGTAATTAAGGGGAACTGTGGAAGTCAAGGCAAGATCTGGAATACCAAAAAAAAAAAACTCTCAGATAAAACTGCTCTCATGCTGCCCAGAAAAGCAAAGCAAAATCCCTATAAGACAACAAAGGCCCTGCAAAAAGGTTTGGCAGATACAGGACTGGTGGCCCACTGTTATATTGTGCAGAGTTGCTTGCAAAAAACATGATGTGCATGGATCAGTCATCAGAAGGAAAACATTACCTGTGTTTCCTAAGGAAAAAAATATTGTGGACAAACTACTGAAGTGAAAATTTAACTAAAGGAAAGTTTGGAGGAAAACTGAGCAGCAGTTGATGAAAAGAACACCTTGACAACTGTTAAGTGTTAACGTGAATCTGGGTTGTGTGTTTTCAGGACGATGCTTCATGATATTTCATTTTTCTTTGCAAAGTTGAATCAAACAAAAAAGAACAAAACCTACAAATGCAATGAATTTTATTCAATGTTTCACATAATTAATTATGCTTTCTTTGTAATGAAACAGTTGGTCAGTGTTCTGTAAGTACTGACAAAAGCTGCGGCCTGCTCAGAAAAACTAATTGTGATGTCCAGTGATACAATTTATCATAAGAATAATAAATATCATCATACTGCCCACTCATAAAATATATACATTAAAAATGGGTAAACTGAATGCAGCACTTTTTTCAGGGTACCAGCATGGCAACATTTTTTCTCCCTCACTTTTTTCTCTCTCCCTCGCTCAATTTGAAGGAGACAGTTACTGAGCGCATGTGTGTTAACAGTATCTGCGATGTACAGATGAACATGATTATGAGGTATTAATATCCTGCTGCTGTGATTAGAGGAACTTGAGTGAGTGTGTGTGTGTAATCTTGTAATAGCTTTACTCTGAGCAGGTGGATCTCTCATCCCTGATTGCAAAAGACTGGGCAGACTTTGATCACACACAAGACAAGCTTATGGACAGCGAGGAGGTTTATGAGTGCATCATATAATTGATGTACATGTGTGGCATGCAGGAGGAATATCCGGAGTGCCATGATTTAATAACACAGAGATGTGGGTGCTCCGATAGCAATTACACACACCCAAGATAGTGATGACATACTGGAGGGTTAGGCAACATCATTTTCTCATTTCTTTGACAGCAGTGTCAAGGGCTGTCATCAGATATGAAGAATTCTGCTCACTGCCAAACTGACAAGCTAGCACAAGATCTGGATTATAGACTACACAGTTCAGGCCCAAAGAACCCTACATGTAGCACTAGATGGCTGTCAAGTCATCTAACCTTTAAAATCTGCAGTTGTCCTCTGCAACAACAAAAGCATGGTTTAGTTCTATACTAATTATTTTCTCATTTGTAGCTCATTGGAAGAGATATTCTGCCAAAAGTATATATTCTATATTTTCAACTGACACCATGTTTGTGTTTCAAAGTAGAACAGTTTTTATTATTAATTTGAATTTAATGAAAAGCTGTTGTGTGTACAGTCGTTTTGCATCATGTAAACCAAAATGTGAAACGTCCTTTAAGAATGTAAATCAAATGTAAAAGTAATTCACTGCACAACCCACTACACAATTAAATACGTCAATGCATAATTACGAGGGGTGTATCAATTCTTCATTGATACAGTTTTGTCTAGATTCAAATAGATTTTTGCGATACAGTGCAAAAGAGTGCAATATTCAAAGCACAAGAGCTACAAATTAAAACATTATCCTCATTATCAACAACATTGCCCTAACAAGTTTAAGGTGGGAATATTTAACCCAATAACAGTGAGTTCATGAACTGCCTGTAATTTAGATAGACCAATCAGAATCAGCTAAACATGTGCTAAATATGTGCTGTGACACCAAAACCACAGCTAACTGGCATTTTATTTCCAGTTATCAAGCCTCAGCTCAGAAAAAGTGGACATGCTCATTCTCTTGGCCACAGGTCTAGATTGTATAGAAAATAATCACAATTTAAATCACTGTTAGTAATTAGATATTCTCCCCAAATCATTCAGACCTATGGCATACATTTTGGTACACTACAATATGTGTAACATTGTTACAATCCTAGTAACTACATTTAAACAGTGGCTAATAAAGAGTTAACTGTATCAACTTTGATACCTAAGTGTACCCTCAATCGAGTGCTGTGGTTCCCAACCCACACGCCTAGGGAACCTAGCAGCATATTTTTGTTTTTTGCTTTGCATTTTACCTAATCTAGGTGCTTGGGCTTCCCAAACTTGGTGCTAGATGCTTGAGCTTAACAAAGGCAGCATTAGCTTGTATCACTTCTCTGGTCTGGTTGAACTAGGTCTGCAAAGAGTGTTAATTACAGCTAAGAAAGATGACACTCTTACAGACA